CACGGTCCGAGTGGAGAGGGGAGATCTTGATAGACAGGCCATAAAATGGGTACTTTCTTGATCGTCCTCATTAAGCATTCGCTTCGACGAATTGACACCGCTCCGCCGCCGCCGCCGGTGAACAAGCGAACGAGCTAGCGAGCAAGCGGAAAACCATCAAGTCCCGTTCACAATGTGATCTTCTGTGGAACTGCATCGGATAGGCTCCCGCCGAAACGTCCGGAATGCCTTCGACCGGCTTCTCAGCGATCGGGCAGAAGACGGTCGACAAGTAAAAGTTATGGATCGATGAATAGATGGATGTTAGAATGAATGCCCGAACGTCTCGCAATTATTTGATCGTCCGAACAATACTCCGGCGGGAGTCCGTCCGCTCACGACTTGAACCTTCCTGCATTCGATGTCCAATGGAAATCGAGTGGCCCGAATGTCCGCGCTCCGATCTTCGATGCACCGAAATTAGTTGCGATCTATCAAGCAACACGATATTAGTGATAATGATAATGTCGATCCGAGATTGCCGGTCTATCGATGGCGACTCCCGCGGACAATGGTTGGTCTGGGATTTTTTTCGATCATGTTTGTCATTTGGCAATCTGCTACGGATTCGCTTGTCCCGTCGCTTGCTCAAAACCACTAATCCGAACGACGAGTGCAGAGATCCGCCCCTGTCGGACTCGCTCGTTTCCAGCGACCGAGTGACCGACCAGACTGATCATGCTCCCCTAATCGCTTCCAGAAGCCGTGCAGTATTCACATATAATGGAATCCAGATCGTTCATCAAGCTGGAAGTATGTTCTCGTCGGCTCTATGAGCCAATTCATCGGTATTCTTAGGTATTCGATCAAGCCCGGAGCCTCCCGGCGCATCCCGCTCAGGAGTAAATCTTGCCGGGACGGCCGTTCGAAAACGCGGCCGCTGACATAGAAACTCTGAGAGTCACATGAGACATCTGGCTGCCGCAGGTCATTCCAGACAGCTCGAAATCGTCAAATTCGACGTGAGAAGGTGCGGATCTGTCGACTTAGTCTCGAATTTTCGCCCGCGGTTTCGAGGGAAAGGCAGCTGGAAAGCTTCGTTTTGCCAGTCTCTTTCCAAAACGATGCTCGCCGCACCGCGCTCCAGCCAACTTTACCGGCGGGAGCTGAGGGACACAAAAGGGTATTGAATTTTTTCCTGATGACTGAGTGAGAGTAAAATCGGGCTCGGTCCTTCGTGAGCGCAAACGCCAGGGGGTAGAACAACCGAAGTCTATACAGGTGTGTCGCAGACCCTCGGGGCTAAGTCCGACTATTAGGAGGCAATAAATCGGCGCGAGGAACAAAAGAAAATTGTGGACTTCCAAATGGTCCGGGGCAGAATACTCGGCTTTCAGAAATATCCGACGGCTTCCCACTCGGCGAGACGGAGCTGCTCGCTTCTGCGATGGTCTTTCCCGAACGCCATCTCTGCCCATGCTCACCTCTGGTCGTTTCCGCACTCCGCCGTCTGGTGTTGTCTCTTTTGTTTTTGAGCACCGTGACTGCAAACCGAACTGAGGGGACTGATTACGGAATCATCAGCAGCGGTAGATTGACTATTCATCTCAAGCCCGATGAGATTTTGGGCTGTACGGAGATACCGGCCGGCATTTACGGCTGAGGGCAAGCTCTTAATCAACGATGAGATGTTTGTCTTGCGTCACGGGCGTTCAGTTTTGTTTTAGGAGCCAGCGTAATTATTGAATGAGTGGATCGACCAAAAGACGGAACCGCGCCGTGGACTGATGATAGACAAGCCCGGGATAGGATGAATGAAGAAAAGAAGGAAGGAACGCGTTGCAGCCGCCACTTGTAGCTCCTCAGGTTAACGTTTTCGAACAAACTCGAGCTGTAGTGTTTGCACTTTAGCAAACATCGCCAAAGCATGCGCGATAGTATGACGTGGCAACAACGGCCGTTCTTGTACCGTTCGACGGATCGCCAAAGCGACCGGTAGCTGCAACGGGTTCAACGTGTCCGTTGTTCCGTCGATCACCCTGCCGACCGGGCGGCTGGCCAGCCTGCCCGCCTGCCTGCCGGACTCGCCGTCACAGACGTCGTTCTCGTCGTCATCATCGACAACAACATTGATGTTTACGTCGTTTCCGATGGGTAAGCGTCTATCTCTGGGTTTATTTGGCTTTCATCGATGCTACAAGCGTCCTGCACCGGTTCGAAGCGTCGATCGGAAGAGCGATCCTCAGTGCTTCCACTGTGTAAGCGACGAGCGTTGGATGGACAGGCTAGCAGGCAGGCGTCCGTTCGTCTCTTCAGCGACGTTCGATGGATTTTTTCTTTCGTCCAGCCGCCCGTCGTTCGGGAAACGAGAACACTTTCTCTTCTGGTCATCATATGAAGAATTACTTTTGCACCACCGCACAGCGGCAGCTCTAGCCGTCAGCTGACCGGCCGACCAGTTCGCCATTCATCAATTTACCAACCGATAGATGGAGGGATGAATAGATGGTTGGACAGAAGCACGAACGGACGAAAGGGTTAAGGCTTGATGGAACGGACCGTCGACAAATGAACGGATCACCATAGGCGGCAGGTGGTCGTTCAGAATGTCCAGGAAGGTGTGTACAGAAAGGCCCGGTGTATTCGGCGTCGAGCCTCCAGATCGCCCTATTCTGCGATGTATCCGCTCCCCAGCCATACTCGGACTGTATAATATTACTGGTCGTGGATTCCGATTGGGGTGTCGTTGGACAATATCGCTCACGACTCGAGAACATCAAATCGGTAGCGTCGCTTTGGGAATCTGCTGCCGGAGAACAGGGCGTTCCGACGAACGTCCAGCCGGCCCGAGGCGTGGAAACACTGTTAAATATATTCTAGCTCCGTTCACACGTTGCGATGATGTTCGAATTGTTCCAGAATACGGAAGAAGATGAGTGAACATCTTGGAAGGCGGTCGAGCGACTCTATGCGTTGCATGTCAAATGAGCATGAGCTGGAGAAAGTTGAACGGGGACGGGATAACTGGGAGCGTGTCTCGTCAAATGCCCGATCGTGATTTCGGAGAAGTTCCTGGTTTGGAAGTGACTTTCAGCGTTCTCTCTCACTCGTGGCAGAAAACTCCAACTTGATCTCTCTCTCTTCATTGGAAGAAGGACGACGGCAATTGGGCTTCCTGCGCCGGTTTTGGCGCAGGCCTCATATTCTAGAAAGAAATCAAAGCTTCATAGGAAACGATTTTTCGCTCAAAGATGACCAGCATAATCATCAAACGGGAAGGAACACGAGACAACGGAGTTTATCAGTTGCTTATTGGGCTGTTAGCCACAAACAAACTTTATTCAGATCAGGAGTTAGAGATAAGCTATTTATGATTGATGGTGATGCGGTGGTGGAAGTCCAACCCGAATTACTGCCTGATATTCTAGTTCATTCTCAACCATCTACATTTATCTCACTGGCTCGCCAATTCACAAGATAGAGGGGAGGAACGCGCAAGAGTTTCACTCCTTTCTCGTGCATGTGTTTATTCATCGCATTGGTCTTCTATTTTGATCGAAGCGATCAAGTTCAAAGGATGCGTGTTCCGAGAATGGCCAGAAATGACTTCGGAAGTCCGATTCCGGTCTGAAGACATGAATGGAGAACCCCGCGATCATGAGGAAGCGGACAGAATTCCGCATTTTGCAAGCGTCCCATCGGGTATTAGTATAACAAAGATAATATGATTCTCGCACTCCTCTTGCATCCCCCATGAACGCCTATAGATCGTTTCCATTTCCGAATGACGACTCCTTGTTCGTCGATGGACCAATAAAACGAGCGTTGGGTAACAATGATAAGTACGTTCACTGATACACTTATGTCCACTTACGTCAGAACAATGAGACGATCCCCGAGACTTCGCAATCGTCGACCAGCCCATCCCAAAAGAGCGATCAAAAATAATTGAAGTAGTATTCATTTTTACTCGCAGCTCCGACTCAAAAGCCTGAGTCCGGCCTTCTAACGCCTGATGAGGAACGAGTAGCACTGACAAGGGGACGTACTGCCCGTTCTTGATTAGAATCGTGTGAAGCATCGCTTCTAATCGAAATTTCGATTGACTCGATCAAAAAATAGCCGTCCTGATAACGATTGTTTCAATCCGAATAACAAGATCGCCCTCATTCAACGTTCCACCGATCTTGAATCGGAAGTTCACCGACTTGGCGCGCGTTTGGGATTCATGTATGAAGTTATTTTTGCGTTGTGAGGAATGTTTTGTCTTATCTCCGACTCCGGTCCCGAACGTCCACCTGATGATTTTAACCAGAGCTGGCCTCTTCTGATGCTAATTAGCGGTGGAAAAAACGCAATAATTATGAGCACTATAAAAATCTTCAACGTCAGCGTCCCTTCCTCGACCGTCCGACCGGCAGGCAGGCAGAGTGAACGGTTGCAAGTACCGCTGAGTCGCCGGACGCACGGTTGCTTGGTCGGCTAGCCGTTGGCGGAGTGGACACCGACGCACGGATAGGAACAGAGCCGGGGCTTGATGGGGAAGCCCCCTCTCTAGTTGGCGCGCGCGAGGAGGTTCAATACCTCCACAAGAATAGCGAGAAGGAAGAAGCCGATAGACGCTACACCTGAAGATGGTAAAACGCTAAGAAAAAAAACAACCGAATCAAAGCCGTTCGTCTTCAGTTTACTCCCGCAATAGTTCGCTCCTGTGGCCCAGGCGCTGTGCTATGGTCGTCCGGCCGATGTTAGCCACTCAGAACAAGTTCCCCAACTGGAGATCGGTGTCTTCAATATCTCCGATGTAGTGTTGTTACTTGCGACGTGTTCTCGGAGATCTGGAGCGCCTCGAGGTGAAGAAAGTGTTTTCCCTTCGCGGCTCGGGTGGAGTGACTGGCAGATCCAGTTGACCGTGGATAGGTTCCTGGACTCGGAGCCGTGGAAGTTTTAACCGTGATACTTCGTTCGATAGAGCGACCAGCTCGTTCCCCGACGTATAGTCGCATGGAATGGGACGCATAATGGAGACCGCAGTACAAGGGATCTACCAGCAGATCATCTCGATTTTCCATCCTTCACAAACGGTTTCCTCAATCACGCCACAATCGAGCAGGATCACGAAACATGGTATGCTAATCTACAGGATCTGCGATCACTGTATCCCCTGGTGTAGAGTTCCGATCGGTGTGAAGAATCCGAGTTTCCAATGGACGACCTGAGACTCTTCCGGGACTGTGAGCGTTCGAGCATCCGAATTTCGCCGGGGGGACACGGATAGGCACTCCCCTTGAGCTAAGTCGGTGGACCGAATGTGATCGTGTCGATGGTCCATGAATCACGAGGCAAAAACGAGACAGAAGAAGAGGTTTCGGCCACGGCTGTCATGGCAGCAAGTGAGAGCGATTCATGCGTGAACCTTCCACCAGGTCGAGCTTTTACAATCGTTACCTACATGGCTGGCGTTTCCTGTTCTAATGAGAGAAGATGTGAATAGCTGTCCCGAACGTAGCTCAACGATCTATGCAGGCAGCGATCTATGCAGACGAGTATCTAGGCGGCCACCACTTGACTGACTAGTGGATGTGAATAGCGCTGATCGACGGTCCGTGACGACCCAGGGCTAGTTGTAGTGGTGGTAGTTGTGCTGGCGGAGGGGCCCCGGGTGTTCGACGCCGGCCGTTCCAGCCAAACTCCACTCTGCAAGGCTGAAGGAAAACATGGAAACATCACAAATCAATAGACCAGGCCAAAGCGGACTAGATGACGTCCCACTTCCCGAAAGAATGTACTCGAATGCTTACTCACCGCAGGAATGCGGCTCGCTACGCGCTGCAATTCCCACCGAAGATGCTGCCCCTCAAGGCTGATGACGAGGGGAGCCGAACAGCAAATGATTACGAACACGGATGCAGGCCGTCCGTGTCTGATAATCTCTGAGACTGTCACGAGAACGATTCATGGCAAACACTTGTCAATGTCGTCGCCGCAGCGCTTGCCGAGTTCGTGATTGTTTTTTTATTCTTGTTTCGCTGCCGCAATGTCCCATTTCGCTGTCCGTTAATCCTGGACGCGTGGTCAAACCAGCACGGCGACCCGCTAACTAGCTGGTTTCGACGTCGCTTAACTGAAGACCCCGCACGCATAATTCTGGAAGTCCAAAAAATTCACGGAATCGGTCCTAGGTCCGATGCGCCACTGGAATCTCCCGTATGGGTCTTATTCGATTCGTCTGGCCCATTCATGCCCAGCTCGGCAGAGACTTGTGGGGGACAATCGGCCGCTGAATTTCGATACGGGAGGCAGATAGGATGAGACACTCTGTTTGCGGACCCCGAAGCTCCACTTTTCCGATTCGGTACCATGCGTTCTTTACGCGGAGACTCGCTCGGAGAACAAGGGGGCTCGAGTTCTGGGACATCGCCGATGCGCCGTCGTATCTACAGGGAGTCTAGATTTCAAACAAGAGAACCAGGTTCCAGCTCGCATTCCAGCGAGTCATCTGACGGCGGAAGTCGCCACTCCACCAGCTTCAGTCAGCTTCTCCACCTCGCACGCTGGTCACCGATCCCCCGTTCCGCACGTCAGTATCTCGAGCGCTCTTCGTGCTCATATAAGCTACGACGCGACGGCAAGATTCGCGGACAACGAACTTGGAAACGGAATGGAAGGATGGAGGAAGTTCGCAGCGAGCAGCGAAGTTCCTCGGGCTTCGGCTCGCTGCGGCTCCGAAGCGCTTGCCGCTGACTGAGTGGGTATCGCGTTTTCTCGGACAAGTTGACTCAACTTTTCTCTCCGAAAAAGGAACCGCCCATAGTCTATGGATTCCGCTGATGGTTGCCGTTCCTCCACCCTTCCATTTTCCGAGACCTGATTCGGATCATTTTCGTAATAAGAAGTCAAGGTTCGGATAGATTCTCCGCGCAGCTCGATCGGATGACCGAATGCTCCGACTCTTCGATTGGTCGAGAGCCACACGAGTTGAGGCCGTCGAGGGCTTCGGTCTCGAGGCAAACCACGTGTACGGACGCAAATCACGTCTCCGAGCTGTCTCGCCGTCGATCGCGAGGATAGGCTCGGCCATGCATTGTCAACTTCGCCTTCCCCCGAAACTATTAGCCTCGCTTATCTTGACGGATTAGTCGCGGATTACGATCCGTGGCCACGCACCCGCAGACCGCGCGGCCTAAAGCTCTTCGAAGAGCTGAAATGCACTTTCACCACGGACAGAGCATGTCGGGTCGTGTGAATTTGCCATTTATTCCCCTTTGTATGAGAAGCGGGGACGAGTTTGGCGACCTGATTCAATCACGAGGCGTGAGAGATTCTCTGACTAAGTCTGGCACTCGAACTTGGTATTCAGTTCTGTACTGTCGAAAACTTCCGAATGTGAGCTGGCGTTCGACGGCTCAGCGGGCCACTTGTCGAACACGCGAGTTTGTCGGTGTAAGTTTGCCGGACGCAAAAACTTTTCCACCGGTAGCTCTCACAAGTCTTTGAGATTCTCTTCCGACACTTGCTGGTGCCACGGATAGTGGCCGTTGGCTAAAATTCGACTGGATCTTCTGCTCAGCCGTGTGAATTTACTTCCACAATGAAATCCTATTTTTATGCCTCGACGCACGAACATCGACATTTTGATTGGAAGCATCAAGACAGTGAACGGAAAGTTTAGCCACCGACCGAAGATGACGGATGAGAACGTCTCGGAGAAGTTTTCTCGAATTCCTGAATATTTGATCACCGCTCATCAACGGTTCCCGGCTTCCATTAGTTCCTCAAGCTTATCCTACCCTGAGAAAAATATTTTACCCCAGCGAAAGAGCTGATGCGAAGGCTGATGAAATTACTTAGATTTCCGAGTCGCCGCCGAGAACGGCACTTACGCAAAGGCCACAGATTTCCTCCTACATTATCCGAGTATGCATGATGCCCATCGTTGCTCTACCGAGCGGAATTATTCTACGCCGATGGCGAAACATTCAAACCCAAACTATTCAAGTTCAAGCATATTTTGATGGAGACGCTGGAAAACCATGGAAACCCAGTGGTGTGGGCGTTGATTGGAGACAACGCCAACTCCGAAGTCCCTCAGTCACCACTTCACGGGCATTGTTAGATAACTAGATGTGATGGCAGTTGTGAATTGCCTCCAGCTGTATGAGGCTTTCGAATAATAGACATCATGCAAAACCGAAATAATCTCCGTCAGAAGATAAGCGCACCTCATAATGTGATCTTTGTCGTCCTACGATGCTGAAGCACCCCTCCGTCCGTTGATACGAACAGGAAAACAACAGAAGAAATCAGTGGCTTGGCAGTTTTCGACCCGCTATTGTCGCGAGGATTCGCTCTCTCGGCTTCTCAATCACAAGCCGGCAAGAGTACGAATGTTCAAATCACTGGCGATTGGACTTTGCGGGGTTCAGCGGAAGCCTCAGATTGAGATTATTGGAGAAGGTGGGTTCGCACGATTGGTGCTTCAAAAATAAGCCGGAACAAGATAGTGAGAGTTTGGCGCCAAGGCGTCAAATCGAGCCGCCGACAAAGCGCCATAGAAGGATGAGCCGCCATTCATTCTGCAGTTGGTAAAACTACTGACTGGGACCTAGACTTTCCGAACGACCTTGTCGGAGGGGAACCACAGTTTCTTGGGGCTCACGAGCTGCAGAATGGGAAGCCGCGATGCTTCTTCGTGGTTCCCGGAAATGTTTTTTCGCTGCAATTTCCTTCTTGAATTCAATCCATAGTCAGTTTACGGTTTTCTAACGCGTCCCACGAGTGACCGCCGAACACGACAGAATCTTCGCGTGAATCCAAACACTGTCGGAATACTATGAAGCGACCAGCGATGACGACCAGAAAGTCACGATGCCCGAACTTGACGTTTTTATTTCCCTCAATCCGAACTGCCGCCTTTGCTCATGCCCACAAAAAACTGACACGATAGTCAGGATGAATCAGCAATCGAGAGAAGGGGAACTCGTTCTCAGGACGTATAGGAGATAATGGAAGAAGAGGCTTGCGGCAGAAAGAATTCGATGACATCTACATCGAACGCTTCGATTGTTGCGGGTTCAATCAAAACTTCTCCCTGCTATGAGCCCAGTCCGTTACTTTCCGTGGGCTCGCTGCCGGACCTCTTCATCATCCATTCTTCGTTGGGTTCTCGAGAAAAGGAAATCGTGCTTTGCAAATCTTCAATTTGGGATTCAATCTGGAAAAGGAGGGGGCAAAGCGGTGACGTGCGTCGCCGGCCTGGTTCCGTCATTTTCAATATCGCCCATTCTTATCACTTTCGAGAGCCTGTCCCGCTGTCCACATTGACGACGAAAGTCGGCGCTCCGTGCCTCGGTTTCGCATTGTTTCGCGGTCGGGCGCCTGCTGCTGCTGCAACGTGTTGACCGGAGCTCTTTCCTCCGGCAGCTCCCCACATGGCTCACTGACTTTTATATATGTGGATGTTATATGGATCTCGCTAACAATCGTCTCCTCCGTGATGATTTATTGTCACCGAGCCTAGTATTTTCGACCTGAATTACGAGAAGAATTCGACAGATGAATAAGGGCCGTCTGGAAGCAAGCGGACTATTTGATCTGAGAACTCAATCGGAGCGGCTTTCTCTTCGGGGTCGAAGAAAATATATGGGTCTCGAATCAGTACCCGGGGTGAGAGAAACGAGTCGAGAAATGGTACCCGGAGTCGACAGACTCGATCGGATTCGAGTAATCCGGATCATGGATCACCCATCCGTCGATCGATCAAATTCTGCAAAGCAAATAATTCATGGAACGGAGAAGATCCAGTCAGGAACGAGATCGGGATAAGGTCCAAGCTTGCCGCACCACCATCAAGCATACATTCATTGTCCCGGCTTTGAAAACTTCCAGAAGAGCTCTAATCAGAGGCCTACTCTTTGTCGTTCGCCGGAGAGGACCAGAATTAAGGGCGTGTTTCAAAGTTTTGCTTCAAAGTGTCAAATGTTCAGCGCGACGTCCTTCCAACACGTTACCTTGCCGTGGCTCGGCAGCCTTTAGTTGAAGAACTTCATTCATTCACCCGCTCAGTGCCAGTCCAGCCGGTTTGCTCGTTCCCTCCTTCACTCGCTCGTTCCCTCCCTCACTCTTCGACTGATTCATTCATTCACCCGAGCATCTGAGTGAAGCCTCTCATTCCTAACACAAAGGGAACCTTATCTGACAGAACTTCCGGAACATCATCATTTCACTCGGCTGTTGGAAACAGAGTTGAACCCTTGTCCGTTTAGCCAAAGTGTGGTGGATGCCGCGGCGACTTGCTCGCGGACTTCTCCGCAGCCTCTGCCTGAAGTTCGTAATCGGCGATTGTCACCGATGAAGGAAGCTCTCAAAGTCCGGCCCGCTTCTTTGCCCACAAGCAACGCGAACTGCTCCGACAAGTACCATGCTCTGTGCTGGACCTGTTTTCTAGAGCAACGCGTGAAGAAGTCAGCCAGCTGGCGTCCTTCGGAATGCTAGATTTGCTTGGGATCTGGCTTTCATGTTCGATGACGACGAACGAAGTGACGACTACCAGGGTGACGTCGCGTCGTCGTCGGCGGAGGCGGCGGCGTCGAACACGACAGCGAGTCCCGCGATAATTGTTTTTATTTTCGCCAAATTGACGTTCGAACCTTTTGACATTCCGTTCGAAAGATTTCCTCCTCACCTCCAGGCAGTCAGTCTTTCATCTCCTGCCACTGAGCGCCAAATGATCCTCTTCGTCGTCGTCGCTGACGAAGGAATCTGCTCGATCGCTTGATCCTTTTGAAAGGTGACGAAAACTTGTGCGGGCAAATCGGACCGCTTTGCTCCTCACTCGGAGCGTCGTGTCATGCCGCTCGATCATTTGTTGACCCAGTCGCGAGCGATCCAGCCAGATACCCTTGACCACTCCGGCTGGCTGGCCGGCCGACTGACTGACTGACTGAGCCTCTAGCACCGAACAACCGGGTACTGTCGATGGCACCCAAGAGGCTCTCCTGTCAGACATCTGGTCGCTGCCAGACCCCGGTGTAGATTCTGATGCTTCATAACGTAACCAAATAGCTCCGGTTATCTTCGGATAGGCGCAGTTGTCATAAATAAACTGTCATCGACGGGAGCGACTGACTCCAAAAAAATCGGAAGGGACATTTCTTTGTCGACGGACAGGTTCTGTCAGCTGTGCGCTGCCATCGTTGACGCGGCTCATCACAGTTTGACTGAGTTTTCCGTCGACTGGGCTTCCCTCTCGGCCTCTGCCATTTGATATGGATGAATGGATGGATTTCAGAGGAAAATCGGAGAAATCGAGACGCGAAAATTCTGGGTTTTAGAGAATCCAACATCAGGTATGTTTGCGTGATTTGTCGCTCTGTTGACTGAGAGACTCGCCGACGGGTTTAATCCGGCGCACGTCCAAAGTCATCCAGATATTCGCATCACTCCGTCACGCAGTGCCGGAGCCTCGCCCCTGTGGCGATTCGAATTGTGTTTCAGTTCATGAAGTTCACCTACATTCCAACTGCCGGGCGTCTGCCGTCTGATTCACTGATCGATTGCTTGTTGGATCGAACGATCCGTCGATCGATCGATTCGAAGATCGGGCTCAGGATCCTGCGTGATCTTCTCGGCACGCTGTCTTTGGCCACTCACGCGTCACTGGCAGCGGAGCGGGCTATCGGCAACCTATTTTTTTCTCGTGTAGAACAAGAGGGAAAAACGTGGAGACAGTCCGCAGCTCCTCTTTGTAGTATGTGGTCTAATCCATTGTTTCACACCAAGCTCCATACTGTGACAAAGAGTAGAAGATGAGGGTACGGCAACTGTGATACCGGGGTCGGAACGTTTTTGCAGATTGTGGGCGATGCTGTCGTTAACCGAAGAATCGCTGACAAAATATTCTGGTCACTGAGAACCATAACCAATGGGAGAGAATGCCCGCTCGTTCGCTTCAGACCATTGCGATGACGGCACAGTTTTTTTGTTTTCAACCCCCTGTTCAAAGGTGTTGCTCAAGGAAGAATTTCACCACGTCTTCCACTGTAGACCTCAAGAGGCGAGGAGATAGAGAAATCTTCGGCTGAGGTTTTCAACTCATTTGGAACAATACGTTGCTTTTGCGGCAGCCGCTCTCTGGACGCGGTTTCATTTTCGCCTTGGAATTGACAATAGGTCTGTGTTCTGTTTCGAAGCTCACTCACTCGCTCATTCATTCAGCGGTCTGTCTGTTTAGCTACTGCTTGTCCAAGACTCGGAGTGCTACCGAAGAGCGATCAGGCCATTTGTCCGTCCGCTGATGATCTCGGGGCATTGCTACAGTTTGCATCAGCTGCTCCAGACTCGCGTGGGGACAGACTGCCTCAAAGGTCCCCGCCGCCGCGAAGGGGGAAAAGGGAGTCTTCGCTGAATCGGAAGGGTGATGAATGAAGCGAGTCATCGACGTAAATGGCGGATGGAACTGTAATTGGTGGGTCAGTCACAGCTATTTCGGGTGCGGCGTTCACACAGAACTGCGTGATTGATGAACAGCATTCGACAAAAATACGACACATGGCATAGGGGATTCCGATTACCGTCGAGATATAATCTGGACTACGACGCTGGGTTGCATGGAATTCGCATCCCGGTTCCTTGATGTATTTATCTGCGAATGCCGGCAGAAGTCTTGGAACACTAAATGGGTTTCGATCTTCATCGTTCAATTGATTGCGCGTATACAGAGGGCGGCAAGCATCCATCTAGTCAGATGGTCGATCTATAGGGAACTTCTGGAAAATATCGACTCGGAGAAACGGAAGAAATATGAATTAATGTGTACCTCCTTTATTTCAGAGCCTCAGGCATCGGACCTGGTGGACTCGAACGGAGAAAAAATCGAAATGGAAACCCTCCACGGAGAAGCCGGCGAAGAATTGAATCACAGCGTGAAAATCACGAATTCGACGGCCAACATTTCTCGCCAGATCAACATCAGCAAAGTCAACGCTGTCAACGCTGGCATCGGGGTCCAGGTAAGCGTTTTCTCCGCCCTTCGCCAAAGGCATTCCGCGAGCATCCTCGGACGACCTGCCGATTCCTGCGCGTTTCCCAATTCTCGGAGAAAATCTCCGGGCAGTCCGAGTCTCTGCTTTCACATAAAATTACTTATGCATCTTGTGCCGAAGCCGGGTGCAGGCAAACAGCATGGCATACACACGGTCGGAACGAACCGAAAAGAGCTGTCTGATTACGAAAGTCGGACTCCCTGATTACAAAAGCGTCGGCCACCGTCTCTATCGGACCTGAATGGGAATTTGAACTCTGCGCCGATAAGATTGCGACGATTTCACGGTCGCCTGACGAATCTTCTCCGTCGTCGGCTCGTCAGTCCTCATGATTTTATGACGAGCAGTGCCAAGTGGATGCCGGAAAAAATCGACGGAATGCTAGCGACGACAATAATGTACTATTTTTGTCTGTATGTACAATATATTGATTCGAAGCGGAATGTGCCGCAAAAAATCACGCGACAGCGTCATCGCCAAGAGGCGGCGATCCAGAGCGCGGATTGCGTTTGGCGCAATTATTGATCTGTACGGACCGAGTCCTCGTGTGCTATGTAGCTCGTCGTCCGCGTCAGTTTGCAGCGGGTCGGAAGAGTAGTCACGCTCATCGAATTGGTGGGCAAAGAATCGAGCGAAGAAAAAACATCGGCGTTTCACTTCGTCAGTGAGCGCGATCCATCGCAAATCTGCCTTATCCTCCTCAAGAAGAGCCGTCGCTTTCTCACGTATAAAGCTTCTTCACAGCGGGTACCACGTATACGCCGTGGCCGCCACCTTCGTCGTCAATGCTGCTGGGACGTCGAGATTATACTTGATATACATTTTCATCGTATACATAAGAAGATGTAGCCATCACGCTTTCTTATTCCATCACAAAGCACGTCCGTTCCCCCGGGAGAGGAAAAAGGAAGTTTCCTCGCGAAGCTTGAACCGTTACCCGTCTAACGGCGATGGCCACGGAGCAGTGGCTGCTCAAACTGTTGGGTACGACGACTGTTTCAGAAATCAGCCGTCGAAGAGCTCGGGACGAAAAGGAAAAGCGGCCTGCCAAATGAAATTCAGCTCGAGAGCCAGATCGGAATTATAAGGTTGACGGACAACAATTTCGCTCGATGCCAAAGTTCACCAAACGGAACTACGTTTTGTGTCTGCATCGGAGGGACCCCTTGATTTATTGAAGAGAAAGCGGGACTATATCGAAACCAGTGATTGTCGACGTTGCCTCGTCATCCGCAAGAGTCGAGAACGGAAGACATCTTAGCGCCATAATCTGGATTGGGGCGGTTCACGCGAGCGGAAGAGGTCCGAATCTTCACTCGAGGAAGTTCTGTCGGCAGAGCTCCGGTTGACATCGGGTGCGGCGATTGTCCGCTTAGTTCAACACCGGAGCCGGCGAGGCATGGGATGATGAAGATTACCCCAGAAGTCGCTAGAATCCATCCAAGCAACACCCAATGCTGATGCGGTGGCTTTGATGAAGGTCTTTGAAAAAAATATATTTTAAGATTTACCGACGTCACTGAGGACGTCACGGTCGTTCCTTGAAGTGGCGGGCGTGTGAAAATTTTGTTCGAGCCTCGAGGAGCTACAACTGTCTCGTCCTTCCGCTCGCTATTTCCCTCCATGTCCGATCCCGAATTACACAGAATTCATGCTTTGGACGACCCGATAAGCGAGCCTCGCGGAGTGTTTTCACCGGAGGGTCATACCACCGATCCATGGGGCTCGGAGGCTTCTGCGCATCTTCGTGCGTGATTCCTGTTTTGCCTCTCGACGCGCAGGTCACTAGGCTTCAACTAGGATCCTTGCTTGCATAATCTGATTCAGCCTGACGGATGCCCGGAATCCGGATATGGAGGCTGTCGGGATCTTGTCGACACTTAAAGTGTTCCGGATTTTCTGAAAGCAATATCTTGTGCAGGATCATGACCCTTCTTCAGGCAATTCCTCGCTTATCAATTTCGCCGTCACCCTCAATCATCCAACCGCACTTCATTCTCGGGGGTCCTGGCATGGATGATGATCGTGGTCGGGGAGTGGCTGCAGAATAGCAGCTTTCTGCTTCCGTTCGAACGCTGCGCCGGCAGCAACGCGAAAATTGCGTGCGGCGCTCTCGCAAGATGCTGACTGCTTGCGCAGAGGTTGGGGCTCTTGACCATCGACAACTGTGGTTCGAAGGATTGACGGGCTCAGATGTGACTGTCGGAAATATTTTCCTGTCTTGATTCACGCCGCCTATGATACTGCAGGGACCCGTGATAGCGGCTCCCGCTAAGATGGATCTCTTGCTTGTCGCCTGATATGATTAGAAGATAGTTCGATCTAACTCCCGATCATACCTCTGCATTACGAACAGATCGTTCTATATCAATCGCCAGCTCCTCCGAGTCTGTTTCTTGCGAGAGCCCATCCGACCGAGTAGATATGACCGCGCCATTCCACGGAGCTCTCGTTTTGTCTATGACACCCGACAAGTTGAACAAGAATGAACGAATCTGCCATCGATTTTCAGGAGGTCACCGAAGAATTAATCTTCGAATCGATCGAAAATGCTTCTGGCAATGGATCAGACTACGGGAGTTGTGAGGAGAAGGATCCTGTCTACGAGGAGGTGAGTCCCCGAACGATACATATACGTACATGTGCCCGATACGTATATGTACACATGTCCGATATACATATGTACATATGTCAGACTCAAAACTCATCGGAAGTAGCCCTGGTCCTCGAGAACAATTTGCTTCCCCTCTAATACTTATTTATTTCTTCATTTCCTTCCCTACAGGTCGAAACCGAAGAGGAGATCTACGCAGACTGTTCCATAAAAAATCATCCGCTCGAGCAGCCTCTCAGAGAAGTTTTGGACACGTCCGGAGGCCTGACACCCCAAACGAGGTCGCCAGTTGACTGCTCCATAACTTCAGATCTGTCGAGGGACATGCTGACTTCCCCGAACAGCTCTCAGCACTCAAACTACGCCCACTCCAACTCAGGTATTAAGCCGGACCGACTGCGAGCCAACAACCCAGCTATTCATCCAACCAAACTCCGTCGAAGATTTGTTCGATCGACGAATACGAAAGTAGTGTTCCGAGAAAGAAAAACCATCCCGCAGCAGAAGGGTCGTCGTGATTCGTGCTCTCCTCCGTTGAGTTCTTCTTCACCACTGTGCTTTGTCAAGCCGAACCCTGAAATCAGAAAGCAGAACCCTTTGCGTTTGTCTCACCAGTCCGCTCGTTGCAAACACTGGACGTATAGCAACAGAAAACTACTTGTAAAATCAGAGCGCGTGTCGCGGTCAGCTGGAATGCCAGCGAGCTTCGCAGCCGAATTTCTTTCCATTTCTTTCCGGAATCCCCAGGACTGCCATCCTTAGTGTTTAAATTTCCCTCTGGCTTCGCTGCCTATATCCGAAAATTCGGCCGTCTTCATGACTCTGGGGACGAACAAATATTTTTGAATAATTTCGGAGATCGGAGTCGGGGCCGATGGGTTGTAGCAATGCCCAGCGAATCGAGAACTTTCTGTAGAGAAAGTGCTCGACGCCAGGGTTTCCTTTTCTTTCCCTTAAGCGTTCTCACTATCACTTCAGGAAGTGAAGCATCGGAGTCGTTCGGAACAAGCTAAGATCGCAGGTTGATCGTCTGGCTGATAAAGAGAAATTGTCTTAAAAACTGAAGCGACGTCGGCGGCCACATCGTTAATTGTTGCAGTTTTGAACATCGTGGGGTTGGTCGCCGACATCCACTCCGCTAAGTAAAAAGATAATCGAAAAAGACCGCTCTGAATTGACTGACCCCGATAACGGCGACGCGAATTATGGCGACGCCGAATCGTTAGCAGCTCGCGTTAGCGAAAGCACTGAAGAACGCCGGGGAAGCAGGAAAGCCTGAAAGCATAATTATTCATCCTCTTGCCCACAACATCGAAGGCCGCGGAGAATCGTTCCATCAAATTCAACTAATCGGATCTCGATGCGGGAATCTCCAGCTCATGGTCGTGCCCCGGTGGCCCCGAGTCTCTAGGCGAAGAGCAGGTTCTCCGGGACCGGCTTGGATAATGAATATTCAGGATATTCAAGGTCTACCTCTAAAACCGAAGCCTCGATTTCCAGCTTTGTCGGATCCGGAATGCGACAGCGATCTGTTGCTAAAATGCTCCTCGCCGGAAGAAGAAGATGATCTTCTCTGCGAGATGCAGTCGAAGCAAGACATTCAGGATATCAACGAGATAAATGAAGCCGCTCGGGACAATGCTCTGATTTCGATTGAGACTCCCAAAGTGAGCGCCACGGCGCCCATCGAGGCACCCAAAGTCCTCCGTCCTCCATTGATTGTAAGATGCGTCCTGCAGAAAATATTCCGAAATTACTTCACAATGAAATTCTTAGAAATTACGGAACCACAGAGAGGAATCGAACATCCTGATTTGATGCTCGCTCCCGGGAGATCCTAACCGTGGCTCGCTTCTTTATTGGAGAAATTCAGAAAAATTCACTTCCTCCAGGTGGATCACAAGAAACTTATGCCGCAGGCTCTGAAGCCTGTTCCGGTGGAAGAGACGATTATCGCCCGAGAAATCCGACTTCAACGCGAACGCGAAGATGAAATACAGAAGGAGCGCGAAGAAGCCAGACGAAGAGCTGCGGAGAAGATGGGCAGTCTTTCCGGCAGCACTGGGAGCCTCCTTGTAAGTCGAAATTTTCTCATCGTTCCATCACTCCCATATCGACTAGACCTTTCACTCCTGCCCGAGCTGTCAATCAATTACGGATTCCCACTACGCGGATGGATCACGCCGCGTGCATTCGATTTTGTTCTCGAAGCATTGCTGTCGACCGACCGCGGCTTGAACTCTGATACCCGTTTTCTGTACTCATTTGCAGGACGAGAGGCCAGCTTCCAAATCTACTCCCTTCACCAGACCCTTGGCCACTTCTACCCCGAAAGGAGCTCGCGACGTTGGTGCTCTGAAAATTGAGGATGAAATCCGTCAGCTGAAGGAACGTGAAGATGAGCTCCGCAGAGTCCGCGAAAGCCTCCAGCAGAAAGTTCAACAGCAAGAGATTCTCGACTTCAAAATCGAGCCACAGCAAAGCGACCCCAAGCAAGACACCAAGACCGACACAGTGGTTCGGCCCTCGCCGATTTCGAGCGCGTCCCCCATACGTGAGTCGATGAACTGCGGAAAGCCGCCCTCGAATCATCCAGAAGATCGCCGATCCGAATTCGGCGTCGATTCAAACTTCCGTCCGTTTCTCTTCCAGCCAAGCAGACTACGCGCCGTGCGGTGAAAGTTCGCCCGTTGGACGATGGAGACGAAATTCCTGAAACGACTGTTTATCAGCACGAGACTCCGATAGAACGCGAGATCAGACTCGCCAGAGAGCGCGACGAGGCGCTTCGTCGCGAGAAAGGTCTTCTCACGGGTCGGAGGGATTCCGTGGATTCTTCGTCGATCCTCTCCGAGAGATCGACGACGTCTTCCACGTCATCGTCGTGCACCGACCTACGATCTCCTCGCACTCCGGTTCACAACATGGTGACGTCGAAAATTCAGAAAGAAATCGAGGAGCAGAACCGCAAGGAGTTGGAACTCAAGAAGGAAGGCGTCATCCGCACCATATCCGTCGAGCGGAGCGACTCGAAAGTAGCCAAGATCGGAGCCGAAGTCGAAGCCCCACGGCCGCGAACATTTTCCTCGAGTTCTTCGGGGTCCTGCAGCACACAAACGGCTGCAGCTCCTTTCCGAAGGCCCGCATTCGGGACCGTGGCTCGCGGGATCAGCATGCAGAAATTTATCGCAAGCCAAGGTAAAAAGATCGTTCCTACCAGACCCATCGAGCCTCGGTGGGTCGAGGCTCCGAGCAGCAGACAGCCCCGATTCGAACTGGGAACGGTGAATCTCGAGAATAAGTGCGATGCGAAACCCAGACGACACCTGGTGACCGCTCAGAGCAAAATCCAGCAGGAGCTGAAGCTGTTCAAAGAGCGCGAGACCGAGCTCAGGTGTGTATGGTCTACTGTCTCGATGCTTACCCTTTGCAACGATACGGCTTAACGAAGCAATCCAAGTCAGCGGTCACTCATACCGAGGGACGTCGCCTATGCCATCGGAAAAATAGTCACTAGATACACTTACCATGGATAATTACTTACAGGCGGATGAGAAAACTTGGAGGATCTCATCCGAATTTGAGCACTTTGGTCGTAGCGACAGACATTCCGGTATCGGACGAAGACGACGACGACGACTTCGTCAAGGACGATACTTCGCCAAAGGGACTCTATCCTTCATTGCGCCAACGCGTTTTGAGTAACCCCAATCTGCTGGACTGCGATGAGCCTGCAAAGGTGAGAAGCTTTTCTATCACAACGTCAAGCCCTCTCTCCCTCTCTCCGAGAGTACTGCCCCGCGCTGATTGAGATCCCGATCGCCGACTGAGGTCTCGCAAATACTTAGCTGTTCTCTGATTGTAAGGATTCGATGTTCCAGGTCCCGGAACCTCTGGCTCCAATCGTCCGGAAGAAGAGCGCCATGGTTGCAGAGTGGGAAAACCGGATTCGCCAAATTCAAGAGTCGAAATGAGAGCGTCACTTGAGTATAAATAGCGAGACGATCATTACATCTCCAGCGCAAGATGTGAAAAGCCAAACTTGTGATGTGTCCAAGCCCCATGCGTGGCTGTGACATCATGACGTCTTCCTGTTGTTAGCGTACTTTTCCGTCGTCGTCGTCGTTGTCGTCTCCATTGACCTTTCCCTCTCCTGGATGATCGATGTGAGAGCACCGAAAACCGTTAGCATGCGTGTCCGGCAAAAAAAAATCCCTACCTGCTTCATAGGATACGGAGAAACCGTGCAAGTCCACGGCTTCGTTTGGGCGAAGCCGCCGGTGACAAGCGTATATTATCCCAATGCAACTGCCCGCCTTCCCACACCGATAAAGCATCCAAAAGCCCCTCACCGTGTTCGTGGCTCTCATCGAGAAAGTTTCGAGTTTCGAATACTAACGATGTTCTTCAAGCGATTTTCGGAATGAGAGTTATCTCACGATTTAGAGAGAATAAGATAAAACAATAAAACCATTGTGCCTTAATGACAGAGAATGTCATTTGACGCGCGCCAACCTCGAACTCGCGCGTGAATCCCTCTCTCCTGCAATACCGTTTATAAAAATAAACTACTATGAGAGAGATTTTATAATAAAGCATACGAATATATTTTATTTGTTTCATAATTATCGCGTCTTCAATACAGTGGTACCGATTCAGATACCCCGATCAGGGTCCATCTGATCTTATTGATGTGGGCGTCACTACGAACCCAGTATCAAGCATTCACATTACTATTATTTCATAAAAAATTTGATTGGCCTCTTCCTTCCAAAACTAAAGTGTCAAACTGCGGCCCAAGGGGCATTCCCACATTGGTGTCTATCGATGGCCCGGCTACCTGAGCGCCCCCAGTCTGAAAAGATACAAGATTATATTTTCGTCCTGGCTTCTTCGCTCGATTCCACTCGCTGGCTATTCCGAGCGGTCGATTCAGCTCGGCCAGACTGGCTGGAATCAGTGAGCTGCCGCAATATGTCAGCGAGAGTCGCTGGGAAGAGGCATTCGTTAGGTTCCTAGACGGGCACAGCTATCAACGCGGCTGTTCGCGTTCGGAACATGATAAACCAATGAATTCCTGAGGCGACTAAGCAATGTTTCGGACGTCTACAGTCGAGATCTTCCAATCGGATCGCGATATCTACCCGATACCCACCCGCCTGAAAAAAACAGACCGTCCACGTCTCCGAGACTCTGTGGAAATTTGCTCGTTCGCTGCCGACATGCTCTCAGACGCTTTGAAGGGTTTTCACGAAATCATTTGAGCTATCCCGAGCAGGCTGGACCGCATGTGTCAACACGCGCATCGAATGAGCGCACGTGGGATAATGACACACCCCATTGAGATGTTCGCGAGGTATTCGGTCCTCCCCTTCCTTCGATACAGATGGAATTCGTCGAGATAGAATTTCCGAATTTATCCCTCGGAGGTTTCGCGTCGTACATTGCTACAGAATATCGATGTTTCGGAGGCCAGGCTCCAAAGAATGATAAATGACGGTATAATCGGCTACACGAAAGCCGATGCGATGCGGTTTCAGAGCCAACCCCCGACCGTTCTCTCCAACCTCCCAACTTCCTGTGATTCATGCTTCGGTGTCTACTACGGCCATTCCTTTGATCTCTTCGCGCTCGGTCCCATTCAGATTAAGATAACTGTTGCTCGTGGCGGAGCGAATAATCACCGCCGAACACTCTGCGTAGCTCGCTCACTCCCTCTGGGGGGAGGCGACTCATGTAAAGGATGTCACCATATGGCACTGAAACTCAAGCTCGTGGAGGATGCAGCGATCGGCGTATCGCGCGTGACATTCGACAACGGGTTGGGGAATTTCCTCGTAACTTCCACCGAAAAAGTATTTTCTGGCCTCATTCCATTGAACCCCAGCGAGTGAAGATCGAGGTTCACCAATAGACACGAACCCAATTCAGTCATTGCATTTTTCAATCGTCATTTCCTCTCTCGGGTGGAGCTGCTGCGAAAAGTTCGAAGTTCATAGAGTCCGGGAGAAATCCGACATTGCACGTTTCGAATAATGCCTGACGTGCTCGGAATGAGTCGCTGCGCCAGCTTCCAAACTTTCTCGTGCTGTCTGGGAGGAGGTCCGTTATTTACTTAGAGTGTGCACCCGAGTCGCGACTCTAGATCGTAGTTGATCCACAGACTAGTAGAGAAACTTTTGTGACATGAACTATTGACTCGTTCATTGTGTGGAAGACCTACCGGCTCGCTATGAGGTGAGTGGAACGGCGATCCGTTTTTTCGGAGGACGGTGCATCGATTCGTTTCGAAGTCTTCGCTCCGTTTTTCCGGAATTACAGTTAGAGACGGAATCCGAATCGATAAATTCCAATCAGTGGTAGGCGTTCTGTGTCGAGTTCATCGGAGCGAAATCATTGGACCGACGGAATAATTCTCCATCGAGGGAGTGAATATTTCGGAGTTTAGTGTTCTTCTGAGAGGATTCCATGGCAGCTAGGATCAGACGCCTGACGGTGGAAGGGTTGATGCGACCCTGAATTTCTCTAGCCGACATGTGTTCACCTGTTTGTCGCTCAATCCAGAACGGTCCTTTGATTAGGCCGTTTTCCCGAGCCTATTTCTATCAGCACAATGAACAATGTTACCCTTGTGTTAAAATCCATACCGGCTGTTATGTTAGAAAAAGCAAAGCAAGCTCCCCTTCTCTTCCACCGAGCCTGAGATAGACTGCGTGCTCCCGCATGGGGCCTTAGATCATTCCCAGGCGTTGGAAGTATCTCAGAAGACAAGAGAGCGTTGTCAGAACCCCTTCCAACGGAAACTTTCGGCTCATGCCTGATACCTTCAGTTATTATGTCTCCGAGCTTTCGCATCGGTGCTCAGCTGACTCGAGTTAGGCCGCCGTACTCGGGCTATTCGCGGTCCCGATCGATGAGACTTCCCGGGAACGGAAGAGCGATCGAGACCTGTATTTATACCGCCAGGTTCGAAATCAGTGACCGATAACCCCGACGAGAGTTGGCCAGAAGAGCGGAGATTACCGACTTCTCCATGCCAATGCAAGAAACTCGATGCGAGGAGCGCCGCCAAGGTTAAAGCCTGGCACGGCGGTAGCCAATCATTAGCGAGAGGCCTTGTACATAAATGTTTATGGAACAGTTGTTTTTTCTAGAGGAGTTTCCTCAAAGCCGACGGCTGTCGATATCGAGCCCTGGTGTGAACAAGTTGCTTTTGTTTAGGCCGTTACAGGGTTCGCGGAGGAACACTAAACGGATCGAATATTCTAGACGATTTGTTTTCTATCGCCGTCTTCACCGACCCACCCCTAGCCCCGACCCTTGTTCTCGTGGTCCATCTGCGGATGAGTACGCGTGGACGACCGCTTGTTATATCCTAACTCACAGCTGTCAATGACTGTTTGAACATTCCTTGTGGGCTTCCCCGAAGCCTTCTCATACAGCGAATCCCTCCGATGTTCTTGATGATTATTGTTCAGATGTAAACTGGTCCGGACTTCCTTGGGAGCTAGCGATGGCTGCGGTAGAAAGGTCGGGTCGGCAGAGTTTTTCGCACCGTCGTCGATCGTTCTCAACCGACTCGCACCTTTTTGCGAGCACTCACTCATGAGTTACACAATCTCAATGCTCTGCGGTGAGCTAGCTCGTTCGGTACCGATCCGGTCTGAGTCAGAACACTCATCGAGGCCACAGGAAGAAAGACGTTATCAACGTGAGACTTCCGCTTTGAAAATACGCTCTATAGATGGATTGGGTTCAGGACCGGTGCGAACGCTATCGGTTGTCGAGCTCGAGAAATTCCAAGAATCGGGGAGGATACGGCACCCATCAGGAGCAATCAATCGAAGTTGCTGTGATCTGACTCAAGCTGATCACCCATGCGTTCTGACTTTGGCTCAATCTTAGTTTGCCCTCTTGCTCTGCCAGTGTCCTCCCGCCACGAGATCGGACAAACTTCGAATCCCTCCCGGATTCCCGCTCTGCTTCACGGCGTAGGCTAATGAGGAAAGTCTGAGCGAACCCAGGACCTTCCAGTGCGATGTTAGCCCGATAGGGGCCGGAATATCCTATCCGTTGTCCTTTCCACGAACGCAGGCCCGTTCGTCGTTCCCGTCGTAGATTATTTCATTCATCAATTTCTCGTTCCGAACAACCTCGCAGAGGCTGGACCTAGCCGGTCAACTCAGTTGTCGGAATCGCTCCGGTTCCGAGCGTCAAATGCTTTCCCTTGTTGAACGACCTTTCCACAAGGAGCTCCCTCTCCGGAACCGTTCTTGCCTGAAAATTGTGGCTTTTATGAGCCTCCAACAGAGTTCGGCGGTACGGCTAACCGTGAGCACGAGCTAATCGGTGAACATCCGGTGGATTATGCTTGCCTGAGTCGAACCATGCTTTGCAGAGCGTTGGGACGGTGGACACCGTTGCTACTACTGTTGTTCGGTGCGGTTTTTCAAGACTCTCTCGGTGCTGCTAGTGAAGTCAAAGCCGACCGGCGGAAGAGACAGGCGAGACCTTTCGATGATGAAGTACAGGAACCCAGAGAAGTGAGACCCACGATCGTTAGGGCGCCCGACCCGAGATATCGCTACGACCCGCATCGACAGCAGAGGCCTCACGACCCTCGTCAGGACCCCCGTCACGACCCTCGTCAGGACCCCCGCCACGACCCTCGTCATGACCCCCGCCACGACCCTCGTCAGGACCCCCGTCACGACCCTCGTCAAGACCCTCGTTATGCGGTCCATCAACAGGAACGAGCCCCTCCGCCGAGGCGTCCTGAGACCCCCCGTTACGACCCTCGCTTGGAAGCCGTAAGTACGAGTTGCTGAAGTTGAATTCAATTTCTCTCCCCGGGCCGTCGGGAGATTTTCACCGCTTTTCGAGTAGTGAACGGGGTTGACGTGAGGAGTATGGGAACATATGTCTCAACTGGCCTGCGCGGAGGAGCCGAAGTTCACCTGAATTAAAGCAATGACCGCTTTCTAGTATTTGGCCGAGCTGCCCCAGGACGAGCGAGAGCTCGATGTTTCAGAGAGTAGGCAGTTTTACCAGGAATACACATCACAGGTTAGCTTAGATTTAGCGGGAGAGGGACACAGTCTTCCGATACGATGCACGATGCGCTCGGCATGGAATACAAGATTCGGACGCACGTGACGGTGGGCCCATGAGAATACTTTGCTTGCGGACTATGACAGTCGGTCCGGTGGGAGTCGGCTGCGCATGGAAATTTATCATTGGCAGAATGGACAAAGGAGCTTAGCCGTGAGAGAATGAGGGGGGATGTAGGCGTTCGCACAGCGACCAGAGACCGCGGAGGAAGCACAGAAAACCGTGGCGCACCTCGGGCTTGGGTCGTCTGCCGGTTTCTGATCTTCTGCCCTGCGCCCTCTGATTCAGTGTCCACTTTCCAGAGACGCCGGATTTTCACGGAGTTTGACGAATTAGGCGAGGAGAAGGGAAATTGGACTGAATGGGACACCAGCGCTCCTTGCTCGCGGTCCTGTGGCGGAGGCGTCACGTTCAAGACGAGGACCTGCTTGGATGAACCTTGCGATGGACCTACGAGAATATACTCGACTTGCAACAAACACGACTGCCCGAAAAACGAGACTCAAGAAGATTTCTTGCTTCGACAATGTCAGCGAATGAATAGCGTGCCTCACGAAGGTCGCTACTATAGCTGGGTCGTCCGACGGAGACACGGTGAGCGTATACACACGTTATATTCAATTAATTATAGATATATTCAAATTATCGATTTATGCTGGATTTCAAAGATTCCTATGGTTTGGGGATTTAGGATTTGGTGAATCTTAACCTTGAGCGCGGACGGGAACCAGAACTGGCTAGTGTTTTCTTCCAACCGATTCGTTAATAAAAACGAGCATCTTTTGTAGATCGCAATCCGTGTGAGTTAAACTGTTCGCCAAGAGATCGTGACCTCGACCTGAGGGCCCGGCACAATGTGATCGACGGGACCCGTTGCTACCACGCCGGTTTCGACCAGTGTGTCGATGGACAGTGCGTTGTGAGTATTACGCTGAATCATACATCTCCCCTAAACCACTGATGGGTTCGAAGAAAAACTAATCAGCTCGATTGAGGATTTCTCTCCTCCACGATCATCTGAGGGATACACTCAAGTTCTCGATGATTCCAGGCTACTGGTTGCGATGGACTGTTGGGCTCGAGGAAACGGATCGACAAATGCTTGGTATGCGGCGGAGAGAACAAGAATTGTAATACCACCACGCACAATGAGAACCGGGTCCAGCTGCCCATGGGATACGTTCCGATTCTCGTGATACCCAAAGGGGCCACTTCCATCATGGTTCGCGAGTCTCACGTGACAAAGAACTATATCTGTGAGTATTTCGTCTTCTTTCCCGAAAAATTGAGTTCTCGCAGATTGAGTCCAACACCGCATCATCCTCACCGGACCTGCTCTTCCCCAGCCCTGAGAGATCTGAACGGGACATCGTATCTCAACAAAGTCTACGAGATCGACTCCAGCAAGGCCTTCATGGCCGGAGGCGTCCGCTTCCACTACACTAGAAACCCACAGTACATGAACGGGCGGGAATTCCTGCGCGCCGAGGGCCCGACGAATGAAACTCTGGTCGTTGTGGTAGGTCTCAGATAGTCTCCGTCTCGATATGTTCGTGGAATCGGCGATGAATTCCGAGTCATGCGAAATATTCTGATTGATCTGCCTGATGTTCGTAGCTCCTGCTTCAAGAGATGAACCGCGGATTCGAAGTGGAATTTTCGCTGAAAGAAATCCCCGGACAACCCAGACCTCGTTCTGGAGAATTCCAATGGCAAAAAGGAGAATGGGAACCTTGCACCGATCCCTGCGGGGAACGCAACACAACTCGGGTGGTTCGATGCGCCAGCATCATCACAGATCTCGAGGCTCAAGACGTCAACGAATGCGAAGCGTCCGAGGAGCCCCCGAGCATGAAATCTTGCCCTGTGGACAACTGCCAGTCTGAATGGTTCACCGGTCCCTGGGAACGGTGCAGCGATACTTGCGGAAACGGAACCCAGACCCGAGCCGTTTTCTGTTCGACGGCCGCTGGCGAAGGTGTGAGAGTCCTGCCCGACCGATTGTGTAGAGAAAAGGGAGAACGCCCACCGAGCGAGCAAGAATGCTCATCGAACGAGTCCTGCGACAAATGGGAAGCTGGAGAATGGGGCGAGGTGAGTGTTCTTCTCCGATAAGGGAGCTGATCGATAGAAAACGTCCTCGATCGCCTTATCGTCATCGGATTGCGAGCTCTAAATCTTTATTCGATTATTCGAACTTTCCAGAGCGAGAAAAAATGCGGCGTCACTAAGGTGACTCGTGAAGTCACTTGTATACGCCAGATGGAGAACTCGACCGATGGCGTCGAGCTCGACGCGCCGGACTGCCTTGTTGACCTGAAGCCGGCCGCAGAGAAGGAACTCCTCCTCGAGCCGTGCACCGGCGTGGAGTGGGCGGTCAGCGAATGGTCCCCCTGCACCGAATGTGGCTCCACGGTTCAAACCAGACGAGTCGAATGCGTCAACGAAGAAGGTCGGCGGCGATTTGTTCGGTTTCGGCAATTTCTACGACTTTGCTGTATTAGATGTCCTCCGAGCCTCATACCGAGGAACGGAGCGACGTGCTCGGAGGAGAGCTGAATGTAAAACTAATAGTTTTCCCGATCTGTAGGACACGTGTACGGAGATTCGTACTGCTCGGGAAGACCGAAACCCGAGTCGGAACAAGCTTGCGCAGATGCCCCGATTTGTGAGCATCGTTGGTTCACCTCGGAATGGAGTGCGTGCTCGGTCTCCTGCGGATCCGGGATCCAAAGCCGATTAGTCTTCTGTGCGAGTTTCGACCAGAACGGCACAGCTGCGACCATTGCGGACGCGACCAACTGTGGAGGAGAAGCGCCTGGAGAGAAACAGGCTTGCCACAACGACCCTTGCGAACACGTCTGGCTCTCGTCACCGTGGAACAAACAGGTTAGGTTCCAGACGATCGACAGTGATTCATTTATTTGTTCGAAATCGATTCATTGCTCTTACAAAGGACCACGACCGAAGTTCGAGCTCTGCGGCAGCTGTTCATTCGGACCTAGAATCTATCTGTACCAACAACAATAATTCGTCACCAGTGTCCCGAGAATGCTTGCGGAGGAATTCCTCGCAAGCGGTCGACTTTCTGCTACAAGGACAATACTGTCACTCAAGACTGTCCTGAAGACCAAAAACCAGCTGAGGTCGACGACTGCAGCCCCCAGGCCTGTCCCGCGGACCAGATCAGCGTTCTCGGTGAATGCGTTAGTACCGAACACGGTTGCTGTCCCGACGGTGTCACCATCGCCGGACCCGACTTCACCGGATGTCCTGCGTTCGACAGAGAAAACTTCACCACCCCGTGCGCAGAAACCGAATGGGGATGCTGCCGAGACCTTGTGACACCTGCGTTCGGACCCTTCGAGTGAGTCACGGAAATCTGCCTTTAGAACATTATGACCAGGAGGAGGGAAAGAAATAACGTCGATGACCGCCTCATAGCGCTGGATGTTCTCTCTTCGCTTTGTGCAACGGAACCATCTTCGGATGCTGTCAAGACGAGGAAACTCCAGCCGAGGGACCGAATTTCGCCGGATGCGTTGTGCCTTGCGACAAGACTCTCTTCGGCTGCTGCCCTGACGGAGTGACTGCGGCCACCGAGGAGGACCAGCTGACCGGCTGCCCCGCGAACACAACAGAGGTTCCGGACGAAGAAGACGTCACAACACTCGGCGCAGGTGATTTTTCTGAAGGAGCTCTGGAAATTCGTTCTCGATGACTAGCGATGAGGCTCAAGCTAATTCCCGACAATCTGATAGTGATCGTCGAGACTGAAGACATGGGATCTGGAGGATCAGGAGACGGCGAGATCGAAGGTTCCGGAGAGGAAATACCTGAGTCGGACTGCGCGGAGAGCGAGCACGGATGTTGTCCGGACAACGTACTTCCCGCAAAAGATGCTGAAAAACGGCGAGGATGTGTTCATTGTCGTGGTAAGCCTCGGGACAACAAGAGTCATTCCTGGAGCGGATACCGCCTCTATGAAGAACTCCATTTTTTCCTTCTGCTGCAGCGCATAAATACGGATGCTGTCCGGATGGGGTCACGGCCGCGCTCGGCAAGAAGTTCAAAGGCTGCGAAGAGGTTTGCAGAAACTCCACTTACGGCTGCTGTGCCGACGGCTTCTTCCCGGCGAGAGGTCCTGCTCACCAGGGATGTCAACCGGTAAGCTCTCCCTCTAGACCCTACCTGTGTGTCGTCTCAACCGAAGCTCTGAATTGATCACCATTTTTCCGGAAGATACTCTCTCAGACCATCGAATTATTCAATCTCGTTCCAGGTCGATTGTAAGGACAGTAAATATGGTTGTTGTGGTGGGAAACTCAAGATCCCTGCCGCTGGCCCGCTGAAACAAGGGTGCGATAATTGCACAGAATCAGTTTACGGTTGCTGCTCGAACAACGAAGACTTCGCTCTCGGACCGAACAGCGAAGGCTGCTGTGCAGACTCTCCCCATGGATGCTGTCCGGACAACAAGACTCTAGCTCAGGGCCCAGATCTCGCGGGATGCCCCTGTGCCACTCTGGAGTTCGGTTGTTGTCCCGACAAAGTCACGCCAGCACTCGGACCAAAACTATACGTAAGTAGAATCACCGGGAACGTGATGTTCGCTTCAACCCCGTCGATTATCCTTCCATGGAGATGCCCTTTTTAGCGACGAAGTCGAAATTCGCAAAAACCCGAAACTCCTACGAAATTGCGAAAAATCGCAAGAATTTGCTTGGGAGCACGGCGAGGACGGCTCCTGAAAACGAATGAGCTCTGCAAGCTCGACCCTCGCGGCGAGTCCTGATCCGGCCGTGTCTCCGATCTCCGAACTCGTGGCCAAGCTCAAGCAATGCCTGGGTCTCACCGAGCCCAGTTGAGGTCCGCGACACCCTCGATTCTCAGAGCCTAGTTCCACGATCTTGGAAAAGATCTTTCTGGATTTTTCTAAGAGAGTACGATCCTGGACCGAATGAAAATTATGAGCTTCGCGGGAATCGCTCGTGGTTCCGAGGAATTTCGCGGCCGCAACGAAAACCTAGATTCCTAGTTATCCTTCGAATCTCTAAATCGGACGCCGATTTCAGGGCTGCTCGTGCGAAAACAGCGAGTTCGGATGCTGCCCCGATTTAATCACTCCCGCCCTAGGACCCGCACAGGCAAACTGCACCTGCGACCGGACGGCGTTCGGTTGCTGCCCCGATGGTGTCACAGCGGCGCTCGGTCCAGACGTTCGGAGGAGCTGCGACTGCCGACTGTCTCAGTTCGGTTGTTGTCCTGACGGGAAAACTGCCGCTACAGGTATGATATTTTGAATTCCTCCTCGTCCCAGCAGCCGGGTGAGGGGAGCCCGTGATTTCTTGACCAATCTCGGAATATTTTGGGCGAGAAGAGCTGAGACCATGACGCGAGAAATGACGCTTCTCCATCGGGTGACAGGTCAGTCGCATCGAGGGTGCTACTGCCACTCAATGAAGTATGGATGTTGTCCCGACAATCACACTCCGGCAGCTGGACCCAACTATCTGGGCTGCCCGTGCCAGAGCACCCATTACGGATGCTGCGCAGATGGTGTCACCAAGAAACTCGGCCCCCGCAACGAGGGTTGTGAGGACTGCACGAAACTCAAGTTCGGCTGTTGCGCCGACGGAGATCACGCCGCCCGAGGACCCGATCACCAAGGCTGCCCATGCGACACGACGGAATTCGGCTGTTGTCCCGACCGAGTCACTCCCTCCAAGGGCAAGGACAACGAAGGCTGTCCTGAAGTGCCTTGTCACCAAACCCAGTTCGGTTGTTGTCCGGATCGCGTTTCCGCTGCCAAAGGCCCCAGTCTGGAGGGTTGCGTCATGACGGAAGAAGAACGGCGGAGGTACGAGGAACACCGACGAGGTATGGATACACGACGAAGACCACCGGGAGACTACGCGCCGCCCACGAGACCGCCGTACTACGAGCCGAAGAGAATGCGCGAGGCCTGCTTCCAACCAGACGACCGCGGTCCGTGTGGTAACTGGACCCTCGTATACTATTACAACTCCCAGAACGCCACATGCCAGATGTTCTACTATGGTGGCTGCGGCGGAAACGACAATCGATTCCCAGACAAGGAAACTTGCGAGGGCTTCTGCTTGACCGATGGCTTCTCCGTTCCGAAAAACGTCCCATCCATCGACACGAACGAGATCATTCCGACGGCGAGACGCACCGAACGCCATCCTTGCGATCTTCCCAAAGAGGCGGGACCTTGCAGAGGAACATCCGAGCGATTCTGGTAGGTTGCGTGCAAAAGGAACTCGTCCGAGGTCCGAACCGGGGGGACCCTGCGCTCGAAAAAGTTTTTTTTCTTCCCTCCCACTCTCCATTCTTTCTAGGTACAACCAGATCACCAATCAGTGCGAACGGTTCACCTACGGATGTCAGGGCAACGAGAACAATTTCATCACGCACAAGGCTTGCACCGAGAGATGCAAGATCCTATCCAGCACCGAGAAGTGTTCCCTGCCGAAGGTCAGCTCGAGGACCTGTAACGATCCCCAGACTTTGTTCCGCTACAACTACAAGACCCACACGTGCGAGTCGTACAAAGGTTGCACCGAGGACACGAACGTCTTCCGTGACTATAACCTGTGCGTCTCCACGTGCCGCGACATGGACAGATACGTGAGTGGCTCGTTCTGCTCAAATCTACGTAACTTACCGGCTCCCTTGGCTCCGGGATAACGTACCCAGAGCACTTAGTTTACGGCCTATCAGCTGACGCTTCATCATTCTTTCCCTCGACGAGTACAGGATATGAGCTCGACAGTCTGCGCCCTGCCCAAGGATTCAGGACCTTGCTTAGACTATACGGCCGCGTGGGCTTTCGAGAACGGAACTTGCCGACCGTTCCACTATGGGGGCTGCGAGGGTAACGCCAATCGATTCTCAACCCAACAAGAATGCCAATCTACGTGTCATCCCGAGGGAACACACATCGGCCGAGACGATGCTGGTGGATCGATTTCGTCGAGGATCGCCACCTGTGAGTTCCTTGAGGCGTCGAATCAGCCCGATTGAAGGCACGCCATCATTTTCACATGGATCCTCACCCGAAGTCTACTCTCATTCACTCCTCGGTATTGAGTCCGTCTGATCTATTCTCCCACAGCCGTTCACATGTGTGAACAACCTCGTGAGGTCGGGCCCTGCCAGAACTTCGAGGCTCGCTACTACTACGACGCGGCTGCGAGGACTTGCTACACCTTCAATTACGGAGGCTGCAGAGGGAACATGAACAACTTCATGACTTTGGACGATTGTCAGAGACACTGTGCCTTCCGGCACGGGAGCCTCGTCCCGCAACAACCGCGTTCCTCTACGTTCAATGTTAGGGATTGCCAGATGCCAAAAGATCGAGGAACTTGCTCCGGCAGCTCGGGAATGTTCTACTACAATCCCAACGACGGAGTCTGCCGCGAGTTCACCTACAGCGGTTGCGGAGGAAACAACAATCGATTCCAGACGAGACACGAGTGCGAGAGGAGCTGCAAGAACGCTCAGGTTTGTGGCATTTCGCGCTTGAGGAATTTATGCGAAAATATATTGTTCACCGCACTCAAATGCGGCACTAAAAGCGATCCGGAGGGGTAACCCCCAACCATGTGCTCCAAACACTTCTGGTGATTGATCGATCGATTAATTAACTGATTGCTCCTATTCGGTCTCCAGAACCGGTGCCATCTACCAACGATCAAGGGACGCTGCGGAGGAAACTACAAAGTGTGGACCTACGACGCTCAGAAAGATATCTGCAAACAATTCGATTTCAGCGGCTGTCAAGGCAACGCAAATCGTTTTGATTCTAAAGCGGAGTGCGAGAAGAGCTGCGTCCGCAACACGCTCGAAGTCACGGGAATATCCATCGACTTCCCAGGTGAGTCGATCATGCCGATGATCAGAGGCTAGGAGGCTTGATCCTCAGGGCGCTCACAATTTCGGTCTGAGACACGAGTCACACCCCACACCACGGGATCTGGGTCTAGTTAAGAGTTCCGAATCGTTCCACAGACAAGTGCACCTTGAAAGCTGATTCCGGAGGCTGCGCACACAATCTGCAGAAATACTACTTCGATCTCCGGAGCGGAAAATGCCTCCCATTCCTGTGGGGAGGCTGCGAAGGCAACGACAACCGTTTCGAGACTTTCAACGACTGTCAGAAGGCTTGCTACATCCCAGCGATCAGAGCAAACTGTGAGTTTGGGAATGTGGGGACGCGAGGCGGAAATCCCAGTCGGAATCCTTCGCCGGACTTTGAGGTTTCAGCATGAAAGTAATGAGGCAAGAAATTCTTCCAGTGATCAGACCGAATCACCAGAGCTCGATTAATGATTATGAGGTTCCTCTGAACAAGAACGGTACGTGAAAAGTCGAGATCATCGCCGGCATTGTGTATTCCATTCGATTCGACGAAAAAATTCGAAAATTCAATCGATTCATAACTCCGCTGTGCACGATTTTTCAGAGGTCTGCACGCAGCCGGTAAAATACGGCAGCGGGAACTGTTCAGACGCTCAAGAAGTAGTCCGGTTCTATTACGATGCTCAATCGGAACGGTGTCTCTCTTTCCCGTATCGTGGATGCGAAGGAAACCAGAACAACTTCGTCTCTTCGGAGGTAAGTATCGCCGGCCCACCGTCTTCGACAGTCTCTATGTCCCGGAAATTTGAGGTTTTTCGGGAGAAATCAATTATTATCGATAATTTATTCGACCCCGACAGAAATGCTTCTCGTTCTGCAACGGAGTCCGGATCCAACGACCTGACGAACCCCTCTTGATCGATCCTCGAAGACCGACTTCGGTACCGGAGCGATGTCCAACGGATAACTGCGGCGTCCAGGACTGCCGCGGAATGGGAGAGAGGCGAGAGGTTCTTCCGAACGGTTGCGCCCGCTGTGTCTGCAAACACCCTTGCGATGTAGGTCCCACTCTTTTCAAGGAAGCATTTTCGATGAATCGTTCGAGCTGACTGTGAGCCGAGCTCCGATTTTCACGATCAGGGACTGATTATCCCCGACGAATAATCAGTAATCAAATATTATTCCTCATCGATTCGCCCAGGGAGTCCGCTGTGGAGAGGGAGACCGGTGCGCCGTGCAGTACTCACAGAACTCCTACATAGGTTTCTGTAGACCGATTAATAAACCAGGGGAGTGCCCGAAACTCACCTGCGACGAAAGAGATCGCGGGAAGAACTACTGCAGCGACGACTCGGCATGCGACGGTCTCAAGAAATGTTGTAACACAGGCTGCAACAACGTCTGCTCGCCTCCAGAGGTAAGAGAGTCCCATTGATTATCACGATTATTCAGCACAGCCCTCGCGGCTCTCTTGGAAGCTCGCCGCTCCTCCCCCTGAGTCTCGGTCGATCCTTTTCCAGTCCGAAGATACAGACATGAAGGAGGTCGTTGTTATCGAAGGCGAGACCGCCACTCTCGAGTGCCCGCTCCCGAGCACGGAGATGTCCCAGCAATGGACGAAGAACGGAGAGGACGTCGAAGGCGATCGTTTCGACCAGGACGGTAGAGTTCTCCGCATCTCCGGCGTGACCAAGAAGGACGCAGGAGTCTACGACTGCGCCGAAGGAGACAATCCGAGCAACAAGATGAGGGTCGCGCTCCGCATCGCAGGTAGCGTTCGGTTCGATTTCGGGAGCAGACGCTCCCCGCCTATTTCGATCGCGACATGATCCGTGCGACTCGTTCCGAAATCGACGTTTCTCTCCGTAGCACCTCCGAAAATCATCAAGGAGAATCCAGTGGTCGAGACACAGGTCGCCGCCACGGCGAACTTGTCTTGCACCGTCGTTGGAGGCTTCCCTCGGCCATCGATAGTCTGGTCCAAGAACGACACCCGTCTGCCATCGAGGAGCAGCAAGTACAGACAGTTGCCCGAGAACACCCTACAGATTCTCGACGTTGATCAGAGGGACCAGGATCTCTACTTGTGTCAGGCGAACAACGATCAGGGCAGAGCGCAATTCATGGTTGCGCTCATCATCCCCGTTCAGAGTAACGACGAGCACCAGAGCAAGGGTCAGGAACTTGCTCAAAAGGTATGTGATCGGGTTCACGGGGTTCGGATTTCGATGAACATTGCCTCCACGAGCCTCCTTGAGTTCTTCACATAAAGCATGCTCCAACTCGTACTTCGTATCCTCAGGCCCGTGATGACGCTAAAAATCCGTGATAGCCCGATGAGATCTGGGAGAAGGATCCGATTGCTCGGAGCGTCACGATCCAAACGTCAAGAGACAACTCCGGAGGGATCCGAGCGCGAGCTCGATCACTACGAATGATGATTTTACGAAAAATGATTCTTAAACGAAACCGAACGATTCCAACGAAATTTCACGCTGCCACGAGAACTTGTAGTTCGGCCGTAGTGCGCCATCTTTGTGGTAGACCTGCCCGATACTCTACCCGCTCGAAGCAGCGATTTCCTTGAGGACCGGTACTATAAAAACAAGGAAAAAATTGTGCCTGAGGATACAGAGCTCTCATTGGAGGAAGTTCTACATCGCGCGACGCATTCGGCTAATGATGCACTGAGCTCTTTTCGAGGTTCAGGAGCATTTTGAGAAATCAACTTTTCACGATAACTAACGTACATACTCATTTATGCCAATGGTACTAACGATTCAACTTACGATAACGATAACTTTGTAAAACCTGCTAGATCGGAGACATATTATATATACTTTATAGCTTTCTATTCGAATGTATATAACAAGATTCTTATTGTCAAATAAAACTCAGCCTCGAGCTTGAATGAGATCGTTCTCACTGCTCGCCGATTCAAACGATTTTTCGACAGCGAGGGCCCTTGCCCGGTTCATCATACGAATTATCTGCGACACTCGATTACTTATGTAATGCGCTGGACGTAGAGACGTATGACACATTCATGATGATTTTCGCGGAAATTCGCGGCCTCCATTGAAACTCTATGGGGAGTAGCCGGAAATTCCCGCGAATATTCGCGGAAAAATGGTGGTCCGCGAAAAATTTAAATCCCTAATGATGAATGATGATAGTACCGAGAATACCTGAGAATCAAAATTGGTGTCGGAAAATCGAATATTGGGGCCACAAGAACACCGCGTCCATTCAAAACTTTCTCTAAACGTTCTTCAAACACTAACGTACATAGCAGATTCCGACAGTGGTCACGAGCGTGCTTGTCATTGCTGAAGCAAGAGAAAAGTCTGGTCCCCTTCTGTTCCCGACAGCCCTCTCCCCAACTTCGCGCATCGACGGCTACCGCAAATGTTTCTTTCAGACCGAGCAGTGCAGAAGGAGAACGTCTCAGCGTTTGTCCGGCAGCGATTCCGATGCAAGAAACGTGCTAAGCACTTTTGTTTTCGGTGCTCTCCGCTGGGTTATCCAAGGAGCATTTTTGCAAGTTCCTCCATATTCGAAGTTCGACCTCAAGAGCTCGGGATAAGACTTGCTTCGAGCAGTCAGAAGTGTCGGTCGTATTAGGATTTCGCCGGACGAGCGCTCTCTAGAGCGGATACCTGATTTCCTCCGAGACGTAGTGATGTTGTGATACAGCCCTGTATTCAAAAGTGAGTATGATTTTCTTTCGGGCGAGGGATCGGGAGTCAGGCTGTATCGCTCTCCGCCTCATCGGTCGGGGGTCCTCCGACGAGCCATCCGGGAATCTCACATTCCCGTCAGAATTGACTTCGATCTCCGTATACGGTGCCCCTGCTCCCGAACTACTTCTCGAGGCAGTTCCGTCAGCCGGACGATTTATAATAGGAGTGCTGTTTTTGGACCCAGTTTGAACCCATCAAACGAACTGGGACCGTGCCGTCTATTCATGCTAACGGTAGTATTGTTCACGAAGGACGACGTGAGCGTCGAAAAGGGATGGCTACCAGGCAAGCTTGGCAATATCGTTGAGGAAGCCCGAGGATAGGGCCTTGGCCGGGGCCCATCCAGGTGACGAATCGTGTCAGCAGAAGGCAAAGATGCGTGAAGTTAAGTCTGTGCCGCCAGTGCCCTGTGTAATACCTCTTGCTTGGCGAGCCGGAGCTGTGTAACGAGTGTTTCTGTGAGAGCCGTCTTCGATTCCATCCTCCCTAACGGTTGTTTCTCCGGTGCAATCCCGGTTGAGATCAACTGGGTCCCTCATTGAAAAATCGTGGATTCCACAGAGCTTCGACGAGTTCATCAACCGTCGCAACGAGATGCAAAAGCAGAGTCACATATCTGATCAACGAATGCGAATTCCGCGAAAGATCGCATGATCACGGTATCCGTTTAAGCAAAATGTTCTGACTGGAGCTGAGGGAGAAATGGAGAAGAAAAGAGAAATGCTCTATTGTCTTTGGCGCGAGTGGGTGCAGAACGGCAGCAGGAGTCTGAAGTCGCTGAACTTGAGACACCGTTTCACATGAGCCCCGAGCCTTCAGTAATGTATGGATCGCTGATCTTGTTCGCTGCATTACGTTGCGTCGCTTCTACTAATACCGAAGCAGGACCGCTTTCAGCACGGCGGGACTATTCGTTTTCTGGTGATTCCCTTCATGTTTCCGGCAGCGATCTCCAACCGGAAGATTTCGCTGCGGTGTCCCCTATCGGTTGCGGTGGGATCTCGATCGTCGCGATGAGAGATTCCCAGATGTCCCAGGGCTGTGTATTCTGGACGAGTTCGACCCATTTAGGGGAATCAGCGCGTGGCTCTTGAATGTGATCAAGAATGCGGCCGGCAGGAATAGTAGGAATTGATAAAAGTTGAGCCATTCAGTAGACTTTTAGTCGGTCTCTCATTGTTCCACACGCGTTGTTTTTAAAGGCGACGGCTCGCCAGAAGATGTGGCTCATCTCCTTCATTTTCGCTCGCTCGCGTTGTGATAGGGGAGAAGTTTTCAAAAGTGGAGCACTCTTCGATTCAATCTCGACTTTGTTGACCATAGCGTCTCGCATTGTCTGAAGTTGTTGCCCGGAATAGGCGGCTTTGATTCATTCCTCCGAAGTGGGCGTGTGACTTTCTCTCGTCTCCGGCGATGAGAGCCGAACTCGTTCGATCATGGTAGGAGGAAAAATTCCAGAGAAGACCGTTTGGGGTATGGTTGATGGATTCCAGTTCGGCGAACTCACCGCTGACTTTCCCGGGCGGATCTTTTCCGAAGTGTCCCGTGGGCTCTACTGCACTTCTGCAAGTAGAAATGAAACGTGGAAGGAAGAGGCGAACGAAAAATGGTCGAATGAACGATCCAGAGAGCAGTGTTGGCCGGAACGATTGGCAAAGTGAATGATCCTTTTGTGAATCGGTTTCTGGGTTGATTCGAGATGTTCTCGCGACAGGTGACATCGCAGCATGAAAGAGCTTAATTGGAAGCAGAAGACCTCACGCAGGAAAATGGGATATTCGCACTTTTATACGATTCCCCGAGGCTGTGTCATACGTGACGGCGACTACGACGACGACGACTTCTGACAAAGAAACACCAGATGACGAGGTCACGGGTCACTTGAAGATAGAAGAGAATATTTATACCGGCTTACACTGTCCGACGAACATCGGGTACTTGGGGAGATTCGTTTGCATCTCTTTCACTCGAGCAGAAAGAGCACGCGAAAAAAGAAAAACAGATATGAAATCACAAGAAGATTTCCGCGTTCTGCTAAAAGCGCTGGTGTTTCATCGGTCCTCGCTCAAGAGCGACTTACTAAATGGAAGCAGTGTTTTGCTGAGGCCAACAAATAGCGCACTGGAGCTCCAGATTCCCCGGGAGCTACTTTTTTCCCCTAAGGTACCTGGCGGGAAAAACGTGCTTGTCGAAGATGAGGCTCGTTCCTGGCTGTCGGAGTGTTATAGCCGGTCGGTGACAGGCACTGTCGCCCCGAGACAAAACAACCCTGTCGATGGCTGGGAGCGAAAGATGAAATTCTGAAACTTTCACGCGAGACACGCGAGGAGACGCGGAGCATGCCGTCAGACAGCACCGGCTGATAGGTGCCCCGAAGCCATCACATGGACAATTCCGTTACATGAACAATTGCCGGAAGAAGACAGCCTCCTCTGCAATAGACAACTAGTGTAGACAGGAAAAAAAAGACAGTAGCGAACAGGGTTGCGTAGAAGATTTTCCGTTCGGCGCGGCATCCGGATCACACAGTGGAAGCGTAATCACACATAGTCCAAACCAAGAAGCCGCATCAGACTACGACAAAGAGCAAATTGCTACAAGGAGTGGCTAATAGCCGAAAAACCGACAGACCAGAAGTCGCAATCCGGGTCCATCGGCCGTGCAAGCCGAAATCGATCTTCAGAATCAGCAGCGGTCGCATGAAGATCCGAACACAATCGAAGACTGTCATTTGCGAGAATTTCAAGAAGTCTCCTCCTTCTCTTTCTGCTAGACTGGCAGAGTCTTCTTCCCTGACGATGCATTTACGAGACACAGCTACCGAATTCTTCGTGGACACGAGTACAGGACGAGTGTACAGAGCCACTGATTGACTGAAGCAACAGCGACCTTGAAAAGACCTGACGACCCCTGTGAGGAACGAACGGCGCTCCCCAGTGGGCTCCGAGCTCGGCAGGCCCTCTGATGACCCAATGGGTTAACAATTCCGTGGCCGGCCCGGTCGGAGAAGTTCACCAGGCCGAGACGGCAAGCTGCGGACGATAGAAGCTCGAACGCCAGCTCAATTGTGAGCGAGGTGCTGCGGCGAATTAGAATCGCCTCCCCCGGGGATTTTCCAGAATATCGTGCCCAGCAATTATGACGCGATTCTCATAAATTGTACTGAACGCTCCGCCGTCAATTTGGCATACTATCGTTAAGCGCATGCAACGGTGGCGTTCGGTAAACAATGCCGAGGGACTGCGGTCAACTGAGCGAGACCTCGGTTTTTAGGTATGTTGAATTCTTCTGCGTCTCTCGACCGCAGAAATCAGCGCTTATCAGCGCGCTAGATTCATTTGGTCGTGTCCCTTCAATAACGGGTTTCGAATTTCGTCGCTGGAACGAGCTCTTTCTGCAAAAAAAAAAACTAATTTCTCGCATCACATATCACCTGGATCACTTCCTGAACGAGCGAACTGTGACAGCGACTCCGAAAACTTTCGCCAGGGGATTCCGAATCCTCGAAGGAAAGACTGCGGGCACATTTCGCTCATTGCCCTCCTTCAACCGTATTGCGAAGTTCACTGTGTTCCTGGAGGTCGGTGATCCTTTGTTCATAGAGCTTTGTTCTTCACCGGGAATCATAGTTCTCTGCACCGTCCATACCGCCCATCCTTGAGGAGCATTCCGAAAACGCGTCAGAAAGCCCCCCGCTGCTCAAGAAAACCAAATTCGCAATCGATGATCGTCACGGATATCGGTTTCTCCGTTTTCTGGTGGCTACCGTCGGAGCGTCATCCGAGGGCCGCCGCAGGAAGCCATTCAGAGTCAGAGTGAAAGAAGAACGCTACCAGGGCATTTATAAAAAGAGGGAGCAGCACCTCGAACTGTCAGCTGGTCCAGCCATGTGTCTGCCCACCGGTCCGTCTGCGCGCCTTCCTCATAAAAACCATAACGAAACGTTCTCTTACTACAATACAGAGGGTCCGGCCTTTGACGGCTGAACGGCCGGCTGGTTGACTCACAGACGGGCAGGCACGCGGGCGGGCTGGAAAACGAGACGGCACGCAGTCTGATCTTTGTCTGTGGAGGGGTCAAGGCAAGCGTTCCATGATGAGCTGGTGGAGTCTCAAGATTTAAAATTTGGATCATCATGTTCCATCCCATCGTTGCCACTGTTAACAAACAGCACACTGACCGACTGAAACAGAAGACGAAGGGAGCCGCGGTCCATTCTGTCGGTCCGGTGTTGTAGGAGATCTTCTTGAAGCTACAAGCGCCCTTTTGCTGCAGCAGCTCCGAGATAATGCCAGCGCAAGGACCCCCTGCTCCAAGCGCTGCTTGGACGGTCGCGTTTGATATTACAGTCCGCACGTGCTCTTTTTGTTCGCTTCGACTACCAAACGACAGCATTGACGACGACTACGTTTTAAATAAACGTCGGATGTCAGCCGACGTTATCTCGATCCTTCTCCTACGGCAGAAATCGATCCTGAGCGTCCCAGGGATCCCGGTACTATCGAGTTCGATTATAGGGGAAACGCGTGAAAATTCAGGAAGGGGTTTCCAGCGTTGATCTTCGAGCGGTAATTCGCCTCCGGATAGCTCAGCCGGCTGCTCGTCGTGAATGCGTTTCTCGCGGGGCCATCGTGAGCCAATTTCCTAAGTTGATAAGCGCATAGTCCGAAATGCGGGGCGCAACAAGAGAAGTTGATTTTCCAAAGATCGTCCACGCAGCGGCGGTAGGTTCGGACTTGAGGAAGACGGGAATTCTCGTCGAGAACTGGGCCACTTTTGAGGCGTTTCACGACTGAACGCTCGCGCTCGCTCCGTCCGTCCAGTGGCACTGCAGAAGCTCTCGTTGATGTCGCCGGCGACGTCGGTGCCGCCGAGGCGGCTGCTTATCCGTGCTGCTGTGAATTGTCGTTCTTCATTGAAGAATGGCCTAACTCATTCGGCTAAACTCACTGGGTCGAGGATAAGAGTTTTCCGGGGCTAGCTCGGGTCGCTTGCGACGATGCTCGATGAAGGTCAAGGATTGGTCACGCCGAAGTGCACGGGAATCGTGCCGCTCAGCCGGGACATCGCATTCACACATTCGCACCCAGGATGTGAGACCCCGGTTGGCATACCACCGATCTGGTCGAGAATTCCGGAAAAGATGTTTTGTTTCGCACATCTATATTCATTCATCCATTTCGCCTCGTTCGCGGTTTTCGCGGGTAATTTACGCGCGTCTCAACCCGATCTCTGATCGACCGAACACCGATCAGGAAACGCGGGGTGTTCGACTGATCGCTCACTTCGTCTTGGCTCGTCGATCCCATCATTGGAGTTTCACGCTGACCGCTAGTTTCGCACTAGATTCCGAAGCCCACGGAAATCGGTGCGAACTCGGACGGAGCTCAGAGAAGTGTTCGACCAGACAACGGTAATAAACAGTTAGGCGATGACAGCGACTGGCCGCTGTCCGGCTGGCATGACAGCACGAGAGCTATTCGGTTTTTCTTCTGCGCCGATCTTCACGAAAAAAAAATCGCCAGAGAAAAAAGAAGCTCAGAAAACGTGAACTATCGGCGATTGAGTCTCAGCCGCTACGGTCAAGTGCTTCGAAGCCACACGCAAAGCGTTCGACTGAACAAACGTCTCCTATATAGAAATCGCACGACCCAATTTTTAACTAAATAATGCTGCTCGGTTCGTTCTGCCTCGCGCCGGAGAACCGTGCCGGACACCGAAGGAACGTAGTGTTTAGAATTTATGTCGGCGCCGACGTTTGATGAAGCGCGGGTCATCAGAGCGATGCGTTGACAGACTCCATTTACATCGGGTTGGTGATCGGGATTCTTTTCCAACGGAACTTATTAGGCGTACATGTCGGCGCACGCTCGCGCGCGCACAAAGCGAAGGCAGACGGAGTGCTTGTTTCTTGCGCTTTCGGAGCATCACCCGAATGCTCAGCGAGCCATGACACTTCTTCTAACAAAGTTAACCCACTTTGTAGGATACTGTTCTGTTTTGATATCCGTCGGATTGCGCGTGATCTGGCCATTCTTAAATTTCTTCTGCCACTTCGTCAACACGACTCGATATTCACTCACGAATCTGCCCGGTCGAGACACTCGGATCCGGAGGAGCGAATTCAAGTTAAGCTTCAGACAAAAACAGAAAAAATGAGCAAATTGGGGTGGAACGAAGCTCGAGCGAAAACTGCCGCGGAAAAGCACAAAGACTTTGTAGACTGGAAGCATCCGTGAGTTAGGATCTCGGCGAAAGCCTCCCACACAATGATGAGCTCGCTTGATGCGATTTCTGTCTTGGGGTGATAGATCTGGACCAAGTGGAATTATTTTCCACTGCCCACGCAGCAATTACCTGATCAGCTAAGTGATCGGGTGCACGCGATCTGCTCAGATCTGCTGCTCGACGGCGATTACTGTGGCCGAAGCCTGAGCTTTATGTAGTCGAGCTCTCGAGTGAAAGCGAAACAGAGAAAAAATCGCGTGACCCGACGTTGACGACACGTCACCTCGCTCACTGAATATTGCACTTCCATATTGCAAATACCGAGTCCCGTTCATAGCATGCAGAAGTGAGCGCGCACAAAGAGAGAATGCCAAAAACATCTCTGACCGACCATAAATTGCGGCGCGGCTTTGAGAACGGTGAAACTCATCAGCGAGTGTCTCCTAATTCTCCAGCTGCTGGTTCTTCTTCTCCGTCCAGAAGATTTCCAGCCGGGTTCTCACAAGGGTTCATTCCCAGCACTAAGACGACCCCGCTTCCGAACTCCCTTCCTGCGAAATCATTAACAGTCCGGTGGTGTCTCCGTCCACTATTCCGACTCTACACAACCACCTAGAACCGTCGCTCAAGACCACCGACCGACGGGCCGAGCGGCTGACCGTCAAAGAGACGGGCGGCCAGACAGCGGTCCGACATTTGATCCACTAGCATTGGACGGAACTTTAAGCCCTGATATCATCTTCGTTCTCGGGGTTCGTCGAGAGACTCGATTTTTCCTATCAGCGAGCGAGAGGGTTTTGGCCAGCCCAGGGCCTACTGTTGGGGATGTGGTATACGAACACGACTCACTATTACTCCTTCATTTTTCATGAAGTTCTCATATCTTGAACCATATGGCCTCCCCGATCAGTCAACACCTACGACTACGATGGCTTCAACTCGAGTCGAAGAGCCGGAACAGATCCTCGAATTTTCGTGTCTCTCAGCGATCCTCGTGGCCTATGTCGGCACAACCGATCGTCAGCGGAAACTCTAGGCAGGCTCGGAATCCTGGCTCACAAATCCGGTTTTCGCACGCTCTCGCGGTTTATTTTCTCTGGATGTGCGAAGTAAATTCTGCCACGAGCATTGTTCGCCGATGGTGCGAAAAATGTTTCCTCATCTTCTTTTTGTTCCCGTGTCGTACCCTCCGGTAGTACCGCGCATTGTGTCAAAATCCCCGGTCCAACGGGACGCCCTCGACCACAACTCGCTCATGGAACCTTACATGCGGTGATGCTTTTTGAATCTGTGTGCGGAAGGGATCAGACGTCAGCCACGATGTCGACCGTAGACCGAGTCTTCGGGCAATGGCGGGACGAAGACAACGAGCGTCGCTCTGGACTAACACAATGCCCTATATAGTATGTGACGCAGTGTCAACCAAAATCGTATAATTGGTCCGGAACTAAAATATAAGAACTACTAGTTGCCTGCGACGGATGGATGCCCGCGTGAGCGAGAGTCTGCTCGCTGTAAAAACAAAGAAAAAAGGATTTCCACCTGACACAAGACAGAGTCGGATCGCTGGAAAAAATACAAGACCGCTACTTCATCTGGTTGGTTCCGCTCCAAGGAACCGTAATTCGTAACGGTTGTAAAAAGGATCGGTTTCCATTCATTTCCTGGAGTTTCACGGGTAATCAGCGAAAGAGAGGAACTTTTTATCTTATCCGTTGTCGAGCTTCGATTCGATTCAATTGGATATTTTTCTCTGATGGGGCTCATCTTCACCATTCGTTCAGGCTTTTTTTCCTCTCGAGCACTCGGTCGTATTGCTTCCGATTTGCTAGCTTCTAGATCCGTCTCGATTTTTTACCACAATCAGGCATCTGATCCCCTTTGGTTTTCGCATTCCGACTCTAACGACAATGTCGATTTCCAGCGCAACGTAATGCACTCGCGGAGTGCAACCACCCGGCAACGGGTTCCGCCCATAGATTACGATTGTCCACCTGCACCTCATGCTTCGCATCACAGTTATCATCCGCACCCCCAAGTTTCGAGTTCACATCACCATCACCAGCAGCAACAACAACAACAACAGCAGCAGCAGCAGCAACAACAGATAGCGAGGCAGCGGATGTACGACCAGCATCACAGTCGAAGACCATCAAGTTAGTGAAGGAGCTCTGCTCTTGGCAGGAAACTCGATTCTCCGTATAATTAACTCCGCTGGATAATTTCTTAATGGTAACTCGTGGCTCGAAAATGAGAAATTTAATATTTTATGGAAAAATTGAGCATTTCCCGCTTCCGCCAGCATCCTCAGTGCACTATCGAGGCTATCCGCCGGCGCCGGTGCATCGACCACCGTCCCCACCTACTTCGGAAACTACAGAATCTTCTTGTGACAAAGAACGACAGCCAATCTTCCGAAGCAGAAGCCGCTATGCTCCACATCACGGGACCCTGAGGTCGGTCGGCCGGCTGGCTCTGGTGATGCGAAACGGAATAATCTCTACTTTTCAAATCGTTTGACAAGTTATTTGGGCTTGCAACACTGCGTTCTGTCCATGATTCCCAACTGACAGAGTGAAACCCACAGATCGTCGAGGTCCGTACCGTCGTTAGCGGTGGCGACATGGGACGGCGAACCGTGTCCGCTCCACGGGGAATGGATCCGAGCCGGGGGCATGACGCCGGTCCCGTTGAGTCGCTTCGCTTCGACGATGAACCTCCGACCTCCCACGCGAGCGCTCATGGTTCCTCAGACGCCATATCCGATGCCTTTCTTCTCGCAAGCTCCGCAACACCCTTCCTTCGTGCCCATGAGAATGAGGTCAGTATATGAAAACGATTGCGCATATTGTTGGGAGCGGATTCTCCGGAATTTCACTTTCCCATGAATAATAGGTAGCATGAAATGGTGCCCCTAGAGAAACTGGTCACAGAAAAAGTCATCTGCCGAGGCAGTTTTCCGTAGCGCTCCGTCTTCCCTCTGACGGGAGATCCGTCTGAATGTCGGACCGTGGCGTCCCCGGCTCGTCAGACGAGGATTCGGCGATGATCATCCAGCCGAGTACAGCAGCTGGTGCTCAATCGCTTTGTCGTCGCACCGCAGGATGCTGCGAAACTGCTTTCCATCGCTGGGAACCACCTCCGGCATTGTGGCCTGATATCGCGGCTCGATTGTCAATCTGATAATCTTACGGTCACTCTAAGGCTGAGCTCCCGAAATTCCATGGTGGAGGTATGGGGGTTTGGGAGACCGCGGCAGCCTCTCGTTCGGTTGACTCGCAGAGTCCAAGCTCCAGCATGGGAAGGTTTTCAAAGGGGGGAAGTTCTCCGGACCATGGGCTCTTCGGGTTACGCCTTAAGTCGGCGAGCGAGACCGATCTTCCATTGCAATCAGTCGGCTTGTAAGAAGAGCAGCGATATTTCACCGAGGCATCCTTCTGTTTTCGCCCGCCCGAAGTGGCTCGCTTCCCACTGGGTCATCCCAATTGAAAGTTCTCGTTCTGCGTTGTTTCCAAGAAATTCGGAGAATCCGTAGCTCTTCCATGCTCAGTATGGGAACGGCTCTTCTGGTCAGTCGCGTGTTTACGCTGCTGCACTTCGCCGGCTCCCGGCTCCGAGCGAGCAGGCAAATGGATAAGACGCAAGAAAGCGGGCGGTCGGTCAGTCACTGCTTGCTCTGCGTTAACAAGGCACAAGAGCTGCGGTTGTTTCGGCAAAGTGTCTCTTCCGTTCATTGAGGAGAAAGCGCTGCTCTGTCGGAGCAGCCGTATTCTGAAGATGACCTACGACGTTTTTCTGTCTGTTGTTCTGTTCTACCTCGGTCTCGCACTTCAGAACATTGTCTGGTCACAAGATTTTCCTAAGAAAGCCGCTTTGCGGTGGCGAGAGAGCCGCAAGGAGACGAACCCAAGTACGCTGAAACATTCCATGGTCCAGCTTTGTGGTTTGCTTCAATGAACTCCGTTGTCCACGCGTTGCCTGGTGTCAGCGTCTAAGCACGTTGTGCGCTACCACGAGTAGGAATCAGACGGATCAAGAATGAACGCTGCCAAGGTTCGATGTTCCGTTCAATCTTCTCTCAGCAACCCTCAATCTAACTCCCGAGATGTTTTTCGCCGTCGTGATAGGTCGATGATGATTTTCCATTGCGGAATTCTACGTCGAACTCATGATTCAAAAAATTATGAGAAATTCGCCATGGCAATGCCGGCCAGCGAGTTTCGCATGGAATCGCTCGTCTCGGGTGTCAGACGCATTTTTCCAACACCATTGATTTTCTGTGCCGCTTTCAGGTATAACTTGGGAGATTTCCACCGAGGCCCTCCGTTCTTCCCGATGACCAGGGGCCCAATGCCCTTCGAGTACAAGGGTCAACTGTTCGATGACGAACCCGAGCCCGTTTGCCGAGGACAGCTCATAGTTGTTTGGCTCATAGTGATCGTCATCACGACCGGAATCATTCTCGGAATAGTTCTTAGCCTGACCATAGCTTGAATTGCCAAACGACGGAGTAGAGAGACGATGGAAATAGGACGATCATGAAGCGTGAATCGAGTCAGCCAGACTAATGGGCAGACCTACCGCGACGTTCGAAGGAAGGTAAAACGTGCTCCTTCCCGTCGAGTCATTACACGGTGCACGAAATACTGTCGGGACTAGTTGATCGCGTTCAGTGTCATGAACAAGCTCAACAAGTTTAAGAACAATGGAACGAACGACTGCTTCCAAATTGACGTCTTCTGTTGTGCGTCCTCGCAAGCTTGGAATCATTCACAAACGATTCAGGCCGCACGAGCGACTCCAGTCTGCCAAAGTGCGTTCCCAGAGCGACTTCCAGAAGCCGACGATGCTCCTGGATCGATAATAATTAGCGTCTTCCTTGTATTTATTCGATTCCATCCACCTGTAACAATGTTAAATAATAGCGTCACGTAGTATTGCCGTTCGAGCGGAATCTTGATTGCTTCCATGATGAGTCTCGAAAAAATAAACTCAAACCCGATAGGAGTGTTCAATGATGGTCTTTTATTTCAAAGCGGGTTTGTCCGGTGTATCACGGGGTAGCGTCCGATGTATTTCGTTATCCGAGCTCAAAAGTTTTCAACGGATCGATGGAACTCTTGCGTTGCAGGGTTGAACGCAGAATACGAATTCTTGGAGCTCCGGCACCGTTTGGAAGAGTTTCAATGTCGTTGACTCGATTCTTCCCCTTGAAGTCTTCTCTGACGGGTATTGTGCATTTTTTCGTGACGGCGCTTCTCCTTTTCGTCCCGAGTCCGCGGAGTTGTGAGCACCGATGAATCAATCAAGTCAAGTAAGTATCTGTCGATCAATCAAGCAATTGTTGGAACAAAAAAGTGTCGACGGAACACCGATCGTGAGCGTGGCGCGACTCGTCCCACATACACGCCGTGTGGTTTCGGCTATTGTCTGATTATCGTGTTTAAACTATGGGTATCATCTCAGCTCGTACGCTTCGATTTTTGATATTGCGCTGCTCGGACAGGGTTCTCTCTGCGGGTCGGGTCGCCCGCCACGATCAGCGGCATTGTGAGTCGTATGGCGTCGGCGGCCGGAGCAACGACGACGCACGTCAAATCATGTCTAATCGAGATTTTTTTCGGAGCGGCGATATTCATCTTTCCCGCCACTGGAACGAAACGTCGGCGTCGTGCAGTAGCGAATGCGACTTCTAAATGGAGATGTAAGATGGATCAGCTCCGGCATTATTCTTCGGAAGATCGTGAGCGGAATCTCGTCTCGCCGGTCATCCTCGGTACTGTCTGCGGAGAAAAAGACCTGCTTCTCTCGCAGTCAGCCGGAGCGTCGAGAATCGGCTGTAGTGTCTCGGAAAAACTTGAAAGATGCAGGACGACAGACCGACATTCCTCCTGAAGAGGATATAACTCGTTCGGAGTGGGGAATTTAGTCTCTCCGATTCAGCTATCCATTTTTATTCATCCGAAAGAGGGCACGAGTTTGGTTTAATAGCAAAACTTTATTCACAGTTGTGGTTAGCGCACCGTTTCTGTGTTGTAGGAGTTCTCCCGTCACCGCAACCGTAACTGCCCCTTACAATCGTGGGAAGGGGAGAACTCTGCACACGGCCGTTTTCGCTCACATACCGCAGTTGAAGCAAGTGCTTGATGTCGATTTAGTTTTCAGGTTTCGTTGTCGTTTCAGATCGCTCTCAAACCACGTCTCGCGAATTATGTCCTGTACGGCTCAGGCCGTCTCGTCGTCGAGAAAAAAGTTCGAAAATCGTAAATTATTCAGAAATTAGCTGAGGTATGAATGATTGTCGTGTAAGAAGATGAGCTCATGATTCTCTCTTCTCTCAGTCAGTCGCTGATTCGGAGTCGATAGGATAAATAAGTTGGCTTGATTACTTTCGCATTCTAGCATGGAGATCCGCATCATGAATGGAGGTCGATATGAAGTAGATTCGTTTTCGTTCCTGCACAGGCTTCTCCGCCAGCACATAATAATTGTGTCTTCGACAGTTTGATTCCGTACTGAGCCTCTCGACCTCTCCGCGGATCGTTCCCCACCATTTATTCGACGATACCCACGTATTCTATTCAAGCTCGGTCGGCCGTGACTACGTTAATAGAGAATGACGACTGACTTTCGCCGGATTTGTCTACTGCGACCGCCGAGTATTGACCGACGTCGGACGCGTTACATTTTTCGATTTTGAGCTCGTAGCTGCGTCCGTCTTTGGTGACTTTCCTGCGCTCATCGGGCTTGAATTCCTTCCCGTCCTTCGTCCACTTTAGTGCTGTGGGATCCTTCTCCGTCGTCTGCAACAGCGTGTGTCACGTTAGCGAGAACCCCGCACAGGAACTGCGTTGCGGAACATCCTCAGACAAAGAATAATAATCGATCACCGCTCGAAGCTGAAGTTTACTCACGAATCGAATGCTGGCTTCTTGGCCCTCGGCGAAAGTCGCAGATCTGGGATAAATGGAGAAGCGAGGACCCTTGAGGGTCTCTCCGGGAACTAGAACCGTCAATGTGCAGGTCGAGAAGCATTCGCCGGCATCGTTGAAAGCTTCGCAGGTGTACATTCCACTGTCCTCGGGATAGATCTCAGCGATCTCTAATTTGTGGAGGTCTCCATCACTCGATGCCTTGAAGTCCTTGTTCTGCTTCAGCTCCTTCCCGTTCTGTAACCAAACCACTTCGAATTTGGACGATCCGCGAATGGTAGCTTCGAGTGTGACCTTATCGCCGTCCTTCACCACGGCGCTCTTCAGGTGTTTCACGAATCGGGGGGCTTTGGATGCGTCAGCTTTGGCTTCGGACTCGTCCTTGTCCATTGCTGGAAACAGAGAGACAATTTTAAACTATATATATAAGCGAAAAATCCTCTGCCTCTCAGAGCGAGGCCTATACGCACCACTGATGGTGAGTTTGCATTTTGTTTCAGCGGTCCCTTCAGCGTTCGAGGCCTTGCAGATATAGATTCCTTCATCTTCTGGATAGACTTCATCTATGTGGAGGGTGGCTTCGCGGTTCTTGTACTTTAGACTGATGATGTCGGAGGAGTTGATCGGCTCAGAGCCTTTGAACCAACTGACTTTCGGTTCAGGTTCGCCAGAAACAACGCAAGTCAGCGTGAGAGATTCGCCATCTTTGATGGTCAGGTCCCTCAACGGCGTAGTGAACTTTGGTTTCGCAGCTTCCTCCGGGACTGGAAATCGCGATATGTCAGAAAAAATCGTTGACGAATCCATGGTTTTGTCCCAGTGCACGGGAAATAAGTTTGGAAAGAGCTACTCACGCTCGAGTTCTTTGGTCTGATTTCGCGTCCTAGACGGACTCGTCGAATCCGCCGAGCCTGAAGTCGATCCGTAGGGTTTTTGTACTCTGGTCGTCGCGGCATCGCTCGACAGCTTGCTAACCGCGGAGGATAAGGTGCTGTCCGTTGATCTGCGGAGGCATTCTCCCGTTAATCTCGATGGAATTTAAGGATCATGTATCCACCTTTTGCTGCCGGGTCGAGCCTCATGGGAGGTTTGGACCCCTCAACCGTAACCGGTCGCGACCTCACCTGTAGTTCGAACTGCTCCTGTAGTCTGAGCTGCTTCTATAGTCAGAACTACTGCGATAGTTGCTGCTCGACGAATACGAAGATGTGGATTTGTAGTCGCTCCGGTAACGTGAGTCACTGCTCGTTGAGTAGCCCGTATAGTGATCGGTGCTAGCGCTGTACGCTGATTTGAGGCTTCGTTTATCTGTTGAAGACGGCACCCCGTATCGCTTGCGATCTAAGAGGGAATATTGGCGAGGAGCCGGAGTTAGCATCGCGATTATTATACGGCCAATGAGTCATCGGTGTATAATAAGAAGTAATCAGAAGACGAAAATTCCCGAGAGGACTTGTTTTTCAACTGCCTTCTCGAAAACTTTGCCGTGACTAAATTTCATGCGTCGACGTCCTTCAAATTACGGGAGAAGTAATTAATTTCAGAAAAAATCTCGCGTCCGAAGCATCCGGGAGTGGGAGCAATTTTTTTCCATGCGTCCTTGGTTAGCACTTCGGACCCCTATCCCATCGAGAAGCTTGATGCTCACCTTCGATGTGGAGGTGACAGCTCGTTTCAGCGGTTCCGAGAGCGTTGGTGGCTTTGCATGTGTACTTTCCGGCGTCCTCCAGCGAACAAGATGCGATCTCACAGGTCACCACCCCGTCCGAATGGCTCATCTTCACGTCGTACTTCGACAGTTCACGGCCGTCCTTGAACCACTTCACGTCGCACAGGGGCTTCTCGTCGAGACAGGCCAACAGCTTGACGCCGAGATGCAACTGTATGACACGGTTCCGGAGATGGAAAGTGAAATTCGGTGCACAGTCTTTCTTTCCGTCATAGGGATCGTAGCGCAGAGGTTCCCTTCGCTTCCTGATCGGTTCCTCGATTTTGAATTGCGGCAGCTGTTGGGGCATGGGGTGCACGTTGAGGAACACCGGTTCCTCTCGGTAGCCGTAGTGGTTTTCGGCCCTGATTATGTACTCGCCCCGGTCGTCCAGACGACACCGGTTGATGATGAACGTGTAATCCTCTCCCATGTAGCGCTTCATGTACTTGACGCTCTGTCTCAGCTCTCCCGAGTCGCGATACCACGTGAGCGTCGCCGGGGACGGAGCGATTACCCGGCAGTGGAACTTCGCGGCTTGGCCTTCGTACGCCATCGTAGAATGCGGTTTGATGATGAAGCGGGGTGCGAGCTCCCGCTTATCGATGATGAAGTCCTCCATCCGGTAGGCCTTGTCCTGCAGCTTTCGGAGCGAGCTGTAGTTGGCAGCGTGACCGAACGGCAGAATGGCGCTGTCCCAGTATTTCCTGTAGCGGTCACGCATTCTGTCGCGGAAAGGCACGAATTTATTACTGCTGATGGTTTTGTCCGAAGTTTTAGCCTGTCCCTTGAGCCACGCGTGCTCCAGACACTCGTGAGCGGTCATCCGCTTGTCCTTGTCCCTGACGAGCAAGCGTTTGATGAAGTCCTTGCCCTCGTCCGAGATGGCCGAGAACGCGTCCTGATCGAACTGCCAATCGCAGTTCTTCACGTTACGGAGCGTTTCCACGTCGTTGTTCCCGGCGAACGGAGACAGGCCCGATAGCAGAACGTAGGACAGAACACCACAAGCCCACATGTCGGTGTAGAATCCTACGGGTTCCCTATCGACGATTTCGGGCGCGGCGAACTCGGCGGTACCCGTGGATATCTTAACGATCTCGTCGGGGTTTACCCGAGTCGCTAGGCCGAAGTCGATGATCTTGATCTCGTTGCCGGTCTTCTTTGTGCACATGATGTTCTCGGGTTTGAGATCGAGGTGGAGAATGTTCCGCTCGTGCATGTGTTTCACGCCCTCGCAGATCTGCCGCATGTAGTTGATGACCTCGGGCTCGGTCATGCGATGGTCGTCGCATGCGATCCGTTCGAAAAGCTCCCCGCCGGCCATGAACTCGTAAATGAGCACCATTTCGTCGTCGTCCTCGAAAGCGTCGTGCAACCGGATGAGTTTGTTGTGGTGAAGCAGTTGGTTCATGATGTCGATCTCCTTCTTGATGACCGCCTTCTCGTACTGGTTCGCGACCGGTATGAACTTGGCCGCGTAGATGTTACCAGTCTTGCGTTCGCGACATCTGTGGACGACTCCGAAGGCGCCGGTGCCCAGCTCCTCGAGGATGTCGTAGAAGTCGTACACACTAGAAGTCTTGATATCTACTGGCTCGGGAATGCTTGTCATATTTTGTACAAATTTATCATAATCGCTGACTGGTCCCTCGGATTGGCCACGCTTCTTCTTTCCGCTCTCGTCGACCTCGACCTGCTTCTTGGGGCGCTTCTGCTTCGTGGCGCGCGTCGTGATGGGCGAGCTCGTGTCCGACGGCTCGCTCCTGCCGTAGATGTTCTCGGCGCACACTCGGAACTGATACTGCGTGCCGGGGTTGAGACCGGTGATCTTATGCGTGAGGAAACGCGTGTTGGCCACACGCACCCAGTGCGACATTCCGGCCTCACATTTCTCGATGACGTAGTTCGTTATGTGGCTTCCACCGTCCCACAGGGGCGGCAGCCAGCTCAGGATGCAGGAAGTCTCGTCGAACGACTCGACCCCGGGATGGCGGGGCGGATCGGGGCGATCGGATATCTGGACGATGATGACCGCCGAATCGACGCCGAGCTCGTTCTCGGCCACAATTCGGTAGGGTCCGTTGTCCAGCTGAGACGCGTCCTTGATGGTGAGGATCGCGTGACGTTCCTGAACCTGGAGCTCGAAGTGAGCTCCCTTCTCGATTTCGACGTCGTCCTTCGACCACGTGATCTTCGGCCGTGGGAAACCGGTGAAGGGAATCTTGATCTGAACGTTCTCACCCTTGTCGAAGCACGCGAGGTCGCGGAAGCGCGGAGGTACATTTAGGTGCGGAGGGGATTTGATGAGCAACTCCGCGCGGCTCGTTCGAGCTCCGGCGACGTTGACGGCGCGACAGCAGTACTCGTCGGCGTCTTCGCCGAAAATGTCGTTGATGGCGAGCATGTACATGTCCCCGTCTCTGAGCATGCTGTACTTGGCGCCCTGATGGAGTTCCCGGGTACCCTTGTACCATTGGATCTCCGGCACCGGGTGACCGCTCACCTTGCACATGAACTGAACGTTTTTACGCTCGACGCCCATGACCTGTTTGAGTGGAATGATGAACTCCGGCGGCGTCGGTTGGTTAGGATCCTTGATCTTGACCTGTTGCGAGTTCTGCGAGGGCGGCGAGATTCCGGCCTCGTTGACGGCGAATACGCGGAACTCGTACTGACGGTCTTCGACCAGACTGCCGATGTTGAACTGCGTCGGCAGGCAGAGGTAGTTCTGGTTGATGCGTTGCCACAGGTTCGAGCCGACCTCGCGTTTCTCGACGTAGTAACCGAGGATTCTAGCTCCTCCGTCGTTCTCGGGCTTGGTCCATGAGAGATTGACGAAGTCTCCGCCGACCTCGGTGATGACAGGAATTCCCGGAGGACCCGGCGGGTCGAACGGCAGCTTCGCTATGATCGGGTTCGCACCCTCGAGAGGAATCGACATTCCGTTCTCGTTGACCGCCATTACGCGGAAACTGTACTCGCCGTTCTCCTGCAGTCCCTGGCAAGTGAACTGGGTGTCTTTGCAGCAGCTCGTCGCTACGACCCATTGATCGTGGGAGGTTTCCTTGCGCTCGACGACGTAATGGGTGACCCTGCATCCGCCGTCGAATTTGGGCGGATGCCAGGACAGATGACACGTGTGTTGCGTGATCTCCGACGGCTCCAAGGGACCGATCGGCGGCCCGGGCAGTCCGGTGACCCATACGTTGAACGAGCCGGTGTCCATTCCGGAGTCGTTACGCACCTGGATCTGGTACTTGCCCTCCTTGTCTTTCTTGATATCCTTCAGGAACACGATCGCGTAGTCATCGAACACGGTGACCTTGAAGTCGCTGGTGTCCTTGACTTCGAGACCGTCCTTGAAGAGCGTGACCTCGAACGGCGACGTGCCCGAGAAGTAGATCTTGATCTTGCCGTTGTCGTGCTCCGGGAAGAACACGTCGTTCGGACATCTCTCGATCCTCGGAGGCGCGGCGATCCTCACCGTGCACCGCGTGCGTGTGCTTCCCATGGCGTTGCTCGCCTCGCAACAGTACTCGCCTTCGTCGCCATCCTCGACCTCTTCGAACACGAGCTGGAATACGCCTTGACCTTTATCGACGCATTTGATGCGAGCCGAGGAGGTGACGTCTCGACCGTTCTTCAGCCAGCGCGCCTTCGGCAGAGGTTTTCCGATGGCCTCGCATTCGAGCACGGCTCCTTTCCGGATGGTGACGTTTTTGTCGTAGAGTTTACGCACGAACTCCGGCAGGGTTCCGTCTTCGACGTCTGTCGCTTTGACGGGACTGGTGCACGCGCTTGGGTCCGAGCGGCCGGCTGCGTTGACGGCGATGATTCGGTATTCGTATTCGATGCCCTCCTTGACGCGGGAGTCACAGAACGTGAGGTCCGTCGCCGGGTACTCGGTGACCGTGTACCAGAACGACGAGGTGACGTCTTTGCGTTCGATAATGTATCCGGTGATGCGTGACCCGCCGTCCGAACGAGGCTTCTCCCAGGCGAGGTCGATGTAGGCCCGACCCACCTTCGTGACCTGCGGGTTCTGAGGAGGCGAGGGAACGGTGAACTTGGGGCAGAGCTTGAAAGATTCGGTCGGTGGCGATGGCAGCGAGAAACCGGCCGCGTTCTTGGCCTTGACGCGGAACTCGTAAGTTCGACCTTCGATGAGACCGTGTACGGTGAGACGGCAGTCCTTAACCAGAGCCTCGTTGGCGATTCTCCATCTGCCCTCGGTGGGCTCTTTGTACTCGACCTGGTAGCCCTGGATCTTCGAGCCACCGTCCGACGTCGGCTTCGACCAGCTGAGCTGGACGCTGCTGCTGTCGTGGTCGACAATGTCCGGCTTTCCGGGCGGCGACGGAGGGTCGAAGGGGAACTTGGCAGTGATCGGGTTGGCGGTCTGGATGTACGGACCTACACCGTATTGATTTTCGGCCATCGCGCGGAAGTGGTATTGACTGCGGACGAGGGAAAAAATTAATTATGAGGAGCGTCGCCACAATAGACCATCGCTACGGGAATAGTTGAGTTTAGGGGAGAGGGGGGCAAGGGGGAATTTTCCCCTTTAACCGCTGGAATAGTGCAAAATTCCAGTCGAAATTCTTCGCCTTGCTAGAAACTCACTGGTTGGGTTCCAATCCCATGACGTCGTAATGGCAACCGCGGATGAACGCATTGCATTTTATCCAGATCTTCGTGGCGACATCCATCCTCTCGACGATGTAGTTCGTGATCGGAGATCCACCATCGTCGAGGGGCGGTCTCCAGGAAAGTGAGCACGTCTCGGGAGTGATGTCCGAAGGCTCGAAAGGTGCTTGGGGCGGGCCCGGCTTGTCGACGACTAGGACCTTGCACGCCTGGCTGTCTGAGCCCTGATCGTTCTTGAGCGTGAGCCCGTACTTTCCGGAGTCGTCTCGCTTGGCCTTCTTGTTGAGGTATACGACGAAGTTGGCGTTGATTTCGGTGTGGATTCTCTCGTCGTCCTTGGGGAGCTTCACGGTTCCATTCTGTCGGGGAATTCGAAACGGGATGAAAATCACGGAGATAGAGTAGGGGGAGAAATGGGTCCCGGGAGTCCCGAGGGGAAAGGGAAAACTAATAATGGAGGTGAATCTGGGTCAATGAAGGTCATTAAGGAAAGGTACTCACGACGCTCCATTCGGCTTCCGGTATCGGTATGCCGACGTAAGGAACCCTGATCGTGAACGGATCTCCCGCCATGACAACGATATCGCGCATCGAGAAACCAGAATCGATCTTCGGTCTGCACGGAGGCGGTCGGGCGTAAATGGGCTCCGAATTCTCCGAATACGGACCCTGGCCAGCGGCGTTGACAGCCGCGACCCGGAACTCGTATTGCTGATCCTGAACGAGACCGTCAGCGCGGAGAGTGAGTTCGGGATGGGGATAGCTGTTGACTTTGAGCCATTTGCTCTCGCCCTTCTTACGTCTCTCGAGCATGTAACCGATAATCGGGGAACCTCCATCGCTTCGGGGCTTGGTCCAATTGAGGGTGATCGAGTCGTTCGAGGAATCGATACCACGAGGAATTCCAGGAGCTCCGGGAACGTCGAAACCGTACTTCGCCAGAATCGGCTCGTCCAATTCTGTCGGGTCGGACGTTCCGTATTTGTTCTCGGCCATCACCCGGAATTCGTACTTCTTGCCCACGGTCAGACCGCGGACCCGGTAGTTCGTCTCGACAACGTATCCCGCAACGCGAGACCACGACTTGGTTCCGTGCTCCCTCTTTTCCAGGACGTAGTTCGTCACCGGAGAACCTCCGTCCTCCAACGGTGGAGACCAACGCAGCGTGAGCGCATCGCCGTCCACGTCTTCCCCGCGGAATTTCTGCGGCGGTCCGGGCCGATCGAGAACAGTGACTTTGCAGTAGGCGGTGTCGAAGCCGTGTTTGTTCTTGAGCTGCAGTTTGTACTGACCACCGTCCTCGCGTTTAGCGTTGGTGACCGTAAACTCGGCGAACGTGTCTTCGGTCCTAGCCTTGATGCGGATGTCTTTTTCGACGGCGATCTCGTTGTCGTTCCTTGACCACGTGGCTTCCGGTCTCGGGAAGCCGGTGAACTTCGCATTGAGCGTGAAGTTCTGACCGGCCCGGATCGTGACATCCTTGAGGGCTCCGGCCTCGAAACGAGGTTGATCCGGCTGCTCTTCGATGCGGATGATGTCCGTGGGCTGAGAAGGCGGAGAATCTCCGATATCGTTGGTGGCAATGACTCGGAATTCGTACTCGTCGCCCTCGTTGAGGTTCGGCACCGTGTAGGTGAGGTCCGGACACGGGACAGCGTTCGCCCTCGTCCAGTCCTTGTCGCCCTTCTTGCGTTTTTCGATGATGTACCCTTTGATCTTCGAGCCGCCGTCCTCTCGAGGTTTGTTCCACGACAGCTTGCACGAGTCCTTGGTGACTTTGTCGACACGAGGCTTGTCCGGAGCGCTCGGCGGGTCTGCAGAGAAATCGTTATTTATTATTATTATTATCTTCTCGATTATCGTCTCAATAATTTCAAGTTATTCTGATTTTGTCAAATTAAGGCTTGTTATCACTGAACTCGAACAGTGGAGCGAGGCATAGAATCCGCACAGCGGAATCGAAGCAAAAGCAACTCACACTTCGGATCTCTGGCGAGGAACGGCTCGCAAGGCTTGCTCGGTTTTCCCGGTCCTCCTTCGTTGACAGCGATCACCCGGAACTCGTACGTTTTACCCTCGATCAGATTCGGTACGTCGAATTTGGTATCGGGAACAGGAACGAGATTGACCTTCGTCCAGTCCGGGAAGCCTTTCTCCCTCTTCTCGATGATATAGCCTTCGACAGGACGGCCACCGTCGTTGAGGGGCGGTGTCCACTTGAGACCGCAGTGATTTCTTCCAAAATCGGTGATCTGCGGCTGTCCGGGAGCGTCGGGAACATCGAAGGGATTCTTCGCCGTGACCGGTTTGCCTTCGAGAGGCTCGGACACTCCGAAGTTGTTTTCAGCGCGAACGCGGAACTTGTAGTTTTTGCCCTCGGTAAGTCCCTTGACCTTGAACTCGAGTTGATGGCCGGGACAGAAGCCTGGCACAGAGGTCCAGAAGTCGCTGTTGGCGTCGCATTTTTCGATTTTGTACCCGATAATCTCGGAACCTCCATCGTCGAGCGGCTTGCGCCATTTCAAGGTGATCTCGTTGGCGCGTACGTTCGGATACTCCATCGGTCCTTGAGGGGGCCCGGGTTTGTCGTAGACGAGCACGTCGATGACAGCGCTGTCCTCCCCGTGAGCGTTCTTTGCCGTGACCGTGTACTTGTTGGTGTCCGATCTCTTGGTCTCCGGGATATCGAACTTGACGATTTCATCCTTGAACGAATGCACGATACGATTCGTCGGTGCGATATCGGCCCCTCCGCATTGCCAGGAAACGGTGGGCGTCGGCGATCCGGTGAGCGGGAACGAGATCCTCAGCGGCTCTCCAGCCTTGAGACGGATCGTCTTGTCGTAGAGACCGTCCAAGTGGAGCTTGGGCTTCTCTTTGAGCGGTTTGGCAGTGATGGGTTTGCTCGGGAGAGACGGCTCACTGGGTCCTGCGGCATTTCTTGCCACCACGCGGTACTCGTATTGATGACCGTCGATGACGGTGTCGTCGGTGTAATCGAGTCTGCCCACAGGGTCCCGGTTGAGGCGGATCCATCTACCGGCCTTCGTGAGATCTTTGCGTTCGATGTCGTACCCCTTGATCGGGGATCCTCCGTCGCTGGCGGGCGGCGACCACTTGATCTTGATGAAGTCACGATCGGCGTCCACGACTTCGGGTTGCCCGGGACGTCCGGGAACGCCGAACGCCGATTTTGCAATGATGGGCTTATCGGTGGTGAGCGGCTCCGACAGACCCTGTTCGTTTTCGGCACGAACTCGGAACTCGTACTCATGCCCCTCGATGAGCTTGGGTACGATGCACGTCGTGCTATGAGGCGCCACGTACTGAACTGCCGGCATCCATTGGCCACCACCACTCTTGTCGCGTTTCTCCACCACGTACCCACTGAAAACGGTGTTAAAAAGAACGTTTTCAGCTCGGGAACTGAGTTGGAAGTAGAGAACGTCAGAATAATAATTGAAGGCTGTCCTCACGTGATGTCGCTTCCCCCGTTGTCCTTGGGAGGTCTCCACGAAAGCGTGCATCTGTCCTTGCCGATTTCTTCGACTGACAGTGGTCCTTCAGGCGGTCCGGGTGGTGCGAGAACGACGAGTTTGAGAACACCGGAGTCCTCACCGAATTCGTTCTTGAGGTGGAGCTTGTACTCTCCAGCATCGTCACGTTTGACGTCAACGATGTTGACAATCGTATGATCATCGTAATCGGATCTGCTGCCTCGCATATCGGTCGACAGCGGTTTTCCGTTCACAGTCCACGTGATCGAGGGTGTCGGAGCCCCTTCGAACTTGATGTCCAGGTGCAGTTTGTCTCCCTCCTTCAATTTCATCTCCTTCATGGGAGAGAGGATCTTCGGCGGGACTGAAAATCGGAGCGATCAATACGCGACAATTCGGAATCGCAGTGATGATTCGACCAGAACAACACAGGGTACCTGCGGGGTGAGGGGAGCGGGAATTTTCTTGGACTCACGTTTTCTCGGCCTGCATGTGACCATCTGGCTCGGATCGGAGGGTTCGGACTCCCCTCCTTGGTTCACAGCGATGATCCTGAATTCGTAATCCTGACCTTCGCGAAGATCCGGCACCGTGGCTTTTAGGGTGTTGCCTGGAACCTCGGTTCCCTTGCTCCAGAAAGGATTACCGCGTTCCCTCTTCTGAACGATGTATTTCTGAATTGGGCTTCCTCCGTCGTCTTTCGGCGCGGTCCATTCGAGGTCCACGTGATCTTTGTCGTAATCCACGACATCCGGACGGCCGGGTTGGCTGGGAGCTTCGAACTGATCTCTGGCGACGATCGGTCGGGTGGTTTCCAGATACTCGGACTGACCCATTTCATTGACGGCAGCTACACGGAACTGGTAGGATTTCTTGTGAACGAGTTTGGGAACTCTGAAGTTCAAGTTCGGTGTCTGACCAGCTTCAACCCACGTCCCTCTGGTGGTGTCCATTTTCTCCACGACATAGTGGCTGATCGGGCAGCCACCGTCGTCTTTCGGGACTTGCCATGAGATTTCGGCGCTGTCCCTCGTGACGGTTCCGACGTTGAGAGGTCCCTCGGGCGGACCCGGGCGATCTGGAATAGTGTTGCCGAGCTCATGACACGGGACCGCCGGATAAGTTTATTCAGATTACGGAAGTAAGTCTGATCGAGAGGATTGGGATCCTCGATGGCCATGGCGATTTTGTCTTACCCATCACGGTGACCTGGGCAGTTCCGGATGCGGTTCCGTATTCATTCTTCAACTCCAAAGTGTACCTTCCACTGTCATCCCGCACAGACACAGGAATGTCGAGCGTGCAGAGCGTAGAGCTCGTCGCGCAATCGACCCTGGCAGTGACCGGCTGACCATTGATGGTCCACGTCGCTTTCGGAGTGGGTTCACCCTTGATGGGAATCGTGAAATTGATCGGACGACCGGCCTTGATCTTCAAATCCTTCAGGGCAGACATGTCCAGAGACGGAGCAACTGGAAAAATCGCGGTGTAAGCTTAGTATAACGCGAGAGACCGAGACCCGAACAGCTCCCCCGAATTTCGTGGGCGGGAATTAATCCGTCCTGGATTTCCACAGCGGAAATAGTTCCTTCCCGGAATTCTAGCGCTTGAACTCACGGCGTCTAGGCTTGCACATGACCATGTCGGAAGGATCCGACGGTTCTCCAGGTCCGGCCTTGTTGACGGCAATGATCCTGAACTCGTATTCCTGACCCTCTGTGAGCCCCGGGACGGTTCCTTTGAGTTCGGTTCCGGGAACGCGGGCACCTTCCTCCCAAACCAATTGACCCTTGGGCCTCTTCTCGATGATATATTCCTTGATCGGTGCTCCGTTGTCGCGCGGCGCACGCCATTCCAGGTCGACATGATCCTTGTCCCAGTCTTTGACTTCGGGCGGCGCAGGTTTACCGGGAGTGTCTGCGAAAATCATCGAATGGGTGATTTGATCCCGGACATGCACGGACGTGTGAGTGCCCATTCGGCCTCTTGCTCCTCTCGGCATCGTTCGAGCCGGACTCACCGTAGGGATTCTTAGCCAAGACAGGCTCTTTGATTGTGCAATAAGGCGAATCCCCTTCGTGATTGACCGCCTTCACTCGGAAAAGATAGCTGTGACCTTCGAGGAGTCGATCAACCTTGCAGGCGAGTCCCGGAGTTTCGGCGACCATGGTCCAGTTTCCTGAATCGATGTCTTTCTTTTCCACGACGTAGTGTAGGATGTTGCATCCGCCGTCGTCTTTCGGTTTCCTCCAACTGAGCTCGCAGCCATCGCGGGTTACGTTGCTCGCAGCGAGACCCTCCGGAGCCGTGGGAACGTCGACAACCGTGAACTTCACGGTACGTCTATCAGTGCCGTTAACATTGGACGCCACCTGGACAGTTTCGAAGCGGAAAAACGCGGAATTTAGCTCGACCTGACCGTCAGCCCCGAAAAGAGACCTTCACCAGAACAACGCGGTGCGATCTTGTCGTTTCTGAGATTCCTATTCTTACCAATTGTAACTCTCCGCTGTCTTCCCTCTTCGCTCCTTGAAGGGAAATCTTCGCTCTGTGTGGTGAGTGGACGGTGACGAAACGCGGCGAGTCCTCCAGAGAGTTCCCGCCCAAATCGAACTTGGTTGTGGGGACCGGCTCTCCAGCCACGGGAACTTCGAGTTCCCAATTCTTCCCAGCCTTGATCTTGATGTCCGACATCGGGCCGATTTTGGGAGCGACTGTGGAACAAAAAAGTATTCTTGTCAAGGGATGGACAACTCGTTCAATGGAACCCTCCTCAACCTCAATAGGAAGCATGTCCTCAAGGTTCGGATCGCCTGTACCATCATCATGATCGACTCACGGTTCTTCGGTCGAGCAAGATGTTTGCCAGTCGAGTCCGAAGGTTCCCCGCGGCCGCCCTTGTTCACGGGCACAACTCGGAACTCGTACTCCTGACCCTCGATGAGATCCTTCACGGTTCCCTGGCACTCGGGACCCGTTTCTCCACATGGAGTCCAGTCGGGACTGTACTTATCCTTCTTTTCGATGATATAGCCGGTAATGGGTGAGCCACCGTCGCTCTCGGGCGCGGTCCATTTGAGCTGAACGAAATCTTTGTCGAAATCGGCGATCTCGGGAGTTCCAGGCTTCCCGGGAGTGTCTGGTAGGGAACGGGAACGGAATAGTCAGCATGAGAAAAGCTTGAAAAGAAACTCTATCACAATAATAATCGCGCTTTTGGAGCTCGGGAAAGATCGAGCGCGTACCGAATGGATTTTTGGCGAGGATTGGTTTGTCGGCTTCAAGGGGATCGGATTCGCCTTGTCTGTTGACAGCCTTGACGCGGAATTTGTACGAGTGGCCGGGAGTGAGATTGTCCACTCCGAGCTCACACTCGCTGCCTCTCGTGGTGCCTGCGGGAGTCCAGAGACCTGTAGCCATGTCCATCTTTTCAACGACGTAGTGATCGATCGGAACGCCACCATCGTCCGAGGGTGGTTTCCACTTGAGCGAACAGCCCTCGGCGTGTACGTCCTCGATTTTGAGAGGTCCGTTCGGCGGTCCCGGCCGGTCGAGAACGATGACCTCGACCTCGGCCTCGTCTTCGCCCCATGGATTAACGGCTTTGAGCTTGTACATTCCGCTCTCGGCGCGAGTCGCTCCGCGGCAGTTGAGCTTCGTGTTGTAGGGCTCATCTCTGATCTTCGTGCGCTCGGTGTTCGTGACCTTGGCACCCTTGAGTGTCCAGGTGGTCTCTGGAGCGGGCTCGCCTTCGACCTTGATGTCGTAGAAGAAGTTCTGCCCGGCTCTGATCCTGACCTTCTCCAAGTTGGTGCGATCGATCTTCGGGGGCACTGAAAAGGAACAGCGTCGGGAAAAAAAAACGCGGAACGGATACGCGTCGGTCTTCGTGATCACGTGATCGGAAAAATATCGCGGCGAATCCCCCCCTTCTGCCTGAAATTTGGTCTTACGTTTGCGCGGTTTGGTGATTATCTGTCCGCTCGTGTTCGAAGGCTCGGATTGTCCGGCCTTGTTCACGGCACGAACACGGAACTCGTACGGCTTGTTGGCTTCGAGACCCTTGACGGACGCCTTCTGTTCGTCGCCGGGTACCTCCAGACACGGTTCCCAATCGCCGAACTTGTCCTTCTTTTCGATAATGTATTTCTCGATGGGGGCACCGCCGTCGTCCGAGGGCTTCTTCCATTCGAGGTCGACGTGGTCCTTGTCCCAATCCGTCGCTTTGAGATCCTCAGGTTTACCCGGAGGATCGAACGGATTCTTCGCGATGATGGCCTTGTCGGCTTCGAGCGGTTCGGACTCGCCCTCCTTGTTGACAGCTTTCACCCGGAACTTGTATTCGTGACCCGGACTCAGACCAGCGACCTCCATCGTGGGTTCCTTGGTTTTCCCGACAGGTACCCACAGTCCTGTTTCGGTGTCCATCTTCTCGACGACGTAGCCGTCAAGGGGCATTCCTCCAGTATCTTTGGGGGGTTTCCAAGCGAGTTTGCATCCCTCCTTGTGAACCTCGCTGATTTCGAGAGGTCCTTCCGGAGCCCCTGGCTTGTCCAAAATCGTGACGCTGACGCTAGCTCTGTCTTCTCCGCTCGAATTCGTGGCGACAATCGTGTACCGACCCGCGTCCTCGCGAGTCGCTCGGCGGATACCGAACTTTGTGTTGTACGGGACGTTTTCGATGGATCGATGCTTCGTGTCGCTAATCTCCTTGTCGTTCAGCAGCCACTGAACGTCGGGCGCGGGCTCCCCGGTGATATCGACGTCGAAGCGGATCGGTTCGCCCACCTTGATCTTGAGCTCGTTGAGGTTCTTGCGATCGATGCGAGGAGCCACTGCAACGATCGAAAACGACTTTGTGGTTGGATCTCTGTCCATGAGGGATTTCAGAAGAAAACAAATATTCTGACTCTAAATCAGTCCAATGCCCGGTTTGGGTTTTCTGACAAACTTACGGAATCGCGGTTTGGCGATGACCGGCCTAGACGCCATCGAGGGCTCTCCGGGACCAGCAGCATTAACGGCAACCACCCTGAACTCATACTCCTTCCCTTCATCCAAGAAGGCGGCGGTGCCTTGACAGACTGGACCACTAGTTTCACCGGCCTTGTCCCACTTGCTTGAACCCTTCTCCTTCTTTTCAATGATGTAGTGGGAGATCGGTGCTCCGCCGTCCTGTCGAAAAAAAATATAGAACGATCGAAAGGCGAATCGACAGGAATTCTCCGACTTCCGGAGGGCTCCCGATGACGAGAATGGGACGCCTGAGATTCAAATCGAGAAGACGAGATCGCCATTCTCGGATCTTTGTTCCGAAATATCTACCGCCAAGTCGTAATTGGGCGAGCAAAACTGTTGGAGAATCTAGGTATCTGAAAATCATCCGAGCTCACCGATTCGGGCGCGGCCCATTTAAGGTCGACATGGTCTCTATTCCAGTCCGTCGGCTCGGGTTGTCCTGGAGCTCCAGGGGCATCGTACGGATCCTTCGCAATGATCGGCAGAAGGCTCTCGAGAGGCTCGGATTCACCTTCTCGATTCACGGCCTTCACCCTGAACTTATAGCTCTTGCCAGGCGTGAGTCCGGTCACGTCGAAATCGGTGCCGTGACTCTTCCCGATGGGAACCCACGCACCGGTATCAGGATCTTGCTTCTCGATGACATAGTGGTCGATCGGTTCTCCCCCGTCGTCCTTGGGTTTTTTCCAGGCCAGATGGCAGCCGTGTTTGTTGACGTCAGAGACTTCGAGCGGGCCTTCGGGCGCACTCGGTTTCGAGAGAATCTGCACTTCGACTTCGGCTTCGTCCACGCCGTACTCGTTCCTTGCGACGAGTTTATAGATGCCGGCATCCTTCCGTTCGGCGCGGTCGCAGCTCAATTTAGTTTGGTAAGGCTTGTTCTCGATGATGACGGCCCCGTGGTCCCGGACTTCTTTCTTGTCGAGAATCCAAGTGCAGGTGGGGGCGGGTTCACCCTCGACCTTGACATCGAATTCGAACACTTGTCCTACGCGGATCGTCACTGGTCTCAAGTTTCGGCGGTCGATCTTTGGAGCCACTGGAAAAACAGAAACAGTTAGCGCAAGTCAGAAAGCAGCTCCGAACTTGAGTCGTTCTGGCAGCCTTACGTCTCTTTGCGAAATACTCTGCGGAACTTCCTGCGAATCGTTCCGCGGAACTCACTTCTTCGAGGCTTGGCCACTTGTGGCTTGGTCGCCTCCGACGGTTCTCCGGGACCAGCGGCGTTCACAGCCTTCACGCGGAACTCGTACGTCTCGCCGGGGATCAAATCAACAACCTTAGCGGTCGTGGTGTTCCCGTCGACGGTCGCGGCTTTAGTCCAAACTCCGCTGCCTTTCTCTTTCTTCTCGACAATGTAGCTCTGGATCGGGTTCCCGCCGTCCTTGAGCGGCGGTTCCCACTTCACGGTCATCCATTCCTTGTCCCAATCCGTGACCTCCGCGTTCTCAGGCGCACCAGGAGGATCGTAGGGATTTTTGGCGACAACGGCGGTTTCGTTCTCGAGGGGTTCGGATTCGCCTTCTGGATTGACGGCTTTGACGCGGAACTTGTACTCCTGACCCGGCGTCAAGTTTTCCACATTGAAATCGTTACCCATGGTGCGCCCACAAGGAACCCAGCGTCCCGTCTGGGTGTCCATTTTCTCGATGACGTAACCATCGAGTGGCATGCCACCATCATCGAGTGGTGGTTTCCACTTTAGTTTGCAGCCCTCCGCATGGACATCCGTCACGTCGAGAGGACCTTCGGGAGCTCCGGGCTTATCCAGAACGGTGACTCGGGCTTCAGCATCCTCCTCTCCGTTGACATTCTTGATGACCAGCTTATAGATTCCGGTATCTTTTCTGGTGACGTTGGTGATGGTGAGCTTTGCCCTGTAGTCTTCGCTCTCGATCTTGGTCCGGTTGTCGTTCTTGAGCTGCTCGTTTTCTCGGAACCAGGATTTGGTCGGGGGAGGTTCGCCGCCGACCTTGACGTCGTACTTCAGCGTCTGGCCGACTCGGAGAGTGATGTCCTTCAGACCCAATCGGTCAATGGACGGAATTTCTGCGGAGACAAGAAACGATTCAGAATCGACGGTGTCAGAAAATCAAATTCAGGACATGCATACGAGATAGAGCGGAGGATAGTGCTGCAGAAATCGGAAACTTACGGTTTCTAGGTTTAGCGATGACTTTGTCTGACGGGTCGGAGGGTTCTCCGGGACCGGCTTTGTTGACTGCCTTGACCCGGAACTCGTATTCCATGCCTTCGATGAGGTCATTCACGCGGCACTCGCAAGCGTCTCCGATGGTCTCGGCGGCTTTCTGCCATTTGGTCGAGTGCTTATCCTTCTTCTCGATGATGTAGCTCGTGATCGGGGCTCCGCCGTCCGATGCGGGCGCGTCCCACTTGAGATTGACGAAGTGCTTGTCCCAGTCCGTGGCTTTCGGTTTTCCGGGCTTGCCAGGCTCGTCGAAGGGATTTTTCGCCACGATAGCCATGTCCGTCTCCAAAGGCTCGGATTCACCCTCGGGATTGACGGCCTTGACGCGGAACTTGTACTCCTTGCCAGGAATGAGACCCTTGATGTCCGCTTCGGGCTCCTTGCTGGTCCCACACGGCACCCAACGACCAGTATCGGTATCGAGCTTCTCGATAAGGTACTGGGAAATGGGCTCCCCACCGTCGTCTTCGGGTTTGTCCCATTTGAGCTTACAACCCTCGGCATGAACGTCACTGACTTCGAGAGGTCCTTTCGGTTTGGTGGGTTTGGAAACGACCTTGATCTCCACGGTAGCCTCGTCGACGCCGTGTTCGTTCTTGGCGGTGATCGTGTACTTTCCAGTGTGCAATTTCCTCTGGGCCTGAGTGAGCACCAGCAGGGTGTGGTACTCCTCGATGTCGATCTTGAAGTGATCATCGCTGGCGATCGGCTTGCCCTCGTGCGTCCAGGTGATCGTCGGCGCGGGCTCTCCCTTGACGTCGACGTCGAATTTGCATCCCTGACCGTTGCGAATGACGATGTTCTTGAGATTGGTTCGGTCGATTTTGGGAGCGAGACGACGTGGTTTGCATTTTACGGATCGAGACGGATCCGACGGCTCGCCGGGACCGGCTTTGTTCACGGCTGTTACGCGGAACTCGTATTCTTCCTCTTCCTCGAGCTCGGTGACAGTCGTCGTCGTGGTAGTTCCAGGAACTTCCTTGGCCTTGTGCCATTTCTGAGCTCCTTTCTTCCTCTTCTCCACGATGAATTTCTCGATCGGCGCGCCTCCGTCGTCCTTGGGCTTCTCCCACTTGAGCTCGACACGGTCCTTGTCCCAATCGGTGATTTCCGGCTTATCCATTTTGCTCGGCGGGTCGAAGGGATCCTTGGCCAGCGTTCCTTTTTCTGTCTCGAGCTCTTCACCGTCTCCCTCTTTGTTCACGGCGCGGACTCGGAACTTGTAGCTCTTGCCCGGCTGCAGGTTCCTAACTTCGAAGTTGGGCTCGGTGCTGCGACCACACGGCACCCATTTGCCGGTTTCTTCGTCCATCTTCTCGATTTCGTAGCACTCGATCGGGCATCCTCCATCGTCGTCGGGAGGTTTCCACGCGAGTTTGCAGCCGTCCTTCTTCACGTCGCTGACCTGGAGCGGTCCTCCGCAGCGGCTCGGCTTGCCGAGCACCGTGATGTCGACTTCGGCCTCATCGGTACCGTTTCGATTTGTGGCCTTGATTCTATAGATGCCGGTGAGTTTCCGAGTGGCTTTGAGCATCGTGAATTTGGTGTTGTAGTCTACGTTGATGATGGTATATACTTCCCCGGATGAGAGCGGGGTCTCGGATTTCCCGTGGAACCATTCGATGGTCGGTGGAGGCTCACCGCGGACGTTGACGTCGAAGAACACGGTCTGACCGGTCTTCACGATGACTGTCTTGAGATTGGTTCGATCGATTCTCGGTTTGAGGTTCTTGTGCTTGACCAGGATCGGCTGAGTAGCTTCGGAAGGCTCTCCCTTACCGGCCTTGTTCACGGCGCGAACCCTGAACTCGTATTTCTCGCCTTCGGTAAGTCCCGTCACTTTACCCTGAGGGACAGATCCCTGGATTTCGGCACAGGGCATGAACTCGGCGGCGTACTTGTCTTTCTTCTCGATGATCCATCCCGTGATCGGGGCACCCCCGTCGCGTGTCGGCGCTTCCCATTTGAGCTCAACAAAGTCCTTGTCGTAATCTTTGACGACCGGCGTTCCAGGAGCTCCGGGAACATCGTAGGGGTTCTTGGCCAGAGTGGCGTGATCGGTTTCCAGGGGCTCTGAAGAGCCTTCGTCGTTCACTGCCTTCACCCGGAAGTGATATTTCTTGCCTTGCTCGAGACCCTTGACAACGGCGGTGGTTTCGTCCTTGCCGACCTTTCCGGCAGGAACCCATTTACCGGTTTCAACGTCCATTTTTTCGATCATGTAGTTCTCGATGGGCAGACCGCCATCGTCCTTGGGTTCACGCCACGAGAGCTTGACGTGATCTGCGTGCACGTCGCTCACCTCGAGAGGTCCCTCCGGGGGCGAGGGTTTGTCCAGGATGTTGATATCGATCGTGGCCTCGTCAACACCGGACTCGTTCGTGGCCGTGATGGTGTATTTTCCAGACTTCTTTCTGGAAGTGTTGGTGAGTGTGAGGAACGACTTGTACGGTTCCTCATCGATCTTACAGTTTTCGTTCTTCTCCAACGGCTTTCCCTTGAACGACCACACGATGGTGGGAGCGGGCTCCCCGATGGCCTCGACGAGAGTTTTCACGAGATGTCCCGCACGCACGGTGACATTCTCGAGTTTCTCGCGCAGGATTCGAGGTGCGACTGGAAAGGGAAATAATTATTAGACTCGGAGATTTCGCATCCTCCCGGTAGCGATGGGGAACTTCCGGAATAGGGAAGAACAGAAAAAATAGAAGAAGAAACAGACTCCATTGGAACTCACGATGTCTCTCTTTGCAGAGATGGTTCCTTGTAGGCTCGGAGGGTTCTCCAGGACCCGCCTTATTGATAGCCTTGACTCGGAATTGATATTCCTTGCCCTTGATCAGGCCCTCGACCTTACCCTCGGGCTTGTTCGTTGTCGTGGTCGCCATCTCCACCCATTGTGAGGAGAATTTCTCCTTTGCCTCGATCAGATAGCCGGTGATCGCGGCACCTCCGTCGTTCTTGGGAGGCGTCCATTTGAGATCGACGTGCTTCTCGGACCAGTCGGTGATCTCGGGCTTCCCGGGCGGTCCGGCCGGATCGTATGGGTTCTTGGCCACCGTGGCGTGGTCTGTCACCAACGGCTCAGATTCCCCTTCGGCGTTCACGGCCTTCACGCGGAACTGATACTCTTTACCCTGCATCAATCCGCCGATCTGGCACTCCGTCTCGTCGGGGTCGACACGAGTCACCGGCACCCACGTGCCTGTGGAAACGTCCATCTTCTCGATCATGTAGGCCTGGATCGGTTTACCGCCATCGTCCTCCGGCTTGTTCCATTTGAGTTTGCAGCCCTTGGCGGTGACGTCGGTCACCTGCAAGGGGCCTCCAGGGCGAGCGGGAGCGGCGAGGATGCAAATCTCGAGCTCGGCTTCGTCTTTGCCGTGCTCGTTGACCGCTGTGATCTTGTAGACCCCCGAGTTCGCTCGGATCGAGTCCTTTATCTTCAGATCCGTGTGGTAGTCCACCGTGATGACCTCGACATTGCTTTTCGTGGTGACTTCAGCGCCCTTCAGAAGCCATGTGATCTTCGGAGGAGGCTCACCGCGAACGTTGACATCGATGTGGATCGGCTTGCCTTTCTTCACCATGGTGGTGATCAGATTGGTTCGATCGATGTAAGGTTTGACTGGAATCCAAGCGCGAGCGTGAGAATTTTCAGGACGAAACGAAAACTGCTGAAAACATCAAACCGCTGAGTGCTCAGAATGCGAATTAAGGCGTGGAACTCACGTTTCCTGTGCTTGACCTTGTGGAGGTCGGTGGCGTCTGACGGTTCCGAGGCGCCTCCTTTGTTAATCGCGATCACCCGGAATTGCATTTCTGTGCCTTCGACGAGGGGTTCCACACGAGCCATGGGCTCGGGACCCTTCGATTCGGCGATTTTCTCCCATTCCGGTGAGAATTTGTCTTTCTTCTGGACGATGTACTTTTCGATCGGAGCTCCGCCGTCGCTCTTCGGCGGCTCCCATTGGAGCTGAACCATACGATTGTCATAATCGACAATCTGTGGCTTGCCGGGCTTGCTCGCAGCGTCTGTAAAAATCCACCGATAACGTCAATCATTAGTTGTCTGATTCCGCGATATATCTCTTCCACGATTCGGGGATAGCGTTGCCCCGAGGGGGGGGCGCGTGCTGCCTACGTTCAGCTTTCGGAATTCGATCATTCGTATTTAACTGCGTTCAAAAAAAATCGCAGTTAAGGCGACCACCCGGACGGAACAGCGTCAGACATCTTGGCAGATGTCTGTCAATCTGCCTGTCTCTCTGTCTTGTCTCTCTCTCTCATTTCGATTCATCTGCCCAAAATTTAGCTCAACGTGTCGATCACTCGGTAGAATATCGCAAAAGGTCTGATCTATTTCTACTTTCGTTTCTCTCGAGTGATTCGAGCCGCGAGCTAAAGTTAAGCGGCTGTACCCAAGAAAGGATCCGAATTGAACTGTTCGTCGGAGTCACAGAGCGTTTCGTCAGATGAAAAGTGTGAGAGCGCGCTCATGAAATCGCTCGATCTGTCGGTCTCGGTCGACAGTCGAGGCCTCGCATTGTGATAGGAGAGAGCGTCCGAATCGTCATCGTCTTCTGTGGTATAACGGAGAACACGTATCGCACACGTAACGTACGGGTGAGGCTTCCCTCGACTCCGTATGCACTCACCCCATGGGTCTTTGGCGATAACTCCTTTCGTCGTCTCGAGCGGCTCGGATTCTCCTTCGTCATTGACGGCGACACATCGGAACATGTATTCCTTGCCGGGTGTGAGTCCCTGAACGTCGAACTCGGGCTTGTCGCTCTTTCCGCAGCGAGTCCATCTTCCGGTTTCCTTGTCGAGCTTCTCAACCTCATAGTACTGAATGGGTTTGCCTCCGTCGTCTTCCGGCGGGTTCCACTTGAGTTTGCAGCTCTCTTTGCGAACATCGGTCACTTCCAACGGGCCTCCCGGTCGGGACGGCTTGCCGAGCACGGTGACCTCAACGGTGACACTATCGGTTCCGTTGCGATTGGTCGCCGTGATCGTGTATTTGCCAGTCTGTTTACGGATGGCGTTTACGATACCGAAATCGGAGTGGTAATCAACGTTCTTAATGACATTGTGATCGTTGGCGACCACTTCGACGTCGTTCAGAGTCCATTTGACTTCTGGCGGAGGTTCACCGCTAATGTCCACGTTGAAGGTGTGGTTGCGGCCCGTTTTTATGATGACGGTCTTCAGGTTGGTGCGGTCGATGCGAGGTTTCACTGGAAGCGAAGAGACGTCTCGTGAGGGAAGTTCTGCTTCGATCAAACTACCTCAGGAGCTAGAGCTAGAGGAAGTCAAGAACGGGGGTGATGGGGCTGAAATCGAGGGAAAACGTCGTAGGAATCGGAAACATCGCGACTACTCACAGTTTCTGTGTTTCACAATATGCGGGGGAGTCTCGTTGGAAGGCTGCGACTGCCCAGCTTTGTTCACAGCTCTGACCCGGAACTGAACGGACGTGTTTGCCTTCAGTCCAGTGACCTTCGCCGTCGTGACGGGTCCGTCGGACTTCATAACCTCGGCGTACTCGGTGTGGAGCTTGTCCTTCATCTCGACGATATAATGAAGAATCGGTCGGCCTCCGTCGGATTCAGGCTTCTCCCATTTGAGCTCAACCATCGTGTTGTCGTAGTCCTCGATGACAAGGTTACCCGGTTTGCCTGGCTCGTCGTAGGGATTCTTCGCGACCACTTCCTGGTCCAGCTCGAGGGGTTCCGAGGAGCCCTCTTTGTTCACGGCCTTCACACGGAACTTGTAGCGTTTGCCCTTCTGGAGCCCGGTGACCTTCGCCTTCGTGTCGTTGGGTCCGACCTCTCCGGCGGGTACCCATCGACCTGTCTCCACGTCCATCTTCTCGATCATGTAGCTCTTAAGCTCGGAACCGCCATTATCCTCCGGGGGCTTCCACGAGATCTCGGCGTAGTTCTCGCGTACTTTGTCCGCGTTCTGGGAAAATACGACCGTTTAAAAAATAATTCCATGCGTGTCGCCCTTCTCCGAGTCTTGCCCATAATCGGATAATGATCCCGGAGGTACTTACGAGGGGTCCTCTTGGCTTGGTGGGTTTGTCGAGTACGACGATCTCCCCCTTGGAGACGACAGTTCCCGACGAGTTCGTGAGCGTCAGCTCGTAGGTTCCACTGTCGGCACGGACAGCCTCCTTCGTCACGAGGAGCGTGCTCTTCTTCTTGTCGTCGACGGTGGTGATGGTCGTCTTCCCGGTGATCTCTTGAATTTCTTTGCCGTTCAAAGTCCACGTAACAGTGGGCATTGGCTCGCCACCGAAGTCCACGTCGATCTTGATCGTGGCCCCTCTCTTCACCATCATGCCCTTGACGCCATCACCGATGATGTATGGCTTCACGAAACGTGGCTTGGCAATTATCGGTTTCGTCGGATCTGACGGTTCACCTGGACCGGCTTTGTTCACGGCACGGACTCGGAATTCATACTGCACTCCCTCCTTCAGGTCCTTCACGCGACCGCTAGTCTTGCTTGCGGGGACCCGGGCACCCTCTGTCCAAGTGTTGGAGAATTTGTCCTTGACTTCGATGATATACTCCTCGATAGGAGCACCTCCATCGCTTGTCGGGGGTTCCCATTTGAGATCGACGCGGTCAGAATCCCAGTCGGTGACTTCAACGGAGCCGGGCTTGGTGGGTTCGTCGTACGGGTCTTTTGCCAACGTGGCCTTATCCGCGACCAAGGGCTCGGATTTGCCTTTCTTGTTCACGGCCCGCACCCTGAACTTATATTCCTTCTTGTTTGTCAGATCCGTGACATTGACGCTTGTTGTTTCTGAGCTGAGAACCTCGGTCCAGCCTCCCTTGGCGCTCAAGTCCTGCCTCTCGATGACGTAGTGACTGATCGGGCAACCACCGTCGTCCTTCGGAGGTTTCCAGGCGAGCTTGCAGCGATCCTTAAATATGTCCGTCACTTGCAGCGGTCCCTCAGGAATTTCAGGAACGTCCATGACATTGACGCTCAGAGTTTTGCTGTCCTGACCCTGAGAATTGCTCAAGGATATCGTGTATTTTCCTGTGGAGGCTCGGAGCGGTTTGCGGAATGTCAGCATAACCGTGTTCTCCTTGACCACCTGATCGACATCTTTCGACGTGACGACAGTCCCGTTGCATTCGAGCTTGCATACGACTTCGGAAGTTCGGACACCGGTCACGGTGTAAGGTACGTCGATGATGAACTGCTTGCCCTGATCGAAAGCGTAGTCGGTTTTCTCGGGCTTGATGATTGGTGCTTTCTCGGCTTCCTGTACGGTGAGGGTACAATTGGATTTGAGATCCTTCGTCTCAATCGAATAGTCACCCGAGTCGTCGAGAGTGGCGTTGCGAATGATGAGTTGATGTTTGCCCTCTTGGGAGACAAGCTCGATGTTGCCCCCAGGCTTGACCTCCTGACCGTTTTTAAACCATTTGATCGGTGCGGTCCGGTCCATCAACTCGGCGTCGAGGATGATGTCTTGCCGCTCAAGACCGGTGGTGTCCTTGAGTTTCTTCTGCCAACGGTTGGCGGCTGTGAAATCCAGAGATTGAGATGAGCTTCCGGCTTCTACCAGGAAATCTTTTTTCTATATGATGACGAGAACTCATGGTGATCGATCGCGGGTTCGTTTTGAGGAGACTTACGCTCAACGATGAGCTCGCAGGTGGTTTCCTCCGCGTTGGTCTTACACATGTATTGACCCTCATCGGCGACCTTGGAGGTCTTGATGAAAATACGTCGCTTCTTTCCTTCGGCGGAAATCTGGAGGCTTGAAACGCATTGCAGATTAGACTCAAATATTCATCCTCGAGCGAACGAGGAACGGAGGACTTTTCCCAAGAATCGACATACCCGACGGGAATCCATGCCTCCTCGATACTTACTGCTTGTCACCCTTGATCTCCTTTCCATCCTTGAACCACGTCACAGGCGCTTCCCATTCATCGACCTCGCATTCGAGCGTGACCGGCTCCTTCTCAGGAATTCTGAGCGACTTGAGCATTTTCATGAATTGGAACTTCTGTTCGGTGACCGTGACCTTACACTGCGTCTTTTCGGTCGTGTGGACGATCTTGCAGGAGTATTCGCCGGTGTCCTCGAGGTTCAAGTTGAAGACTCGCAGAATCTTCTTCCCGAACGTGTCCTGCTCGTATTGGAACCTCTCAGACGCGTTGATCTTCAGGTCGTTCTTGTACCATTGTACCTGAGCCTTGGACGAGTTACACGCGCACTCGAGGACCATCTCCTTCATAGTGTACACGTCAGCCTTCTTCGGCAAGTTCTTGGTGAATTTGTACACCGGATCGGGAGCTGGAAGATGGACTCATGGACACAACTGGAGATCTGAATACTCTGAAGACTCGTTTTCGCTTCGGGGAGCGACGAAAATGCGAAGCGATCGGAACCTACCGTCTACTTCGAGCAGTGCCTTGCATGACGTCTCGAGACACGTCAAAGTGATCGTGCCCTCGTCGTCCTGGGTGGGGTTGCTGATCTCGAGCACGTGCAGATCACCCGTGGAAGACATTTTGTACTTCTTGCCCATGAAGAGCTCCTGGCGGTTCTTGAACCATTTACCCTTGATTCCGTTCTTCGAAAAGACGGCTTCGAATCTGGCCTTCGTGTCCTTGCCCTCCTTCACGTGAACGTTTTGAAGAGGCTTGATGAAAGAGTCCGCTTTCTACGGAAAAGCGACGAGAAAGGTGAGTCCTGTGAATCCTTGATAAACAGCTCGCGCGAACAAAAAACGTGTAAAGCGAACGGTGGGCGTTCCGGAACGCTTTCCGCAAACGCCGTAGAGGTGAAGGAAACTCATAGTTGAACACAAAATTTCAAACGAAGATCCTCAACTAAAAACGAAGCCATCCCAGAAGAAAAGACATCGAGTCGCAAATAACCTTAACGAGTGAGAACAGAAGGACTTCTGCAACTGAAATTTGCGGAAGAAGCGGATCGAAGCCGATATCAGCTCTCCCTGGTCACCTTGCGCTGGACGATACTGTGAAGGACCGGCCAGTCCGGAATAAGTTCAGCAAGGGAAGGTCTCCTCGAGGTGCGAGGGCTGGGAGGTTCTAAACTCTTCCAAAATCAATCGAGGTTAACTACACGGCTTGGTTCAACTAGGTCGGACCAGCCGCTTGCCGCATAGAATAAGCTCTCCGGTTAGAATTCGATGAGTCCCCCTCCGGAACCACCAACGAACAAACAGCACGACGCTAAATTCACGCACCTTCTTGGCGAGCTTCGCGAGCTCCTCCTCTTTCTCTCGTTCCTTCAGTTGCCAATCCGGGTCGCCCTTGTTCTGACCCCACTTGCCGTATTGTCTGTGCTGGAGCATGGCGCGGAAGTCCATTCCACCCTCGGCAGCCACGAACAGAGACATCGAGACGGTATCTTCGCCGTGGCAATTGTAGGCAGTGATCGTGTATTTGCCTTCGTCGTTACTCTTGCACTTCCGTATGCAGAAGTGCACTGAATTCGTCGAACCATCGGTCACCACTTTGTAACGACCTCCCTCGTATATTTCGGACGCACCCTAGAGGAATCGAGTGTCAATTGGAAATTAGAAAATCCGAGACATCGAATGAGGTCGACCGCTCGATCTCAGGCTGACGAGATCGTCTCCGGTCACGGTCGACAAGCACTCGCTTCAGGCCGTTGACGGATTCAAAGAGCAAATGTGAGACCATGGTTCAGTACCTTGTAGAAACGGAATTGAGGCGCGGGATTGCCCTCTACAACGACTGTGAGATAACCGGTCGCGTTCTCAGTGGCCGAGTTGTTCTCCTGGTAGTCGACGATCACCGGGGGTCCGCCGTCACCGGTCGGCTGCAGAGGAGTGGATGGCATGTCCACTCGGCCGTCAGCCTCCGAAATGCTGCGGGATATGAAATCGATCCGGGTTTGTTTCGAATCATCGAATTGAGGAAATGCCCCGAGCTGTGTCGCCTTAGCCCCCTGATCGGGTGCCTCTAGAATTTCAGCCCTCAATCAACCTCTGTGCGAACAGCTGGCCGACGAAGAACTCACCTGCCCTTGCGGAGATCGACCCCGACGCTGGACTTTCGCCTCTGACGTACTTCGAGCACTTCTCCCGGTCGCAATTTCTTCATCTGACCCTTGTCATCCAGACATTGTCCTTTCTGTGTGGGATTCAATTCACTTAGAATTCGTGAAGTTTTCCCATCGAATGCTCAAGAAGCGCAACGAATTTCAAGCCTTTCGATCGGAAATGCCGACAATACGAAGCAGTCGAGAACGATATCGGTGAGGAGGTCCACAGGTTAGAACATTCAAGGAATGAGGGAGAGTTTCGAGTGACACGATTGAAGCTGAAAAAAGAAGCGTACGATATATGCGAACGAGGGACGGCTGGAAAAACTTCCATCGGACTTCCGTAATCGGAGCAACAAAGGAGTCAAAATAAATCAGAATTCGATATCGAATCAAATCGATTAGAAAAGAAGCTTTGGAAACGAAATAAGCGATTTGTTGTGCTGACGGTGTACGAAAGTGTTGAAATGCTTGAAGTCTTCTTCCCTTATTCTAGAGGAGAGCCTCTTGCTCCCAGGAGTCGATTACGAGACCTCAGATGACCTTGCAGGATGACAGACGAAGAAGGAACGTTCAGGACGAAACAGATAAATTGAGGGCACACGCAGCTCGACATGGAGAAGAGGAGACAAGACGGCACAAGATAGAGGACAAAGGACGACACGATACATGTGACAGCGAGACTCCGAAGAGAGTCGACACGTCGAAGAACATAGCATTACAAAGACACGAGACACAAAATGCTCGTGACCAACCTCGTCGGCAACCATAATGATCGATCCTCTGCGACCTTGTGGAATGCCCTCGATCTTGAGAGAGCCTTTTCGAGAAGAAGGAGGGGTGGGTTCAGGAGTAGGCTCCTTGACCACCGGAACCGAAGGTCGCTTTTCAGGTTCGATCTTAATATCGGGTACGGATTCCTTCTTCTTCACCGAAGCTCTACGCTCGACCTTCTCAGGTTCCTTAACGGAGGCTTTGCGTTCGACCTTCTCCGGTTCCTTGATCGAAGGTTTTCGGCTCGGAGTCTACAAAGAGCGGCTGCGTGACAGAGTGTTTTTCGTTTGAGCTTTCGGTCAGGGACCGAGAGATTGGCCGGTCGTCCTACTGCTAGATCTTATACCTAGGTTTCTCTTTGCCTTGTGTTTTCTGTGTAGTTGTTAGTCGCGTCAGCGAGAAGGCCAGCCTCTTCATCCCCAGCGACAAACCTTCAGCATGTCCTTGGCCTGCTGTACGCCCATCTCATGGCCGTGAATCAACACCGTACCCGCTGGATCCATCGTATCCAGTTGGGACGCGAGATCTTTGGTTGCGTCCAGGGCCACGCAAACACTGCTGCGCCGCCGCAAAATCGGTTCTTCCTTCTCCTCGTCCGCGGCGAACACCTTGACTTTCTTCCAACCTCGTTTCGGGGTTGTCTCTCGCGTCGAAGGCGTCGGCGATTGCAGGGGCGTGCTCTGTGGCGTTATTCCCTTCGGTGGTGTTTCTATCACAATGGGTGGCGGCGGCCTCTTTTTCGTCGTGGTCCTCGACGCTGTCGTTTCGGTTATGTCTTCGATGGTGATCGTCGGTAGCGGGGAAGACGGTGCCGGAGACGGCGAGGGCGAATGAACAATCGGTGTCGGGGTATCAGACGAGGGCGGCTCGGTGCTGTCGCGTGAGACTTCTCGAGCGAACGGTCGGAATATTTTCGCTAGGTCGTCCGCCGTGGAAGATTCGCTAGCATCGGTCGCGTATTCCATGCCCATCATTCGTTTGAGATGATCTCCCGAACTCGAATGATGGAGCGCCTCGTAGATGTTATCGATGTCTTCCTTGGAAATCGCGGAAGATCTTCGCGATGCGTCGGGTGTGCTTGACGTCGACGACGGACTCCGCATTCTAACTGATCCCGTTCGTTTTATAGAGCCGGTGCGTTGCAAGGTCGACGGTTCCGGTCTCGGAAGAGCCTCTTTCGGGTTGATACTAACCGGGGTCTAATTTCCAGCATAACAGTGGGGACTTTATTTTTAAGGGTCAATAGTTCGCTATCCTATACCCCCGAGTATTGGAGGTAATGCTGTACATAGCCATGTCTGGAAACTGAACGAAGTATGCTCACCTTCTCTTCGGGTTTCTTCTCTGGTGCCGGAGGTTTCTTCTCTTCGACCTTCTTCTTCTCTTCGACCTTCTTCTTCTCCTCGACCTTCTTCTCTTCAACCTTCTTCTCTTCAACCTTCTTCTCTTCGACCTTCTTCTTCTCCTCGACCTTCTTTTCTTCGACCTTTTTGACTTCTGCGAAAGTCAAGCGAGTGATTGAGCGTGGGGAAGACAGAGAAATATAGTATCAACCGTCCCTCCGGGTTGGCTTCACATCTGCTTTTTCCTTACCCTTCACAACCACCTCCGTTGAGCTCTCCACGGATCCGAATTCGTTCTTGACCTCCACACTGTAGGTTCCCGACATTTCTTTGGTAGCTTCTGAGATTCGGAGCTCGGCGGTGCTCCCGTCGAAACTGCTCTTGATCTTCGTCGTTTCACGGATGACTGTTTTGTTCTGATACCATATAATTGTACACTTAGTTCTGGATTCGATCTTGATAGAGAGAGAACCGGATTTTCCTTGTTCGATCTCCAGACGCTGCAGTTTCGTGGTGAGCTTGGGCTTCTCGCCCTTGGGTTCTTCCTTCTTCTTTTCCTCCTTCTGTCCCTCGACTTCGACGTTCACGGTCTGTGACGTGCTCTCTCCCTTGGTGTTCTTTGCCATCAGTTTGTAGACACCCTTGTCCTTAACATCGGGGGCCTCAATTTCAAGGGCGATGGCGAACTCGCCTTGAGAGACTTGTTTGATATGGACCTGGTGACGGGTGTCTTCACGCACCATGCTGTTCTCTTTGTACCAGACCACGTCGGGCTTATTCGCAGATTGCACTGTGCACTCGATGATGATCGTTTTTTGGTGCTCCCTGCGGATGACCTTGGGCCTTTCCTTGATCACAGGAGCCACTGCAACAGAAGAGCGACGGCATGAGGAGGGGGAAATCAGGTCCCTCACTTCCCGGGAATGATAACGAGAGACACGTCAATGGTTTCTGACAGTCAATATGTGGAAACTTTCCATCGACGCGATGCGTGTGGGGGAGGAGATTCTCGTGATAGACTCATTATTACTCACATTCGATATTGAGAGTGAGGTTGGCGTTCGACTCTCCGGCAGTGTTCTTCACGTTGCACTTGTAAATTCCGGCATCGGTGAGCTCGGGGTCGACGAGTTCGAGCTTACAATGGTATATGCTACCCTCCTGACGCACACTTTGTCGGATGCGAGCTCCTTCGCGAACGACTACCCCTTCTCTGTACCATGTGATACTGGGTTCCGGGTTGGCTTTCACTTTGCACTCCATAATAATAAGCTTGCCATCGTTTTCCGCTCGGATCTTCGGCTTCTCGACAAATGAAGGTGCCTCGCCAGAGGGTGCGGGGGCGCCAGCGATGTTCAGATTGAGATTTGCGTTGATTTCTCCGTCAGCGTTTCGAACAGTGCATTTGTACATGCCACCATCTTCTTTCGCTGGGTTACGGATCTCTAGAATAATTGCATATTCGTCGCTCCCTTCCTTTTCCATAGAGAATTTTATGTGGCCAGCCGATTCGCTCACTGTGCTGCTTCCATGGAACCACGTGTACTGTGGGGCAGTTTTGGACTTGACGTGGACTTCCATGAGAATGATGGCGCCACCTGGGGTTATGGAGAAAATTCGAGAAATTCAGTGCTTGACCGCTGCTATTCCGAAAGGATTGATGAACCAGAGTGCAGAGGGTCGAATCTCGTATTACTCACCGTCTTTGGGTACAATTTTCGGCTTCTGAGTGAAGGTTGGAGGGTCTCCGGTCTTCGGAGGCTCCGCCCCTTGCAGGTTGAGAGTGATATTGGCATTACTGTCACCCAGTTCGTTCATCGCATTACACTTATAACTTCCACCGTCCTCGGTCGTTGGATCCTGACGGATAAATCAAAACGTCAGATGATGGTCGATCGATAACTCTTCCTCGTCAGGGCATGGGCTTTGAGGATCCATCGATTTTCTTTCCATCTAGAGTTCAGAGCCGCGAATTATCTCGTGGCGTGGCCGTGGTCTGAGTCAAACGGAGAATCACCACGAAGGAGGGAAAATGCCCTCAGCGAATCCTGAACCGAATACATACCCTGATTTCGAGCGAAAGCTGATAGGTGTGTTTGGAGATCTCCTTGCGGGCGGTCTTGTGTCGGGCTCCCTCCATAATTTTCTTCGAGCCCAAATACCACGTAACTTCCGGGAAAGGATGAGCCTCACAAACGCACTCCAGAATCAGCGAGTCCCCTTCTTGTCGGATCGTCGGTTTTTTCGGAAATCGAGGTGCTTTGCCCTCTGGAATTCTGAAATACAGGACATGAGCTCTTCAGCGATGAATCGCACGAGCTTGCGCTCGGGGAGCAGCTTCCATTACGGCGAGAATCTGTCATCAGGGTACTTTATTGGAAGCGACTTACTTGGGTTTTCCGGCATCGAAATTGAGCGTGATCGTTGCGTGACCCTCCCCGTGAGCGTTCGTTGCGACAACTTTATATTCGCCGCCATCCTCCGCTTTCACTTTGGAAACTTCGAGAGCCGCCGTGTGGTTATGCTTGTCGGAGATCAGTCGGTACTTGTGCCGGGAGCCTTCGGGCACATGAGCACCGTTCAAGAACCATTTGATCGTCGGCGTGGGGTCGGCGATCAAAGCGCACTCGAAGGTGATCTTATTTCCATCGTCGCTCTGCTTGATCAGAGGCTTCTCGATGAACGTCGGTTTGGTGCCGCCTTCCGGAACGTTGGCGTCATCGCTGTCGAAGTTCAGCGAAATGGTCGCGTTGCTTTCGCCGAGTTCATTTTTGGCGACAACTTTGTATTTGCCGGCGTCCTCTACTGTCACATCGGACACTTGAAGTGTGCAATTGAAGTTGTGTCCGCCATCCGGTTGTACGATAATCTTGAAGCGGCCCGCCTTCTCCACCACTGGCGTTCCGTTGTGAAACCATGATATATCTGGTTTCGGATCGGCGGTGATCCGACATTCAAACAAGAGAAGTTCTCCGTCATCCTCCTGGCGGATCGAGGGTTTTTTCACGAACGTGGGCGCCGTCCCATCTATTTGCCTATTGATGCAGAAGGTGGAACGTTAGAGCCTTCCCCCCTGTCTCGATGCCTTGAATTATTATTCTTGCAGATTTGTTATCGACACCGAGCTCCGAACTCGGACGCCTTCCCCCTACCCCTCGGGCCTTCCCCATCTTTCGGGGTCCCGGAGACGTTTACACTGGTCTCAATTGTATTCTGCTCTCACACTGTATTCGTCTCTCATCGCTGGTCGGTTCCGAGTCGAAACGGGAATCGAATCGACCAGACCAGAGGGGGGATCTGAATCGTTGCCATTGAGGTGGAACGAGTGTGTAAGTGCCCAATCGACACATATTTGCCCGGAAGCCGCGCAGAGGGTTTGTCTGTTAGTGAGAGTCGGTCGGTACGCACGGCGACCAGCTGAAGCCCACCCAACCAAGTCGACCGGCCAACCAAACGACCCAATGACGGTCTCGGCAGTTTCTAGTAGACCGTGGGCGGTCGGGACGCCCGCACTGTTGGCTTCTTGCTTGGCCGACGCCTGTTTGCGAAGTGCTTGCGGGCTGCTCGCGAGCACATACCACGCGAGGCCAACTGCAGGGCAAACGGGCAGAAAGAATCAGAACCAGCAGCAGCAGAGAACACACCGGCGCACAAAAGGACCAACAAAGCTGTGTACCCTTCGGCGGCGTCTGAATTTAATTGTCGCATACCGAATGTGCCCGAACAAGTTTACGAGTCAATAAAAGAACTTCGCTACAGATGGGAACAAGCTCTACGGGGAGGAATGTCGACAATGACAAATCACGACTGTTTGTCCAAGTTAGTGCAGGGCTTGTCGTATGACTTTGAGGTCATGTCAAGAGAGTTCGATGGTGGGATGTGACATTTCTCATAGGCGGGCCGAACTGAATCATGGAGACAACTTCTTGTTTTCCGCTTCCAGCAACCATAAATCGCAGAGAAGACCAACTCAACGCTCGAGGGCTTCATTTCTACGACATCTACTTGATCCTCCGGGTTCTAGGTGATGTATGTACAAACGTTCCGGGGACTCCCTTCCTCCAAAAAGGAAGGCGAGTCGGAAAAGGAATGGAGGGCGGCGAGTCGAGACATTCCACCGCATTCCCTTGTTTGTATGATTTGAGCCACGACATTTTGACTACAAGGACTTTTCCAAGATCCGTATCCCCGGGACGTCTTCCCACCCTACCGCCGAAAAGGGACCTTCTTCTACAGAAGAACAACGGGGAGTAGGTCTAGAGACCCGAGTTCCAGGCTCGCCCAGAAGGGCGCTCCTACATCCACTTATTCGAGAACTCCGTCCGACGGTGACTTTTGCCGCCTGGAGATAAGAAAGAAGCCCACTTCAGATCCTAATGATCCCGGAATCCGTGTGGAAATATTACGCTCATCGACTCCTTCAGGGGCATTGAGAGACTTTGAACGACTCAGCAACAGGAGTCGGAGCTGCTTCAAACTCCCACCGGACCGCCCTATCGAGCTCCAATCGTTTCAGTAACGCGCGAGGAATTCGGAAGCTGTTCGCTCTCAACAGGAAAGCGGTGCATAGGCGAAATGTGCCGGTTCTTCCTGGTTCTCATTCTCTGGTTGCGGTTAGGCTACAGGGCATTCGACAGAATGGTGGAAGACGGTTGGTCCTGCAGCCGCGTCCAGGCCCAAACTGAGAGTAAGCTATTGCAGTGGACGGGCCGGTCGGCTGGCCGCTGCCCACAGACTAAATATAGCGGCGAGCTGCGGATACGAACGGCAAGCTAAACACACTTCCGTGTGTATCCGCCTCGGCGCTCAATGAAACACACTACGACGACAACGAGGGATATCCACCGGGGGCTCAAATCCGATCGCACGAGCCGTCTCACAGTAACCACTAAACACCAGAATGAATCCAAGCGCGGAAGTTTCACTTTACACGATCTTCGACGACACTGACCTTGAAGCCATGTCGGCGTTTGGGGCTTAGCCCTGTGAGGAAACGACTCTCAGTTGGGAAGCACTTTGAGGCACTTGTTTCGGACGGAACGGTTGACAAAATAGCAAAGTTCGCTATCAACACAGGGTTGGGTGCCTAAAACCCGGGCAGGAGTTTTACGGCTACCCAATTGGCAGCTATGTTGATACGAGACTGACTTGGAAAAGCCTAAACGCTGAGATTCGGCTCGTCGAAGAGAGGAGGAGGTCAGAGGAGAACGTAGACAAGCCCTCAGTCTCGTCCGGGCCCCGGTTTGGACCCGGTTCCCGATGGCTTGCAGAGGGCGTGCGGGCGGAAACCAGACCGGACTGGGGAACTACACAACGTCGATCAAGCGTAAGGACACCCGCTGGTCGGGCGAAATTCATTCGGGCGCCCCATCAACCATCAATAATCGAATTGATTATTCCTGAAGATTTTGATGGATCTCGGGATCTCAGGACCGTAGGATATCGATGGAACAACCACAGCATGTCGCTGCTAAGAAAACATGATCATGTTACCCATGCCGGTGCAACATTGTGATCATGAATAGAGGTCGCGCGGTTTTCGTTCAGTTGTATCGAAACATTAATATGATCGTCAGAGAACAGAGCCAGCTCACATCCGAGCGGGTCACTAGATAAAAGAGGTGACTCACGTTTGAGGAGTGTGTTGTCTGAGGCGAATGCCACTGACAAAGCATCTGAATCTATTTGTGAATGTACTGATTGTGCATACGGAGGGAGAGCAAGTCGTCTTCTTCATATCCGAACGATAACGAAAGTATTTGGTCCATGACAAAAACTTCAGTGGAGGCCTCGAACTCTGAGACCCCGGAAGGCATGTATATTTGGTCCCTAACATTCCGACAGTCTCTAGGAGTAAAAATCATGGGGCACGAACGATTCGGCTTCGGTTCAGGTGCATTTCGGAGTCACTCCTCAAAACTCGAATCGCCCAATCAGGGAGCGATCCGGTGCGGAATTCGTTTCCCGATAAGTCCCACGATCGTTGTTGTGGAGAGGTCCTCTGAGCCTCTTCGAAAGGCCCTTCGACCGTGACCGCGGCAAGCTCTCATATTTGTTCGATCGGGCGCTTCAATATCCAAAATGCTCTCTTCGATTAAGAGAAGCCGATTCGATCGCGCGAGGCTTAGAGTCTGCTCGACTTACTCTACAGAACCACTATTGTCTTAAGGAACGTGCTTGGCGTGTTAATGATGTTCGGAAGGTGAGCGTACTCGAGCAAGCCGAAGTAAGCCCTTCAGACTCTTAGAGAATTCATGATCAGGTAGAACGAGGGCAATCATGGGGAACGAGAACCCGACGGGACACTCAAAGAGGCAAGAGATCTCTCCATCGTTCTGAATCCTGGTGAGAGCCAGAGGATGACCGTTAACGGTGTCAATCGAGCGTGGTGTTCCCGGCGGAACGAAGCAGGGAAGGCTCGAGTAGTTCTTGAATCGAAACAAAGCTTCTCATCAGATCTTATTCGAATCGCCTCGCATCGCTCTGAATTCCGCTCTGACCGGTCATCACCCGCTCGGCTGGTGGGTTTCGGTCGCACAGCGAAGATCAAGGAGTTTCGAGGAGATTTTGGGAGGAGTGCTTTGGAAGACTCGGCTTGGGAGAGAGAAAGATGTGTGGAGCAACGTCCGGCCGGGAGAATTGGGCTCCGAGAAGTAACTCAAAAGCGAGAAACCGAAACCTCGTTGACACTGACATAAAAAGCGCACTCTTCGATTCCACAGCCAGGCCCGAGGTCTGAGGCGGTCGAGAAGCGGCCTCCACGACTTCTCGCGGCAGAGTAGCCATTTCTATTTCTCTGTTTTGTTCCCTCGAACGCCCACACCGTACCTTCGTCAGCTCGTTCTGATGTCGGAATTAAGACTGGTTTCACCAAGTTTCTATCGTCAGCCGACCGGTGGCGACCTTCGTGAGGGCCCGGCATTCAGAGAGCGGGAACGCCCGACGACGGACACGCCTTCGATTGGCGGATAATTAATGGGAGGATCTGAATGCGCATTCGAGAACTTTGGTTGAAGTCCACGGGCCGGGAACACCTCCCCTCGAACTCAGATCTCTATTCATATTCCGGCTGTAGACGGCTTGAGGGTCCGAAGACCGCGCAAGTGTTTTTTTCACGAGGCCAAAATTATGAGTGGCCACCCTAAACGCCGGTCGCGTCTGAACTCGGTTCGGGAACGTTTCCATCATGACATTCTCCGATGCGAATTCTTTTGACGAGCGTTGCAAGTTTCGACATGCATACACGGCGTCACAGAATCCGGAAGCGTTTCGCTTTTCTCTTCTTCTGAGCGGGCCAACAAGCAAACCAAACGTAAATTTCTCACAGGTCGTAAAGTGGTGGAGACACGAGGCTTCCATTTCGAAAAGTGACAAGGGGAACTCTCCCTGAGTGCGCCCTACGCACCACAACAACAACAACAACAGCAACAAGAAATGGTTCTCGTAGTCGACAGCTCGACAGAGCTCGCGCAGGAATTTCATTCCCATTTCTCTCGAAGGTTCGAAGAGAACGTTTCTCTAGATGATCTTACTCACCTCTCGAACGGCTTATCGGCGGCTGAAAGGGAATACGAAGATTTTAATTGATGAATTTTCCGGTAGATAATTTCCGGCACACCGGCATTTCCGATTCGGCAGAGCATCTCCACTCTTTATCGCGTGCCCCAGTGTCGGATATTTCGCATGCCGTATGCTCTGAACTAGGAGCCTTGAGACGTGTCCCGAATCATAGAGGGAGCCCGGAAGATGGCTCTGGTATCATTGGGATGTTCTGCTCGCCTCCAACGCGAAGCTCCCAGCATTTCACATCCTTGGTCGAAGAAGTCATCTTTCTAATAATTCTCTGAATCAGCGCTCCGATACCGCTGTTCGACGATGTCTGTGTAGTGTATATAAAGGTAAACTCGCGCGTTAGCGAGCTTCCCTGAATGTTTGTGTTTGCCCTTGTCGTCGTCATCGTCTCGGGACTGACCTAATATGAAGTCATCCGCCCGAGCTGTTTGTGGCAAGACCCAAGACTGTCGTAGGGGTTTCCTTTTCGTCCACCTGCGCTGCATAGCGATCGGGGCATTCTGATTTCCGAATTCAGCTACCCCGGAACTCCCCAATCAAACGTACCGAGGTGACCCCAGTAAAGGACCGTTTAATGAAACCAGCGAACGAACACAGTGTCCCCGTAGGTCCTTGCGTTAGACAACTCGAGCTCTACGGCGAAGCTCAATGAAACAACTCGGAAACCTAATCGTTGGTAGCGCTTACCTAGACGAGGAACAAAGCCGTTAGGGCAGAGGAAATCGAGAAAGCCTGAGCTCAGATCATGGTTACCGCGGGCGGACGGCATTCGTGAGCAAGGCCAAAAATAATACGCTAGAGCTCGAATCTCGCGAGCATTAGATCCTGAATGTCCAGGGCGAAGTAACCAATCTAATTACCCGAGAACCCACGACATCGTGCCGGTACTCTCGAGATTCCGCCTATCATGGCGAACGATTGGAGTAATCAAAATGACCGATGTTGATTCGTTTCCCGCAACGTTGGCCGCCCTCGACCATCGTTGTATACAGTTTGCGTTTGACGACTGAGTGTGGCGCTCGTTCGACATGGGAAAAGTTATTTAAAGACGCATCAAAGATCAAGGACTGTTTACTCGACTTCACAGCCATAATGAGCGTGAAAGTAGTGTCAACGCGGTGATGAAGCGACCTCATCTGATACAACGGGGCTCTCGAGATCCGCCCCTCCCGATCTCACTTCCTCGGAGGCGTCTCGACGAAATCGCGTGTCCCGCAGCATCGCCCCGCGGCTCGGAGTGGGTACGGCTAGATTGGGATTTACTCCCGGCCAGAAGATTATCTCAGGGACGCGCTCCAAGCGCAGGCTCGGAACCTCCGAGCGAGCGTGAAGCTCCTCCTCGCAGTCTCGGAAGAGCACAGTATTCAGGTGTTTAGCTCGAAGCGCACGTCTGTAAAACCGCACCGGGAATAAGGAATTTCCTCACTGAAGATGCCGAGATGGTTCTGAAACGATGTGCTCTCTGAATATGTACGGTCGGTGCTTGTGGCACGAGAATCGTAAGTCATGTCATTCGCTCTCGGGACGCGAATCTGATGTAGGAGATGCGAGCGAGCACAAACGAACAAGTCTGCCATATGGTGATTTAGGTCTACGCGTGAGAGATATGGGCGAGGTCGATGCTTCGATCCCTGAAGTCAAGATGCTGTCGATTCGAGACTCGGTGAGTGGGAGAATTCCCTCATACCGCAAAAGTTATTGAGAGCGCGGATCTTCACACTTTAGGCTCGAAGAGTGTGAGGCCGGAAATCTTCATTCTTCAGGTACGGTCGACCCGTGCAGAGGATCGCCCGGTGCCGAGCAACATCCTCGATCACAAGTGCTCGTTAGCTCGAATAAGGGGCCAACGGATCACCCCCGTATCGCACAGCGTTGAGCTGGCGTCGGCGTAGTGAGATTGGAGGTCGGAGATGCGGTTATTGTCTGATTCATTGGCCCAAAGGTTAGGCCGACTTCGCGCTTCAGCTGAGAGGGGGTGAAAGTAAACGTGTCTGCTCCATCCATTGTACGCCTGATTTTGATACGAATAACCGCACCGTGCCCACTGATCACTTTGCGCTGCGCTTGATGGGCTAATTATTATTTATTGAGAGTTGCTGGTTTCCGCGCCTTTGAGAAGCCCGTGAATCTCCGGCTAATCCGTCCCAATCACAGGCGACTCCTTCCCCGAACTTGTGTAGCCTCCCAGTTGATCTCCCGCGCTGTGTTTCGCTCTCTACGTTCCCTCAACTCGCTTCTGGTCTTGTTTCGCTCTCCCGAGTTTCATCGAAATGCCTTCTCTTTGAGCAATTGATGGAATCGCTGAAGCTCCGACAACCCTCGCGGGTCTCTCCAGGAAATCCTGGAGAAACGACCAGCGACCAGCGCCACCGAGTGACTCGAAGAGAAGATTTCATTCTTTCCATCGGATAGAGCGACTAGCGGTGCATGCTCCTCTCCCGACTGAGAGAGAGAGTAGTTCTTTCTTGAGACGAGGGTTGGGTATATGGACAAAGGCTATCTCCACATCGGCTGTGAGGGCCCAGCTTGAAGCGGCAGGAGTATCGAGGTAGCTAGTGCTACTGAGCATTCCAGCTTCTCGGTAAGCTGGGAGAACTGGAAGGAGTCGACCTTAGCTCCTATGTTAGCCGGTGGAGATCAATGCCACGGGAGAAGCCCTCGGGAGTACTTCGCTTAGTTTGCTACCTCGGACTCGGCATCGTGGCTCCCAGACATTGCGACAACCCGCGGAGCCAAGATTCGCGGCGATTGGAGAGTCCGTGATAATGGAGGCGGGGAAACGGGGCAAGAAGACGAGGATCGAAGGGAACGAGAGCTCAGTTCGGTGAGAGCGAGACAAATCAGACTCTGAGACAAAGAGGACCGGAAAACTTTCTACCGTCGACATGGTGAGGAGCGGGTCGCGCAGACTCGTCGCTCTTACTCAGTGACAGACCGGGGCCAGGCATCCCATCCGCTCGGCGTGACTCTGCCTCGAAGGAGGCCTTAACGAGCCTTGATACGCTGGAGAGCAGTCGAGCCGCGATATCCGAAATTTCGAACACAAAAACCCACACTTACGCAAGAAGTTCAGGTTGATGGAAGAGCTGACATCGCCTAGATGGTTCTTGGCCATCACAGTATATAGGCCCTTGTCGGGTTCATATACATCATCGATAGACAGAGCAATGTAATATTTCCCAGGGGCTTTCTCTAAAATTTTATATTCTGTTCTCTGAGTGTCGAGGACCTCATGCTCATTCCGAAACCATTGGACCTGCGGACAAGGGAAAGCGATTAGAATTACACGTAGGTAATCTCCGGCAATTTATCAATACGGTTCCGACAGAATAAGCTTTCGGTCTGGTTGCAAATTTATGGATTCGTTCGAGTTTCTTCAGTCCGATTCGAAGAACTCACAGTTGGCCTCGGATTAGCAATGAGCTCGCACTCGAACACGAGACGATTTCCATCATCCTCCTGCCGCAGGATTGGCTTGTGGAGAAAAGTCGGTGCTACCGGTTCCTTCGACATGTTGTGCAGATAGAGTGATCAGACTAGGCACACTCGTAACATTCGAAAGCACTCCAGCATCGAATCCGTCTGTGAGTATTTATGCCTGAAAAAAAAATCATAATTCTTTAAAGAAGAACCTGGCGAGTTCATAGAAAGGTTCTCAAAATTCCGAGCTCTCGGAATTCTATTTTCTCCATACAATTCAGTCAGCCGTTCCTGGTCAGGGTGCACGGGACCCATGAGACTTCGAATGAACGCGCCTGTGCAGTGATCACTCTGATTAGGTGAACCAAACCCCTAGAGCCATTTGTTGAGAACAATCAATTCATCGAACGACTCCGAAATTCTTCGAGGAAATTGGCGAGTATTATAAGCGATGGTCTCTTCGGTATTCTGCACCCTTGTGGATTTCGGGGTCGACTGGAAATAGATGATAGAGCCCGCGGCCAGGAAAATTGCGGAATTACGCTCGATGGAACACATTGCGACGTTCCGCCGGATCGTATCATTCTCTTCTCCCAGTTTGTCCGCTGTCTGAGAACAGGTGAGCTCTCTGCTGCCGATGAAAACCTGTCTATGGAAGAACGTGTTTCGAAGACATGGGCCGAACTCGAATCGTGAGAGATCATCGGATGCACCAGGCACGAATTCCTCGAGGAGACGGCTCTGTGGAAATCCGGGTCAACTCTCTCGCTTCACCGTTGTTTCGGGGAAGCCTCCATCGCCGAAAAGGGTGGCACCTCCGTCACGCTCGTCTTTCTCCTTCTGGATTCTCCTAGTAGACTGATCCCCTCTTTCTCTCACGTCATACCCGAACATTGATGATCGATAGGGCTGTAAGAAAAACGCGGAAGTCGCGGAAATCGCCGAAACCGCGATTTCCGTCGGTATTCAACGAACTCCGCAATTTTCGTCATTCTCAGATTTTATCATTGATTCGTCTTTTCTCGGGGAAGAACGGAAAACGTATTTCGATCGATGAATTGAGTTACGGCAATCGAATGAGCTCCGTAACCCCACGGGGCCCGCTGAGCTCTCAGTTAACGCTCGAATTCGGTAATACAGCTGGATAAGGGTCCGCTACGGGGGAGGAGCTCGCAAAGCTCGGTTGATCTGAAGGGCCGCTCTTCCAAGGAATTTTGAGTGAAAATCGACATTTTCCACGATTCCGAGCAGTTTATGTGGTTTTTCGCGATTTCCTGGGAATTCACCGCGATTGTGCCGCGATTTCGGCGATTTTTTTCCGCGACAAATTTACAGCCCTAATGATCGATGCCAGGATTCTGCATGCAGGAACTCCCGAATGGAGGAGCGGAGGCTCTCCCGGAGATCGGACGCATCATCGAGTGCTTGAGTGATACACCGGTCAAGTATGCTACCCAGGAGAGGAATCGAAGCTGCTCGAAAGGAAAGCCCGAGAACCCACTTGAGGTGCGAACTAATACCTGTGACGCAACTAATGGCTGCGGAAGCAATGCGATTCGCGGACAAGAAACAAGGGCAACTCGCTTTTGTGAACAGCTCGAGGTCGAGAACCCGCTCTTCTCACAACGAGTCGGTCTGTCGGTGAGCGACGACCACGCGTACCTACAACATTACTTTCTTACCGCACTATGATGTAAGGATTCTCACTTATTCGAGAATGCGGAAAAACGCCTCAAGGTCGCGCGCCTTCTAACGAGACCCGCCGAAGGCTTCAGATTCGACCGTGAGTCGAATAGCAATCGCGTCGGGTTCCTCGGCGGATCTGAACTTCCAAGCGCGACTCTCTTGGATTTCAAACCGGCGCCTGGTGGCCAAACACTTCAAATGATCGAGAATCGCGACCCTGCTACCGAAAATTGACACTGTCCTGTCCACAACGGAGTATCTCAGATTCTCCTCGGAGTTTTGAGTTGAAACATAGTTTCGGAGAGCGACCGACGAAACCTCGGCTTAACACTCTCCAAGCTACTCATCGAGCTCTCGTTCTTATCGTCAGACAGCATCGATTGCTGTATGAGATTTTCTGCAGCATTTTTTTACCCGACTGGAATGCCGATCCAATTCTTACATCATGTTCCGTGTACTCACGTTCAAGGATTGCTCTCCTCGCTGAACACACAGATCAGACGACGGTCACGATGTCTCTGTATTTATATCCAGGCTAGAGAAACAGATGTACATGAGCTGATGATGAATTATTTCGAAGATCGATGAATGTGAAAAGAGCAGGTGAACTTAACAAGCACACATAGGTAGTAGTCAGGTTCCAAAGAAAGGGGCAGCTTTCCACGGAACGGACTCGACACACTGTGAACCACCACTATGCGGTCGGGACCTGCGGCTGCGAGCAGACGAGCTATAGGGAGAAGGGGAGCCGCTTTCAGAGACCAATATAGAGACCGCCACTACTCACTAGAACTACAGGGAAGATATTCTGGAGCTCTCGGCTCTAACCCTAACTAGCGTTAATCGACTTCCTCTGCTTTCCGCAGGTTCGCTCATGGATCTTCGTCGGGCAGAGCGACGAACCTGACGTTCACTCTCAGACAGGGTTCTAAATCCTCGGATATGTTGCGGAAGCATCGAGGAGACCCTTCTGAAATGTTTGCGTTGACAAACGAAGGGTGTCAGACCTGAAATCTATTCGAACGACGCGTGCGGCTCATCTTCGGCCCCACCGGTGGGTCGTCGCAACAAAGCGGACACGCGGAGGTTCAGAAAACGTTCATCTGTCAAAGACTAAAAGCGGTGCATAAGGAAATAAATCTTCCGCACGTATACATATCGCTTAGTGGGTCTGCTGGCTTGGCTCAATTCTCGACTGGTCAGGTATTGTGTTCCGTCGTCGCCGGGGAGGAGATTTGTAGATTCAAGAATGCGATGCCAGTCTCCGTTCGGGAAGCTTGTTTTCCATTTGTGGCAATGCGGGAGCGACTAACAGCTTCGAGAAAAGCTTTCTAACGTGGGGCCGCGGCTGGCCTGCAGCACCAGCAGCACCGCTGGCACCGGGACCAAAAAGGTTGAGCTAAGCACGTTTCCCCTTTCGAGAGGGTCCGTCCGTTGCCCTCCGGAGTGAGTTCTCGATTGTAATTTATGCTTTCGTTTCCACTAAACATGTCTCTCGAACACTTGTTGTCCCTGACGCGACAGTTTCATGATGTCTAGTGAATGCGGTGCGTAAACGTCTGGCTGCACTCAGGGGCCTATATCAAGTCCTTATGATGTGGATCTCTTCGGTAGGGTGGAAAAAAAAGACGAATTGAAACAGGACTGAACATATCGCTCTTTCAGACGCTGGGACAGCAGTTGGAAACTCCCAAGCTCGGGTCCGTATCGAAAGAATGGTAGAGTTCTCGGCCTTTTTCCGAGACAGGCACTTCGGCATGCAATCGGGGAGTGTCGAAAACAGAAGTCCGCAGAGAGAGGCTGTAGGGCTAAAAGTATCAACCTGGAGCATGAGACAGTAAGCTGACATGCCAGTTATCCTCGCGAGTCTCACACAGCATGAAGCGTGCGGGCAAGGAGTTCCGACCATGGATTGGTCATACGTCCACCTATGATTCTGTATCTCAACGGTCTTTATTCGGATGGGGACAGAATATAATTCTAAGAGTCCAATTGGAACAGCTAAGCTCCGCGATATGGCGGGATCATCACGCGGCGAGGCAGAGCGCTCTGTTCGGAAGCGATCGCTTTTCCGTGTTGTCGTGAATTTCGCAACACTCAAATTGACGGTGACAGTTCGCGACAATGTACTCAGCCCGGGGTTCAGTTTTATGCGGAAATTTTCTGTCGCTTCGCCGGGTTCTTGCTAAGTTCCACGTAGCTTGCCCTCTGCTCCGCCGTGAGTTTCCTGAACCTGTCCGCGGCCATTTTCAGCCACGTGCCGGCATCGCCATCGGGGCTCTCCTCTTTGAGCTCCTCAGAGATCTCGTCCATGAAGATCTGGATCGGACTTCGCTTCTCCTTGGCATCTGGAGCTGGAATGATGTCATTTACCCGTCAAAAATGCCTCGACGCGATAAAATCACGCGATGACTTGATATTGACTTGCATCATGCCACGGAAGCTAACGAGAAGACCCGACTTTTCTCAATCCACCTCTCCCCGTCGTTCAAACTCGATTGAATTTCCGTTGACACGATGGGCATGAGAAATTCCAGAATATTCACCTTTCCCTTTGCTGATTGGGAGTTTGGCTTGCTTCGGTGCCAACTTCGGAGCTGCTTCTTGGACGGGAATTGGTCTCGACGCTTTTTTCGACAAGATTTCATCCAATTGGCCTCCTCGTGGTTTCGTTGGAGCTGAATGAGTTGGTGAGATGAGGAGACTTAGGAGAAAAATCCATCTCTCGCGGCGCGAAAATCGGTAGTCGTACGGGAGAGCTGTTCGAAATTCGGAATCCTTTGGAAAATTCGAAATTTGATAGTTGAAAAAACTTACCCGCAGCTGCTTTCCTGAAAGGATTGAAGTCACCCATCGGGTTCTTGTCTCCCGCGACTGTAGTGGGCAACGAGCCCAGAACCACTCTTTTGGGAGCTAGAATCGGAGCCGAAGGCATCAGATCCTGTGACTTCAGAGGTTGCGGATCGAGATCCTCTTGAGACTGCGTGTCTGTTTCCGTGAGCAATTCTTCCGTTTCGGGCTCTTCATCGAGATCGCCGTTTTCGATATACTCCCGTATGATCCGGAGTATTCCGTCTAATCTCCCATGTTTATTCGAAGCCTCGGCGTATTCTGAGAGTAATTCGAGCGTCCCCCTGGAAATGACTGCACCCTGAGTCTCGGCTCTACGAATCGCTCCCGTCGCAATCGATTCCGTCCCACGGTGACCTTCGACCGGAGTTCCGAACCCACCTATTGCAAGCTTCCATACGAATGATGTCGGAAGCTCGAGACAATCGGTCCGTTTTCACTGCGAGAGCGAACATTTGTAACGAGAGCTTCGCCATTCCGCTCTGCAAATCCTCGTCATGGGCATTCCGTAATCGAAGATACTTCGACTCGAGCTGGCTCTTGTCGCTCGCCGCGTTCAGCAGAGGAATCTGTAACTTCTCTTTGACCATGATCGGAAGGGGTTTCACCCTTGGACTCCATTTCTTACAGGCGATGTAGAGCAGACGATTGTATCGTTCACCGACCGACACGACAAAGCAGCCGCTGCTACAACCGAGACTCTGCTTGCTGTCGAACACAGGGCACCAGGAAGCCATCCGCTCGTTGAAAATGAACAAGACCCCTTTCGAGTTCATGTAGGCTGGTCGATACTCCTCTGTGAAGCCTGCCCATACAATCCTGACTTTCCTGGGCATACCGACGCTGATCTTCCCCGGTCGGGTCACGACTCCGCCGCCGGTAACCCTGTGCCGAGTGCAGACAATATTCTGGCGATCGTCGAGACCGGTGCCCTGATGACAGAAAATCAGGAGATTTTCCCGAGGCTGGACTTCTTCGTAACGGAGACTTAGTTTCGAAGCTCCCGCCATGCAGATCAAGGGCCCCGGGAGAGTGAATACTTCTCTCTGGATTCCTCCCGGCGAGAAGAGTCGCAGATACTGGTTGCTCGTCGCCATCGCGATGAAGTTCATCCCAATCGTGACTCCACATATCGAGTCGTGTTTCACCTCAACTTCCCAGCTGGGCGTCTCCCCGGCCTGAGGGTCCAACAAGTACACCATCATCTCATGGTCCGAGGCAAGAACCAAGGCGTGGCCGTCAAGCGCAGCCATCGTGTACCCTTTGTTCTGCAGGACCAGGGGGTGACGGTCGGAAGCATTGTGGAAATCCACATCGATCGACGACTCTTCGGCACTGATTGAGCATACGACGAATCCGACGTGGTTGTATGCTAAAAACCTACGGAATGATCGATTCCAGTCAGAGCCGCGGATAGCTCCCATTGATGGTATCAGGGCGCCAAGCAAGGACAACGGAGTCTCTCACCTTCTCTCTTGGATCGCGTCTTCTTCGTCCTCCTGTTCATCTTCGCCGGCTCCTTCTGCCTGTTCAAGAACTTCGCCCACCTGCGATGAAATTAAACGAATCAGCGAACCCTGGGCTCATCCGATACGGAGCCGAACCTTCACGGGTACCATAGACGCTTCAACCGCATCCGATGACATTTGAACAAACCTGGAACGGTTTCTGGTGGAAAGCCTTGACGTGAATCGTTCGCACAGTCTCACGTACGACCATTCTTTCGCGCTGTCCGCCTGCATCTTCCCCACCTTCGCCCAATATTGTCGGCATGTAGGTCGACCTGATGGCACCGAGATCTGGGGATACAGTTTCCATCATCGCAGATTCAATCGAAACTGCCGAAGCCGAAATTCTTCGCTCTTTCTCTCCTCAGTATCCCGCTAGTGTCGCGTCGCGGGAAACCCAGCTCCGGATATCCCGAAACCGCGATCGTTTCTTACCGATACCGTCGTCCTCGTCATCGGAAGTGGGACTTTTTCTTTTATTGTCGAAGCCAGTGCCTGCGAGAATCTCTTCGTCGGGGTTGAAAGCCTCGTCTGTTTCCATTTCATCGGCAGCTACTTCGGCCGATTTCTTCTGTGAGGGAATTCGTGTGGCACATTGGAGTTCGCCCTTGTCGGTGAGAAGCACCACAGCGTCGTCGGACGAAGGATGGAAGATGATGCTGGTGATTGTGTCTTCCATTTTGTGCAGCCACGTCTGCTCGAAATCCGGGAGACTATACGTAGCCAGCAGCCCTTGATTCGTAGAAAGAGCGAGTCGCGTAGAGCCGTCTGTCGAAGCGAATAACTTGAATTTCGGGGTTCGAATTTCGTTAGACTATGCACCGCATCAGGGCTCCCTTGCCAAAGACTCACCAGTGGACATAGTAAAAACGAATTCTTCGTCGTCAATTATTTCATCAATCTCGAATTCTTTCTCCAAAGAGAAAGAACCCGCCTTGAAAAGCTTCAGCGATCTCTCAGCGGCGACGAGCAAATTCGAGTTCGATAGGAACGCCAGACGGTGAAACCTGGTGATTTCCTGCACAGCCTCGACCTTATCGATCGATGTGAAAAGATCGTCGAGCTTCTTAATGCATTTCCCATCATCCGTCGACCACACGCGGACAGATCCGTCACAGCTCGCCGTCGCCTTCAAGTCGAGAGGAATTTTAGTTCACTCAGCGTTCGGTTGTCGGAATCCGACCGCTCGGATACACAGGAACGTCCTCCGTCTAGGCGATTACGGAACTCTATTCGGATGGGGAGCCTATCCTTACCACGATCGATGCCGCCGAATCTATGGCCAAGCTGAGGACTGCGGCCTTATGACCTTCAAGTCGGACGTCGTCCTCCTCCTGATCGTTTTTGCAGATTATGGCTTTTCCATTCACCAGCGCCACCACGAATATTTCGCCGTCACAGGCTACATGAAGGATTTCCGAATCGAAATTTCTAATCGTTTTCGCCTCGAGCTCAGCCTCGGAGCGCAGAGCCCCCTCGGAGTTAAAGGCAGAGATTTCCTGGATCCTGAAGCCGTCGGTGGCACAGAGGAGATTGTCGCCCTGGAAACCATAGCTGTTAAGAGACTTTTCCGCAGAGACCGCTATGCGTGCGCGATCGCACTCTATCAGAATTGCCACAAACTTGGGGGGAGTATTTATTTGAATCGATTAACATTTGAGGTCGAGAGGATGGAACGGGTTGGGGAGTGAATTCTGAGTTCACCTTGACAGCCACTGAGTTGCACTGCGATCCCAGGGTAACATTGATTGGACTCTCCTCTGAAAGGCTCTCGGAATCCCAAATGCGGAGCTCTCCATCGGCACCGCAAGTGACAATATATCTGGAATCACAAGAGAACTCATCGTTAGCAGGAACGATTCGTGGGAAGTACCGCTGCTCAATACTGCCGATAAGACGTCCAAATCACATAGGGCCCCCTCCAATAGGCGAAAGTTTTAATCGAGTCTCACTTGTCTTTGAAGCGGATACCCTCTGTGTAGCCGTCGCAGTGGGCGTAGCGCGCTTCACCCAACGACATCCTTCGCCCTCGACCGCCTGATGCGGAGCTTCTTCTTCGCGAGCACCGAACGAATAAATTCGATGAGCTCGATAATTCCCTGACACAGAAAACTGATGGGCGACAACTCCGACTCCTCACTCACTCAGCTGCTTTGCCGCCAAAACGTTCCGACATTTAGGCTCTCCGCCATTTAAGGGCGACTCCTTGTGAGCGGACCGCGCGCGCTACTGTGCATGGTCACCGGTCCAAATTAGCGGCAGTCACTGCCTGCGACAGTGTAATGGACATCAGGCATGAGAGCCGTCCGAACGACGAACAAAAGGTCGAGAGCCTTTCGAGCAGCTTGTCCCGGAATCGCTCCGCCAGGATCAAGCTCGGAGGATTCTCCTGGTGTTTTTTTCGACTTCACCATCCGTAATCCGAATCCTCGAGCTTCTACACCTAGACTCTTTCAGAATTAACAAATTGAGGGTAGAGAGTACCGACCCCGAAATCCAAATCCTTGTGTATGTTGAAAACTTTGCGGATTGGCGAAACACGATCGGCAGGCCGATTAAGGAGCTCATCGAGAAGGAAAATTCCGACGCTCGCTTTCCCGCCACATCTCTGACACATTGAGGAAGAAATCTAAAGCGCTGCCGAGGATCGGAAGTTTTGACAAAGTCGATACCGTGAGGATTCGGAAAAAAAACAAGAGAATGGACCGCGTAGATCGTAGATCATCGAGCGCCGCCGTCCGAGGCCATTCTCGAAGGGGGAAAATAATGAGACTTCATGGGGATCATGACCCAAACGCGTCGGATGAGCCGTCGCGACGGGTGGGCGTTTGGCGTACGAGCCGAGGCTCAATCGGGTCAACGTGAAATCATGGGCTCCTCGGAGATATATCTGCTGGATACCGGGTAGCTCTAAAATCTGTGGCCGATATCCTTCCCACTGTCCGAGTCTCATCGGCGTAGTCTCGCAAAAAACCTTCAACGACTCTCACGGGAAAGCTCCGCGAAGTTGCGCACCCATTCAAGATATATCTCAGGGGCGCCGCTCTGAAGCGCAAGAAAAGTTTTTCAGTCTCGAGACGTGTTTCCTGAGTTCTTGGGAATTCCTGCACTTTCATTCATTCATTTATTGACCAGAAATCCAAGGAATCGCTGGAACTCAGAGAACGTATCGGGGAATGACCATTCTGAGCATTTGAGCGTATTCCCGGTCGAATAGTTGGCCTATTTTCTCGGACAGTTTCTCGTTGATCTGCGAGATAAAAGACAGTTTCCTGGAAAATGTGCCAAGTTTCAGATACGGAGTCTCAGATCGATCCGCGTCGTAATGGGGAAGCCTGTTTCAAAGGTATCACCTTTCAGGATTCAGGTCAACGCTGCCCTGTACTATGTTGGTTTCGAGAGGACCAGTCGATGTCACGGTCAATCGCTTGAATTTCGAGCTGTCCTCCGTCCTCGCGATCATGACTTCAGCACTGACGTTCGTAAGATGGGTTGTCGTCGCTATGAGGTGCGATCTACCGATGATATCATCTCCCTGCAAGGAGGACGGAGCTTCATCCAAGACCTGTGGAACTGAGATGAGACCAGTATCCAAAGTCCAACGGCACAAATGGGAAAGAAATTAGCCCCCTCTGAGAAACTGATGAATATGAAAACTCCGCGACTTTTTGATGTTTTGACGATGCTCGGTAGCCTGGCACTCACTTTCACGACGGCATCGAACGCGAAACGAGCGTGCGGCATCACGATTTTGCACTTGATAGTGTAAAACCAAGTATCGATTGCGTCTACGAGATCGTCCGCGCAATCACCATCTCGGACCGCGGTGGAGAGCCCGATGAGCTCTCCGCTGCTGAAACTCGCTTCGAATTCTCGAGTGAAGAAACCTGCCGTGAAAAACGCGCGTGAACTGGCGTCCTTCCCCTCACGACTGCAATTTATCTCTGGCTTCGATGAGGGACGCATCTTCCAAGGATACATCATTCAGACGAGCGCCTAAGGTCACATCATCGACAAAAATCGCATCGATTTCTTTATGAACATAGGCTCTGAAAATTACCAGTTTTCTCGACTTTGAGTTCGAAACCGTCAACATCGAGACTGTCGAGTCCATCCCTGCGTATCTTGAAGGAAAGAAATCGGCTCCTGGGAGCTCACTACCAAGGTATGAGTATCAGCCTTCTGATTGATCGTCCCAGTACAGCTTACCTGTCGACCTAGATCCAACAAAACTCTGTCGAAGAACTCATTCGGATCCGCTGAAGTCGTCTCAAGCAGCGCGAGAATGCAGACAGCTGCGCGGATCATTGCCACACGCAACGGACGTCACGTGAATAGTTCAGAGGCGGCTACTTGGAGACAGCAGAGAGCGGAATCATTGAAGGCGTCAACTTTTCTGAGTATCACGCACGCTTGACGACGAGTTGAAGCGTCAGCTTACCTTGAGCTCTGTGGACGACGCCAAGAAAGTCTCAAAGCTCTAATGCTCCCGTCTAGTTTAGCGTAATCGGTCCGATTTCCTTCCATCGCCAGTAATCCCAGAGCGCATTTTGAAACCGTGACTCATATTCTTAGAGAAATCCAGCGATTTGAGCCCGCGCACGTCATCCGCCGGAGCTTTCGCAGTCGGAGCAAATATTTGCCAAGAGAAATTCTCATTCCGGTTGGAAGCTAGCATTCCGGGCCATAGGAGGCCTAATTCACGCCATAAGTAATTATTGACAAGGACCGATAAGTAATTGATTCGCTTCCGCCGGAAGTGAACTCCGCATCATACCCTAGATTTGCAGCTACGCTGGAAGGGGAAATGCCTAGGCTATCCGTACAGGTCCCCGCACAGCTCGCTTACCCCGGCTGACTTAGACATGAGAGCTTCCAACTCGCACGGTCTCGACAATTTTTCAAGAATCGGAGGAGCAGAGTGCGAGCTCATTCATCCTGATGCTCTGAGTCGAGCCTCAGAAGCACTCGATTCATGGGAATCCGACGCCGCGACGACGTGTTTGAGCAATTTCGCTCGTTACTATGAGGAAAACACCGACATATTCAGAGGCCGTGCATGCCTACGCATATCGCAAAATCGATTCGTCTCGAGAAGGAACATGCGCCCCTGTTCCAAGAGATCGATGACTACTTTCACTTCCCATGAGGGCATATCGTCAAACAGATTTCGGGAGCATACCTCCCGAGGAGCTTGGGGACACGGGAAGGTGTGACGCTGTGGAGAGGGAAGAAGCGCTCATTCTAGGGAAAATATCTCTCCATTCGCTCTCAATCTTTATTCTGTCCTGTGGAATCCTTCTTGTCGGCATGCGATGAATAAATTTGAAAAATTCGATAATCACGACCCCGCGGAACAGATATCGGCTTCCGCACGCGGCGGAGTTCGCTGACTTCGGAGCCCATTTCCGTAAGGAGCTCCGAGCCTGTGGCAGGAAATCATCTAGCTCTCATGTAGGAGAAGAGAGAATCTTCCATGTCGACGATTGTGTCATGTGGAGAAAGCAACTCATTCGGATACTAAACTCGAAACAAACATAACAATGATGTGTCTTCATCACATCCGATACAGCCTTTGAAGCCGAAAAATTGGGGATACTAACAATATATCGGGATGAAAATCAACGAAATCTGACTTTCGATTTCGATGTAAGCGATTCGTCAGGACTGATTCCTCCTATGATGACTGTGCCATACTATGACGGGAATGCTCGGATTCTCGGTAGTGATCCAGCACTTGGGAATATTCCTCCCTATTATTTTCCAGAGATTTGTGCATCTCAGCGGAGGTATAAATAAAAGTCGTCACTTCGATCGAGGACGTTCAGCGTCGTCAGAAGTCGCGCTCCGCTAAATTCATGAAGTAGACCGGTGGCGCTGGTGAGAAGACAAAAACACAAAATAAACCCGAAATCCCGATTAGAGCAGTCGTGGCGGACGTGGTGAACAGCTCCCGGTACTGGAAGTGAGCATACCTGGAAAAGAACAGAAAAGCTGTATTTCCGTGAACGTTCCTTAGAGACATGTGGAAATAAGAGACATGCCAGTGATGTCTTGGCTGGAAATCCCTTCGCTCCATCTAGCGACTCGAGGGTCTGACACTGAGTAAGGAGCGTCGGATAGCCCAAGCGAGCTGGACGAGGGGATGGTGTTCCATAGCGGGGCAAAGAATCGCTCCATCACTTGCCTCGAGCTGGAGTCTTGCAAAACGTCATAATGCCAGAGTATTAGCAATCACACTTTCAATCATCTTTTCCCTGCTCGAGAGAATAAAATCAAAATGAGCCTCAAAGCAAACGACACTGATTCGATTCTATCCCATTGGGGAGCCGGTACAGGAGCCCCGAGCTGCCATTCTCTCGAATTCCCGAGCTTATGCTGATGGAAGGTACAGGTCTTCCAGAACCCTGATTCAGAACGAACGTTGACATCAGTCAGTCATCATCCATCATTTCGAACGGTGCTGTCTCCGGAAAACCTTTTGGGTGTCTGTTGTAGGAGCTTGCAGACATGTAGCTGCGAGCTCTGTGTGGCGATCGCAATTCATTCGCGAATTCGCAGAGAGGGATCATTGTCTCTTCTTTTCTGTTCACTTGGACTCCGCGACGATCCGCCGGCAGCGGAGTCTAACGGTTGATGCCCGCGACTTCTCGGGATCTGATTCTCTCCTAGCCCTGATCTCCTAGCCACTGGATGATTTAGTCACATCAACTCTCGAAAAACCTCCCGTGTTCCTCGTGAACAAGCGGTTCAGACCGGAGACGAAACTAGAAGCCTTCTGAGCAGGGCCTGCCTTCCGCTGAAGCTACCACCGCATAATTCAACGGTAGAAAGACCCTTCTCACTCACCAGAAGAGAGCTAGCATCCCTCCTAGAATCAGGTAAGCTAATGAAGCAACATTGGCTTCGAATCTTGAGACAGGGGCTGGCGTGGTTTCCTGCAAAAGATTGAGTTTTGGTCAGATGTCAGTTCCCGATCGGTTGGGATCGATTTTTCTGGAATGTCGTCCTCGCGAGAGGAACTCGGAATCTCACCCGAGTAGTTGGATCGGGTGATGCGGCCGGTGGCGTTGACACTTGGACATGAATTATGTTGTTCTCCGCACTGATCCCAGACTGTCTCAAGCTCTGTTGGTCATTGCTCAGGAGCTTCCCGTAGCAAATCAGTCGAACCATCTATCGTCGAGGAGGAAATTGTTCTAACTATTTCGTTGAGCCTCACACGCAAGATATTGAAATCCAGCACGGAAAGAATGGTAAGCTGTCTGACGGATGGAATCTCCGTAGGTTTCGCCGCTCCTTACCTTCCCTTGTTGAAAGGCTTGCGAGAAGAAACGATTCTTGAAGATGCCTATCTTCGTGCTTAGCGTGCAGTTCACGGTGGTGGTCACATCGTCAAGATATTTGAGTCGTATCGGCACCTGAGAAGGAATAGCAAATCTCATTCGGGACGTGGATGATATTCAAACACTCTGGACAGTATTTCACACTCGGAAGGTCTTCCTCTGCCTCATGAGCCGAGCTCGTAGAATTCAAATCGTCCCGAGAAGCTCCGACACCTCGGAACAGGTCACACAAGACATGTCTACTGGGCAAACCCCCGGTAATTGACCTCTTCCGGATTGTTTACCTCGCAAGTGTCTTCTGGACTTTCTTCAGGCTCTGGAGCTGGCTCTGCCTCCCGTTTATCAGCCTCAGGCTGTGCTTGATCATGGATGGTGGGAGGAGATGGAACGGTTGTAGTTGTGCTCGAGTCCGTCGCAGTCGATTGTGATTGGCTCGCGTCCTCGACGATTTCGGGGGACATGGATCGGTATAGCTGTAAGGACCCACGTTCCTCATTCGAATTTCTCACTATCATCAAACTCCTCATACCTCATACTTTGGCAATACTATGTAGCGCGGATCAGATCCGGGAGTCAATAACTCCTCCCCTCAGTCTCATGGAACTCGATTCAGTCTCGACAGGGAAAAGCAATTCCGTTTGAAATGACACGGGGTTTATTATTATAGCTCGCTTCAGAAGATATACAGCTATCCAACGATAAATACACAGTGTATCATCTACAAAAAAGGACCGAAAGCTCCGCCTCCGAAGCCGCCGAAGTTCCCTCCTCCTCGACCCCCTCTATCGAAGGCTCGTGGTAAGTGGTCAGGATCAGGACCCGCGCCTCCGGGTCCGAAAGGATCGAACCGAGCACCAGGAGGGACCGCACCCCGGGGAAGCGGTACTCCATCGGGACCGAGAGGACCCAAAGGTTGCCGTGAACGATCAATTCTCAAAGGATCAACGATCATCCCACCGCCTTGTCCATGGCCTGCGAATGGGTCGAGATCCCTTCGGCCAAGAGGATGGATTCCCGGCTCCGGTGCATGTGGAATACCTCCCGGGAGACCGTATCTCGGTTCCGGCACATAATATCCAGGCTCTCGAGGTTCTCTACGCGCCGGATCTTCTCCTCCGCTTTCTTTAGTAGAAGTGCCGACCGAACGAGACGAGACTTCACAAGGACGGATGAGTTGATCGTAGATGTTGTTGATCAATGTCAGAAGGTTGGGGTAGACTTTCTTCGGAACATTCGACGCAAGTTCATTGCCTTCAACCTCGGAGCTCATGTTGATGTTCATAGAGACCGTAGTTTCCTCATTCAACGACACCATGTTGACAAGCAAGAATTTGTCGTGAACGACGAATTTTATCGTGAACTTCTTCGGCGGATCCGATCGCGACACATATCTGAATGGATCTCCCGTACTGTTCCAGCCTTGTGGAAGACTTTCAGATGGCGTTTCATCAGTCGACCAGTTGTTCCCACGGCCGACGTATTGCCATCCGTTTTTTGACAGAACGAAATGCACCAGAATAATCAGAGCATCTTCTTTCGTCGTGATTGGCTGCAGTCTGTAGAGCGACTCCAACCCGAAATCCGCCGGTGTCATCTTGCACTAGGAACGGGCGCCCGAATAGGCGAACTCTGGATCACGAATTCGATCACTGAACTCTCGTCGTCGTGCTCTCACAGTCGGAGAATGCGGAATTGTGCTAATTCATGTATGGTTATCATCAGCTCTCGCGAGAAGGTTTCGTCTGCTCCGTCAACAGTGTATTGGTAAACATCCTCCTCCATCCCACGATGGCTCGTCGGATGACCGCTCAGAGTGGTAGCCCTCACGACTCACGAAGGTTGAGCCCGCGAGAATCTGGGGATTCTGAGCCCCGATCTCGAAGAGTGTCCTAGGAAAAAGAGGTTTTCATCGAGAGCAGGAGGTGAGGCTCCAGCTGAGAGAGCGTCTTCTGAGGTGCCGAGCTCATTTCCGGAAATTCCAGGCCGTAAACCACGGAACAGAGTCACCAGAGCTCTACCACCGCTCCACGAACTCACCCAAGTCGCATTGGATTTACCACCTCCGGAACCTCAGAGAGTCATCGAAAGTTTTCTTCTCGAACGCTGCGAGAATCGTCCGATGAAGAGAACCTATCGAGACTTTCCGCGACTCCGAGGGAGTTCTCTCGGCGAGCTCTCTTGGAGGGCTCGCCGGACGGGCATGAAAGATCGATCGCGGATATCCTGTCATATTTCAACCCGATATACAGAGTCAGGGTTTTCTTCCAGCCTTGCTTGTGGATTCCCAAATCACGGGAATTCTTCCCCTAGGAGGACCTGGGAACGTATTTACTAGGGAATCAGTCGGTGTCTCATGTTTCATCTGGTTTGCTGACGTGATGAGTTAGAGAACAGTATGTTGAGAAGACACACGAGGATGAGTCTAGGAACCGATAAAAACTATCTGCCTCGATTGGTATGATGAAGCAAACTTCCACCACCGGAAGACCCCGGAGGGAAATCCTTGAACGCTATCGGTGCGAGTCAAGACCTCTATTGGCTTTCGAAACGGCTCCATTTTCGCAGGACCTTCTGTCTGGACCGACCGTCTTTTTCCGGACATTTGATAGCTGATAACTATGGAACCGACGCAAAGACTGGGGGAAACCAAACCCCACCCTAGGAAGCTCTCGAATGAGCCCATTCGGTCCAGAGAGGTCAACGAGGGATACGATGCGAGCAAATATCCGGTCCCGGAAAGAGTCCGAGAAATTCACGCGGCTACCCTCCGAATATTTCTAGATCCCCGAATCCCTCACCTGATAACATGTGAATATGACGTATCCGAAGGTGGCGCCTAGGACGAGCACGACTTCATCCCCGAAACCCTCAATCACGGGCTCCGAGCTCGGCGCCCACATTTCGCCCACAGCTCTGGGTCTTGTTCGGATTTATTCAAGCACCTGGGGGGGAACCAGTGTCAGGGCTGTCGGAGCGGTCTCTGGGTTTCAGACATAATTGCTGCGGAGCGTCTTCCCGCGAGAGCTTGCTTACTTCCTGTGGTCGAAATGTAGACGAGAACAACCGAAGAAACTTATCGACAGTCGGAGCAGACGGTTTCCTCGATAGCCCTTTTTGTGTGACCCCGAGCGATGTAATCAGCAGCACGTTGGTACGATTCGGACCAATGAACGCTCAAGCTGTACGAATCTGCCGTATCTCGACATTCTTCCGAAAGTTTTTGACCGCATCTACATTCACCACACACGGGTCTCTGTTATGAATCACAGAGCATAAGGCCGCCATATTTGTTTACATCAGCTGTTCTCTCATTCCGATGGGCGCTAATTCTGGTCCAGCTCTCTTTTCCCCCGAAGGCTCGCGCCCCGCGCCGTCTTCCTGGGAAAGACAAACCCCTCGGGATTCTGACCAGCTCGAGTCTTTTCCGATGAGGAATGGTAGGCAGATATGAGATATGAGCAATCTGGGACCGAGGGTGGCGGTAAGTGGGCGCATCAGCCATTCTCGCTCCTCGGAATCTTCTCTCGAATAGGGCGCTGCCCGTCGACTGACAGTGACAAATGTTTGATTGTCGACGGGGACTGCAGTCGCGACAAATTATGCACGAGGAGTCCAAGGGGGAGTCGAACGGCTCGAGGCGTTAGCCACGGGACTTCGCAATCTCAGAACTCAGAAGGAAGCGATGGGAGATCGGCGAGTTCCGGATAGCACCGCAAAGGAAACCCCCTCCGTAGCAGCATGAATTCTGGAGCAAGAACTTTCTGATTATAGCGAAACTTCAAGCTGGAAACACTTGCCCGACTGAACTATCGATGATCGACCTTCCCTCGAATACAAATACGATGCATTGTCGGCTGGATGGCCGAGCTCGTCTGCCCTTAGGCTCCCCGAATATTCCTAGTTTTCTCATGATGAATTCCGCTCCTCTGTTCACCCGCCCTTGCGTATCATTTCCTTCTCACCTACCATCGACGAAAAAAAGATCGGCATCTTGCCCTTACTTTTTCTGCGGTCAACATGGCAAGGCTTGCGCCGCGTCCGCTGAGCACGCGATCATTGATTGAGCTCCAGTCGGATTCCCGCGCAGCCCCGGGCCTGCAGACGGTTGCAGAACCCGATCTTTGTTGATCGAGCTGGAGCTCTAGCTATAGGATGGCCTTCCTGATAGTAATTCGAATTAGAGGCGATAGCATGGCCAATGAGAAACCCTATGGAAATCCGCGTCGGGTGACGCGACACTCGGATTTGCTCTAACAGAGACAGTACATCCACGACATTCTCTCGGGGGGTCTCATGTGGCCATACGCAGCTCATAGTTCTCAGCGTCAGCTCCATCAGCCGCGATCATGGTCTGCTTTACCTCCGTCAGAGCTGCGCGGACGGTCCCCGAATATCCGTTCTCCGGACGGGCTCGCTCGCGTCCCCACATTCAATCGCCTACGAGTCCGTCGGGTGCGCGGGTCCTTCTCATTCTCCCGATCAGAGTTTCAGTGTGATGTTGACGAATTCCGGAGTTAATTCGTGGTTTGGTGGGTTCCCTGGAGCCGGATTCCGGAACGACAGCCAGAGGAGGAAGTGATGGAACTCTTCCGTGAGAAGTGTCGCTGATGTCCTTGTCCGGAACCTAAGCGTCCGTCGCAGGTTCATCGTACATCTCCGAAATACGATGGTCCGCGGAGATATCACTCGGTTCATCTCGGTCATGGAATAAATGGTCAGAATATTCCGTTTCCCTCGGGATTCGAGGAGGAGGTGCAGGATTCCGAGAACCCCAAGCGCTAGAAGGCACTGTATGCCGGGGTGGGGAAGGTCGCTCTCCGAGATAATGCGTGCTTCCGGCACGTTATACCTCAGCCCCTCCACGGAAAGTTTCTTCCTTTCTGAGTGCGATCATTAGAAAGTGCCTCCTGACGTCATCGATTCCGCAAAGTGATTCCCTCTCGAATCTTCCGAATTCCGGTGATTCAGTGCCCGGCGAATCATATGAAGACTCCGATACCGGGTCGTTGGGAACCGAGCGAGCGACGAATAATAGCATTCGATCATCTTCGTTCAGTGTATCTCACTCCGGTATCGTGGATTACGGAGCGCCCAGGAGGAGCTGGAATCATCTCCTTCGACACACGGACTGATTGGACTTGAGCGGACTGTACCCAGGCTCTTCTTCAGCGGCACTCTCAAGCAGAGATCATCAACTCTCGTCGTCTGATAAACACCCGTCTGCAACTGCTTTCGGGAGAGAAAAGAGAGTACTTCACACGAAGGGATTTTCCATAAGGTTGCGTGCCGTCGCATATACACTCCGGATATTTTTTCCGGAGTGCCGTTCCCCCTGTACACCTGAGGAATTGCAAGTCTAGTGCAGAAATCTTGAACTCGCATCGCTCCCAGTGTAGAGCCCCGACCGCACGACCATGGATCGAATGGACAATCATTATAGATCGGGCTTCATAAGAAACTTTCGATAATAATCCAACCAAAAGTAACTTATCGCGCTCCGGTTCTGTGTCGGACAATAAGCGAGTGACGCTAGCCTCGCATTGCGTGAATAACATGGAGCGGGCAATCCCTCGGTCTGGGGTCTCTCGGTCTTCGCGACCCTACCTGCTGCTCACGGATGCCTCCCGATGAGCTTTCGATCCGAGAGCACCCTCGCATCGATTGCGACCAAGACCCTCTCTCGTATAGCATCACCCCACTCCTGTGAGCCGCTGATGAAATTCTCGAGAGAGTGGAGGCATCTCCAAATAGAGTTGTCGGAACGATCGCATCAGTCGGATTGACCTGTACGGTCGAGTTTCCATTCAAGAGTGGGTTCCACAACCCCACAAGAAAACCTATTCTCTCGAGCGTGTCAGAAGCGGGACCGCTTCGATAATGCTCAACAGACTGAAGACAATCATAATCAGGAGGTGCGCGGGTTCAGATCCGGCTACCGGCTGCCCGGATGGCACCCCAGAGAATATGGTTGGCGCTGGCTGAGAGTGAGGCCGGGAGAGGAGTATCTCCTTCCGAAGCCGTCGGAAGACATCGTCCGCGTCGATTTTCTTTCTGTCCAGACTTCCGCAACGCGCTCGTAGCCTAAGCCGCAAGTGGGGAAAAAAAACGACATCGCACCTGCCAGGTCGGATGAGCCCGATCGTTTAGCGAGTGGAGCATCCAGATTACGGCGTTCAAGGAGTACTGGCGGCCGGAGCCGCGGCAGCGGGAATTTCTGGTGATACTAGCTGTTACCTTTCCACGGTGGCAGTGCGCTCTTTCCACTGCGTCTGCGAAGGGTCACGCTGGTCGATGTCTTCTGGCGAGCGGGCGGTGTTGCATCGTTCGACTGTTGACGTGGTGTTCGAGAAGGAGCCTTCGGCGAAGTAGTGGTTCGAATGTCTCAATGATACGGTTCGCTCAGCAACAAGCATCGAGCGGCAAGTGACCTCGATCCTCAAGTGTCTTGTGTCATCGTTATCTCTTCAAGCCCCCGTCTCCCGATGGCCAGCCTCAGCAAACTGCTCGCCGCTACCTCGGCGAAGACCGGTATCCGATCTGAGACCCTATCCAGAGGCGTGTGTGTTGCTTTGGTGGCTCTCTACGGAGCTCGAGTCGTGTACCCGCTGACAGTGAAGCTAGCTAAGTCAGCCTCGACACAGAAGCCTCGCAACGCCGAACCGAGATCCGATTCGCGAGTGGTGGCCAAGAAACGCACAGATGATCACCATGACAGCTCGAAAACCGCTCCGCAAGACTGGCTATCACAGGCCCTTCAGAGCCTGCTCCTACGACTGGACAAGAAATTCTTCACCCGGCTCCTGTCTCTGCTCAAGATAATGATACCGTCCGTTCAGAGCAAGGAGGCCGGTCTCCTCTTCCTTCACACAATGTCTTTAGTTTCTCGGACTTTCCTCTCGATTTACGTGGCGCGTCTCGAGGGTCAGGTGGTGAAATTCATCGTTCGTCGAGATGTGGCGCAATTCGGAGTACAGCTATCGAAATGGCTGCTGGTCGCTATACCGGCAACTTTCATCAACTCCCTGATAAGGTTCCTGGAGGGACGCCTGGCCCTGGCGTTCCGGACTCGACTGGTCGATCATGCACACTCTCTGTACTTCAAAAATCAGACGTACTATAGGGTTTCGAATCTTGACTCGCGCTTGGAGAACGCGGATCATTGTCTAACTGAAGACATTACGACATTCGCTACTTCGGTAGCTCATTTGTACTCATCGATCACGAAGCCTCTGTTGGATATTTCCCTCATTTCGCTCACGCTGTTCAAAATGGCTAACGAGATGGGAGCATACGGACTGCCTGGTCCGGCCGTGGCAACAGCTTCGGTAATTCTAACTGCAGCCATTCTTCGTCAAGTAACTCCTAAATTCGGAAAGATGGTTGCCGAAGAAGCTCGCCGTAAGGGCTATCTCCGTTTTGTGCACTCGAGGGTGATCGCGAACGCCGAGGAAATCGCTTTCTACGGAGGACACGAGGTGAGAAATTCCAAAATCCATATACTCGAAAACCCGTTCCCTGTAGCTAATCAGACCATCTCCCATTCCGCATTCGATCAGCTTTCACAGCCTAAGATACTATGGGAATCCCACATAACGAAATTCAGTGAAAGAATTAGTGCTCTGTAAGCTGCTCGGCAAAGTCAGTCGATTAACACAAAATTTAAATCGCCATTACCGTCGGCTCGAAGTACGACTTGATGGAGGAAGATCAAATCGAATTTTTAGATTCAATCGCTATCACTCGCGACCGAGCTTCTGTTCCCGCGCCCGGCTTGGGATTTCCCGTGAACGTGGAGTTGGGCGTCTTTAGAGCTCTCGTAAGCCCGCACGGCTTGAGCATCAGGTTCTCGGTGCTCTTCATCAATTTCGGAAGCCAGGGAAAGATTTCCTTCGGCTGTAAATTCGACAGGTCGCGGCCGGACGCTTCGTCCTCGGCTCTTAGGTTCACCACCGAAACCTTCCCATTGGGAATCATCCGGAGCATGACCACGAGATACTCGCCACTGTCGGTGAACTTGACAGTGAATTTTCTCTGAGATCGTTCCTTAGAAACATATCTCAACGATTTCCGGGACTCGGACCACTTGGCCGGGAGCGTGTCGGTCGGTTCCTATCTGTCGGCCATTTGACGCCTTGTCTAACAAAGAAATAGCCGTTGCGAATGACAACGTAGTGTACTACATATCAGTACGAGAGCCGCACGCGATGACTTGGGTTTGTGAATTTCACACAAGCGTTCGAGTCCAAGATGAGGCGGCTGCATCGAGAGCGCAGTGGTGCAAATTACGAAATTTCTTTCTCGCTGCGGCAATCAGCGCATGAGCGTATCCGAGCGAATCCGATTGGGTTTTGTTAGCGGTGAGTTCCACACCTCTGTATCCCGTCTCTCCACTTCGATTCGGAAGGAGCGCGCGAGCTGCATTCGGAGCGCTGCCTCCGCTCTCCGGATGGCCGCTAGTTGTTATCTATTTGATTATTCTCCAACTGCTCCCCGACGATCTTATTGTACGACAAAGGAAAGGCACAAGGTCTTTCATCGAATTTTTTTTGCTCACTGTGAAAGCGGCCTCGCAAAACCTCTCCTTGCGTAGACGTAGAAGGGGAGATCATATCGGAGACTAATTACGACTTCGAATCTGAAAGTTGCTGGATTTCCCATTCTCGCATTCCGCCGCGCCACGCGATGATTGACTTCGATTTCTGTCGAAGTCTCACGCGGCCGTGACCGGGTCTTGGCCACGGCTGTTTACTGAGCGAATGGCTCCGCACGAACGCGATAACCTTCACCTCGAGCAAGACGGCGGCATCCTTCACTGGGATCGACGTAAATAAGAGATTGTTCCCTCTCGGTGGCTTCAGCCAACCCTTTAAGTCCATCTATCTGTCTGTCAGTCGGCGTCGGTCGGTCGGTCTCCCGTTTATTCTTTCGTTTGTCGAAGAGGAAACTCGCCACCAACAATTTTCGGTCGTTGACTTGGTCTTGTCTCACTCAGACGTTTTTGCATCACGCGAGATCGGCACAAACTATTGTGATCTGTTAGTTGTTCCTAGAGGAAGGATACCGAAGAAATATTCGTTGAGGTGCAGCCGGCCACGGAAGGGAGTCTTTCCAGAACGAGGAACCCTAGAACATCGACACGTCAGTCTAATCGTTTTTGCAATAGCAAAGTCCACGCAGTCTCCTAGATCGTCAAGCAGAACTAGCTAAGCGTAAACAGAATCATGTACCGATTTCGGCATCAACTGGCCATTCCATCGGGAGTGGAATGTCTCGGAAAATTGAGCAGTGAGCATCTTCAGATCTGCGGGGAAGACCGAAGAGATCCGTCTTCATTTCTTTCGAGCACGGCTTGTCAGCCATGATTTTCGTCGGCGGTCCTCAAATTTTTTATTCAACGCTGACGGATTTGCCCGGGGACGGCGTGCCAGCTCGAATGACGGACAACTCTTGAGAATCCGGTGGCTACGAACCCGAACCGGATTTCCTGATGCTGTTCCGAGGTGTCCTCAAGACCAGAAGACCGTCTCAAGGTCCTCACAGAACGTTGATTTCGACAATGACGCTGGCTCGAGGAAGCGGACAAACAATTAAAACGACACCCTTCCTGATCTTAAGAGGGTGACAAGACTTCACATGTCTGTGATAACCCGCAATGCGTGGAAACGGAATCCTGAATCCAGAGCTTGCTATACGCATGCAATGAATAATTCGGGCCTTATCGGAATGGAACACTAACTGACTGGAGAATTTCGCTTCCAGGTGGAGTTGTCGCTGCTACAACATAGCTACGAGCAATTGGCGAAGCAAATGTCATACATCATGAACCAACGCCTGTGGTACATCATGCTGGAACAATTCCTCATGAAATATTTGTGGTCGGCCACCGGCATGGTAATGGTGGCCTTGCCAATCATGACTGGAATCACGCCTATCGAAAAGGTAAAAGTCCCTATCCCACGAAGAAGTCCGAATCCGACTCTCTCACCGATCTGCCAGAGAGATAATTGACGGCACGATGGTGCAAAATCAACTATTGATGATAGTCTCCTACGCTTCCTGAATTGCGGGAAGGAGCTCACGGATATTTCCTCTTCCTCTAGGGCTCGAGCAATGTAAGCGATGCCGACGGAATTTCAACCAGGACACAATTCATAACCACCACGAAGAATATGTTAATCGCCGGCGGGGATGCGACAGAGCGGCTGATGTCATCTTATAAAGAGGTATTTCGCTCACTTCGCGATCGTAAGGCGCACCCTTCCGCTAGAAATCTGTCAGAGTCCGTTAGGAGTCTGTCACAATCCGTTAGGAATCCGTTACGGTTCACAACCAGATCAGCATGATTTTAGAACGTCTCAAATGCATCATATGTAGAAAACCATTCGTTCAGGCTCCTGTAGATCGCGATACTTCAGGCGAAAGTCCGCCACACAGCTCTCGTGGATGATTAATGTAGAGGCGAAAGCGTGTTTTCCTCCCTGTTTTCCTTCCCCCGCCAGAAAGAATCGAATATCTCGCTTCCGCTGACGCACAAGCGCGTTTAGTCAGTGTTTCGTACGATTGAGTATCGATTGCGAATCGTTTCCGTGCTAATCGGTGTCCATTCTAATCGACGAGATGCCGCGATTTCCCTAATCGTGCGCATGCATGATGCGGACGAGGCTGCATGAAGTCAGCGACAAGTAATTTCGGCACACTTTTTCCCTAGCGAATTGCCCACGGGACCGCTCGTTAACTAGGACTTCATTGCAGATCACTGAACTCGCGGGATATACCGCGCGAGTTGCGAAGATGTTTGAAGTCTTCGAGGAAGTCTCTGAGAACAAATACAAGCGACCTGCCGTACAGAACAGCATGAAGAGCGACGGTGGGTGTTGAGTTTTCGAGGAAATGCGTCATCTCGGCTCGGCTGGCTCCCGGAAAACCGAGCCCGATGAATTGGTTTTCTGACAATGTTCCTTCTGCTTGTATTCACTTGTTGAAATTTCAGATTGTCGCAAGGAAAGAGCCGGCATAACGGTAGGCGAGGAAGGTGTTCCCATAATCCGAGGGACAGTCAAAGAGATCCACGACGGAGTCTGTTTAGAGAATGTTCCTGTTGTTACCCCGAACGGAGACGTCGTCGTCCCCTCGCTGAGTTTCAATGTAAGCCATCGGTCCCAAAGACAGAGCTCTACGTTTCGTGAAACAATTCTCTACGATTGAATTACTAATCATCATTTAGCGCCTCTAGGACTCTCGATAAATGATATTTTCATCTCACAGATGACGCGTAATATGCACCTGCTCATCACCGGGCCCAATGGATGCGGAAAGAGCTCACTCTTCCGAATTCTCAGTGGCCTCTGGCCGCTGTACGGCGGGAGTCTGCAGAGACCCCCAGTCAAAGACATGTTCTACATTCCGCAGAGGCCCTACATGCCTCTCGGAACCCTCCGAGATCAGGTTACTTATCCGGATCGCATCGGAGACATGAGAGCAAAAGGCATCAAAGATTCCGATCTTGAAAAACTCCTGGATATCGTGAACCTCGGTCATATCGTCACCAGGGAAGGAAGCTGGGATGCTGTCGGGGATTGGAAGGTAGGTGTCGACAGCTTTTTCACATTGTCCGCGTCGTACACAGAGCCGACACTGACATTTGTTTCCCTTCGAAGGACATCCTCTCCGGAGGAGAGAAGCAGAGGATGGCCATGGCTCGCCTCTTCTACCACAAACCCTCGTTCGCTCTGCTGGATGAGTGCACCTCGGCTGTTTCGATCGACGTGGAGGGACAGATGTACCAGGCAGCCAAGGATCACGGCATCGCCCTGCTCACGATAACGCACCGGCCGTCGTTGTGGAAATTCCACACTCATCTGCTGCAATTCGATGGGGAAGGAGGTTGGCGCTTGGAACCGCTTGACACGACGAAGCGACTGACGCTGCATGAAGAGAAACAGCAGATCGAAGGGCAACTGCAAGGAGTACCCCAGATGGAAAAGCGACTCAAGGAGCTCTGCACGGCTCTCGGAGAAGAGTCCATCGTTCTCCAACAGGTCGAGAATCCTCAAATCCTCGGAAATGTACTTCCGTAGTGTTTAAAGTGTACGGTACGGAATTCATACTGAAAATATCAGTATGGTCCGAGGGATATATGTGATCTAGCGAAGAGAGAACAGAAGAAAACCAGACGCATTGAAAAAAGGCTCAATTTTAGATACGTTCTGAATAGTATATTTTCTTCCCCAAAATAAGATAAACATAGAACCTAGAAATAAATTATCGGTGGAATCCCCCAGCTTGATCTGCTGGACGATCCGCGGAGCCTGGCTCGATCCTGGACCCGGGGGTCATTCTGTTCAAGATCCGAGAGTATTTGATGCATTGAGCTCAACGACGGGCGACGACAGTGCTACTTTAAGGAAGTTCGCAGGAGAGCTCGCCTCAAAACTCGCTCAGACCTACGTCCGAAAACCGCAGATGCGAGCTTGAGATGAATAAAAACGATCGTATCAAAACGTCGACAATCTTCATTTGTTTCTCCTCTTCTCCCAAGATTGGATCGTCTCAGCGTTCCCTCATAGTTGCGAAGATCGAATTTCGCTTGGCGGGGTTCGCCTCTATGTACTAACCTATGTTCCGTGGATCACAAATCGGGTTTGCCCCGAGGAGCCTTTCAAGTGTTCGGCCCCTTTGAATAGAAAACATTTTCGCGCAGGTGTGCGAATTGGCATAGCCCCCGTATGATAATATTCGCCGGAGTTCTCGCTCACCCGCGACTATGCCGATGAGCTTGCAGCTCCAATATGCATACTGATTCAAAATGCCTCGAGCTAATCGTCCAGAGAGTCGGAAGCCGAGAGTAACTTTTCATCGGCTAACTCTCGGAATAATGCTAACCGAGCTCCCGTCGAGCTTGTCTGAATAGTCCCTGAAACAGTTGTAATAAGCTTTCACTTCATCCAGAACCCCAAGGCGTCTTGAAGTTGCAACTCCCGGCTTGATTGGCGGGCGAGCTGCGCGTGCAAGCGACTCGCACGCCGCCAAGTCATTAGCAGGTCTACTCTGCACCGAGCGCTCCGCACTCCACCGAGTCTCCGGGAGCTCGCGAGCGTGGACGCAACGTTCGCGAGACCATCATACAATTTGGCTCACTGTTGACTCTTGCTGCCTCCGCTGTCATCGGCACGCGGGAATTTGTGCCTTCCGAATCGCATTGGATGTCGTGTTTGCCGAGCTCACAATCGGGAACAGTTCTCCACACACAATCGGTTCCTGGTGCGAGAAGGACATGCGGTTCGTTATACTGGTCGATGCGATCGTTTTACTCGCTTCAGTTTCTTTAGCGTCGGGTAAGGACCTGTATTCCGGAGGAAAAAGCGTACTCCGGTGCTCGGCAATCGAGGAGATAGCTGATCCCCAGAAGATCGAGCTCTTCCACGACGACCAACTCATCTACGTCGCCGAAATCCAGGTGAGAATTGGCGCCCGAGTTTCTCGCCCACCGATTCCCCTAAAACTGCTTGTCGGGTTTCGCGAGACGACCCGAGTCCCGGACCCAACTCCTGCCCTTCATAGGGTAAGCTGGAGTGCTGCCGAGAATTTATCGGATAATTTTCTCCAGACGCAACGCAATGGTTTAAACATGATCAGCCACACTCCCTCCGAGTCGTGGGGAGGTCGCGCTCTCTTCAACCCGAAGACATATTCTCTGCATCTGGCACGACTGACTCCAAAGGACGCCGGCGTCTATACCTGCCGGGTGGTCGGGAAAGAAGATGCCGTGAACGAGACTTTCCACATACGAGGTACTTGACCAACATCTTTTGCGACTCGGATCCCGAGCTGTCCGAGCGTTTTTCCACGATTTATCCCGGAAGAGAGCTTTCATGATTATCCGTTCTGCCCAAGGACCGATGGAAGTCCCCCAGATGCGGGTGGTTTCCTCATCCTTGGACGCGATCGTCAACGCCAGCACTCGGAATGTCGGGCCTCTGCGAGAAGACGAGAGTGTGGATCTCTATTGCGACGCCGATCCGGGTTGGTGGAAATCGTTTTGGCTGTTTTTTGAAGGATTTGTCAAGCTTTGAATGTTGGGTGCTCGCAGGCGTGACCTCGAACCCCTCGAATGGAAAGCATGAGTTCCGTGACTCCGGGAGCGTTGGCGATTCCTTGTTGTGTTACAGCCTACCCGGATGCGCAAGTTATGTGGTACGCGATGGACGAGGATTCACAACACTCGTCGCTCACGATGCCCGAGCGAGGTGAGATCGACTTCTGATTCAGGCTTCGCCGATAGGAGTTTTTGGATTATCGAAGAAAGGAGAAATGATTAGACGTAACATATTTACTTTGAAGGTCATTCACATCTCCGAATCGAACGTCTGGGACGTCGTCATGACGGAATTCGGTTCTCTTGTCGAGCCGAAGATAAGCTAACCGCTGAACGTCGCCAATCCACTACAGTCGGCTTGAATATTTATTTCAGGCCGCTCGGCATCGCCACGTCGAACAACAAGGTCTGACTGAGTGAGCTCAAATATCTGCCGGGAGAGAAAATCGCTATTCTGAAGTCGTTGACTCAACGGGAGCGTGCGGATGAGCAGGGGATTCTTTTTTCTTGTTTGCAGATTCTCTACGCTTGGGAGAATTCTGAAGTTGAATGCGTTGTGAGCGGTTCTAGGCCACCGCCTCTGATATCTTGGATTTTCGGGAACAAGAAGATGAAGTCAACTTTCATCCACACGTCGTTCAATGGAAACGTGACGACAACTTCGGTCTCGTTCAAGCCACGTCCCGAACATCACGGCATTCCGGTGTCTTGCCAGGCTACTAACCCAGCGTTTCCTCAGGACGTCCTAATCGAGACGTGGAACTTGATCGTACATTGTGAGATTTCCTTGCCGCATGGTACGCTTCCGCATTTTCGGTACGTTGTGCGCCGATGAATTCATCGAGCGTGTCCCCCTGTCTCCGCAGATGCTCCGATCGTGGACTTGTACCCGTGTCCTGGAAGCGCACAGCGCCTCCCGAAAGCGGAGCGAGACTCGAGTATCGCGGCTTTCGTCGTCGAGTCGAGAAGTACTCTCTGTCTTCGTTGCACAATTCTCGCGAGCCCAGCACCTTCGTCGATGAGGTGGTTCCGCGACAAGGAAGATTTGGCGAACAACTCGTAAGTTCATCCGATTCAAGAATCTCAAAACAGAATAAAGAAGGGAGGGCTGGAAGCCCGGCGAAGCGGCTGGATTGGCTTCCGCTCATTCCCTGAATCTCGTGCTCACTATCGGCCCTTTCGTCACTTCAGTACCTCGACAGTGCTCCGCATCGGACCTCCTTTGTCTCAAGAACATGACGGGACGTATGCGTGCAGCGCTCAGAACTCGCTATCTGAAGTTTCATCGGCACCGATCCGAATCCTAATTCGGAGAGTCCTCGACAATGCGTCTCAGCATCAAGAAAATTACCAACTGGAAGCGGGATTTTCGGCTCTGATCGTTTTAGGTATTGTTACGGCCGTTGCGATCATGGCATTCTATTGGAGAAGCGTCTCGAGTGAGAGAAGCAGAACGGGAGCTCGCTGCTCAGACGGTACAGTAGTTCGGACGTGATGGATAAATAAATGATGCTGACCCGCTCGGATACCCTCGGACCAGAAAATAATCATATGCTTCACCAAGTGTGCGTGATGAGCAGCTCTCCGGAAACGATTTCCCTGAGAGCGACGATTCCCCGCACGTACGCGTGCGGGGACCCATGATGGAGAAAGTTGCCAATCGGTGCTGCCCGAGCGCGTTGTCGCTCCATCCGGAGTGCCCCCGATAGATATGTGTGGCGCACTAAATCGAAGTTGAATGTCTACCTAATGCAGAGAAGAATGGGGTGCATGCGACTCATTCGCGGGAATTCGGGTCCTGAACTGCGAGCATCGAGGGATCTCCCGGAACGGATACGGAAGAGACTACATCGGCGATCGTTCGCTCCGTCCGGGAGAAGTCACCAGGGCTCATCGTGTTTGTGGTGCCTGCAACCTCTTCGCTGGCTCCAGAATCTAGGCGAGATTTTTCCAATCAGTCTCCTCGTTTTTTCCGTTTTCAGGAGCTGTCGATCGGTCTCCCTCCCCGGTCGGCCGTACGCCGCGCAGTGATCGAGTTCCTGCACCTAAGTACATTACATTAGTTCATACCGTAGTGCGGCAGAATGCAGTCGATTATCTAAAGAGCAGGCATGATTCTGTGCGGACTATTTTCTCTAATGATGAGATGGAGCGAAGAACATCCAATGAACAATCTGTCATTCGGTCGAAAAGCGCGTCCTATTACTCAGTAACCCCAATTAGCTGGTCGCTTCCTTGTGTCGACGAAGCTGTTACATCTAATGAGCATCGATGAGGAGTGGAATCGGATAGACGCGTCCGCATTATTTGTCGATTGGATTGTCGAAAGAGATTATTAAATTTTCTCCGGACGCTCAAGCAGTCCGGCTCCGGATAAATGTTCGAGGCCTCGATTATCCTTTTTCCACTCACGTCCCATGGAACAACGAGACCTTGCGGTGGTGTCGAGCCACCCAGGGACAGAATCCATTCCAACGAGACTCGAGACCATTATGCTTTAAGTCCGCACCCACCTAAGAACACGGAAGTCATTATTTATCATCGTCTAATGAATAGAGCAAAAACTCGACATTTTATGCCAAGGATTGGTTTATTATGACGGGGTAAAGGACCGTGATTCCGACCGTAGGGCTCCACCAGTCTGCGGGACTCACCCGGGCACCTCGCTTCCCATCAGTGAGAACTGCAGAGAACTGCAGCGATCGAGGGGTATGCGGACAAAATATTGTATATACGCACTAGCCAAATCAGATCTACACTCGTCTCGCGTAGTCAGTCTCTAATACCGGACCGCCTCCGAGGAAAAGTCAGCACGACGGTCGTCCAACTCGAGAGAATCGCGTCCGCGCCTAAGAAACTCGAGAACCATACGCTTCTTCACCTCCGGAGACCGCCGGAGGCGCTCCGATTTCCCAGAAGCTCTTCGATCGCTGATTTGTCCGGGCACGGGAGCTCCCCCGACGGAGAATCGCGCAACCCGCTTCGATGCGGAGCATCACCGACACTTGGTGGAGGGTCCTGATAGGCATTCGCTGTCACTCTGGCTGGGCTGCTACCGGCCCGAGTTTTCCCATGATGGAGGACGCAACCGTCTGAGTCCTTCCCTACCTCTCGAACTCCCACACGGCATGAATTGAAATCTGTCGCGATCCTACTCGTTCACCCAAAGGCGAGACGGTTAAGCCGTATCATCAGCGTGTGATGTTAGAATCGAGCGCCTAGACAAGTTTGGGGCACGATATTCCGATCATCTCTGCACTGTTACAGGAGGGCGAGGGTTATTTGTTATGGGTTATGGAAGTTTGGCGCGCGCTACGCGACGTCTGTGTAACATTCGAACGATCAAACCAATGAACGAAGTTAGCGAACCGTGTTTGTTTGCGTTCTTGAGAACGTCGGTTAGAAAATTCACGGCCTCTCGGACCCCCTATTCCCAAGACCGAAATGGCGAAAACGTGAGTTTTTTACATATTCGAGACTCACGTCGTGTCTGAATGACTCCCGTGGAGCGCGCGAGCTCCGATCATCTAATTGGGAGCGATCGGTCCCTACCAAATGAGTTCAGACAGCATCCATTAGAGTTTCATCTCAGCATCGGAGCAGGGAAGCGTTTAGCCCCAACAGTCATGTTCGAAGAAGGTTCTCCATATCACTATTCGCGACATGGTACAGAATTGAGGCGATCAGTAACGGTCTGCGTCACGAGGCGGCGCTCCTGGGGAACAGACTCACGTCGTCTTCGATCAGATAACTTTCTATCGATTCGCAGCGTCCCGGTGGCCAGCAAGCGGCAAACCAACACAGGAGCTCGGAGCAGAGGGTTGAAGCGCTTGTCGAAGAAGAAAGCCCCTAAAATACCGATTATGTGAGCTTCGTTCGGCAGGGACCCACCTTCCCCCACTATACTCTATTCTTTCTTTGCACGTGAGAGTTAGTGCGTTCAATCGGGTGAGGAAAGTATTTCTTGTCGCATTTCAGACCGAAGGTGGGCGTTCTTGGTATGGTGAATGGTTTCACAGTGACGCGGCTCGAGCCTGAAAAGGTGAGACTCTATCTGTTCATTCCGTCAAGCATCGAATATCGCGAACAGACTCTACGTAGGACAGTTTTCTGCCTACGAGCCCTTACCGATGATCAGAAACGAATCTCGATGGATGTTTCAGCTGCAGACGCTGCTCATATTTCCGCCGGGTCTAACCAGTCCGGCCAACGAGCCCAAAAGGGTGACGTTCGCTCCGGCGGAGCTCCAGGAAGAAATCAATGGCAATGCACGACCTCATCGAGCAAACACACGGCGCACCCACTCAGCTCGCGATTCCTCCGAGGATTCACTGAATGATTTCGACGCTTCACGGGAAGCAAAGCGGAGGAGAACGTCCGAACTTTCCACGGTCGAGGATGCTGAAGTTCGTAAAACTACCTCGTCGATGCGGCCCCGAAAAGTCACGCTACAACACTCAACACCTGCGGAAATCAAGGTGAGCACTATCGAGTCAGTGGATAGTGTAGTGGTAGTCGGTTGGGAGTGGACGCTGAGGCCGCTCCGGGATGGTCGGAAGCCTCGGCGTGCCTCTCTGTCAACGCAGTCCTTGTTTTGAATTTGAGGCTTCTGCCAACTTGCCACGCCTATCAAATATCTCACGTTCCAGGACGAAAATTCCCCGACGCTGAAACGAGAGTATCCACGAACACCGTAGGTTGAAAATTGCTCCATCCCTACTCCTCTACGTGCTAATGGAGCTTTTGTTTGATTTGCTCCTTTTTTTGCAGGAAACCCACCGAAAAAAGCGCCGTCTCATCGTTCGATACCTTCGACGAGACCTCTCATCACGAAGGTGATGACGACGACGAGGAAGAGGAGTGCACTATCGAAGCGAAAGTAACTTTGGAGAGACTATTCGATGACGATACCAACGCCGAAGAAGGAGAGCATCACAGAGAGGGCGAGAAAGTCTTGAGCGCTTCGAAGGTCTGCCCGGCAGTGATCTTCTTCGAAGACAGAAATTCTTTGAACTCGAGCGGCACTACGGTCGAAATCGACGTCGATAAAAACCGAGACAACGCTCTAGCGCCAAAGGATGACGAGCAATCCTCATCTAGTGAAACACATGATTTCAAAGATTTTCATCCTCTGAGCCCCGTGAGGATAGACCTCAAGGAGATCAATTATGTCCCCCCTGTCATTCGGGACAAGCGAGCTGCGGAAGAAATTGTCGACACCCAAGAATCGGAGACGAAAGACGATGACATCAATTCGGACCTGAGTTTGAATTTGGCCCCAGACAGTGAAGCCGGACAGCCGCAGCCTAGCGACGACCAGAATGAGGAGGAGCCTCCTAAAGGCGAATCGGCGGATAATCTGAGCTCACTCGATGAAAGATCACTCTCTCGCTTGACGAGTAGGAATTCACAGCGAGAAGACGTGGCAGAAGAAGAAAAAGATGTTTTCCATCAGCGGAGGTCGCAACTGTCTCTAGACGAAGAAGAACCCATGGAGGTTTCAATCATTCAAAACTCGACCCGACTCTCCGGTGTTCCAACTCCGAAGGCGGAAGCCAGGATCGAGGTCAGCACCGATACGACGGATGCCGTCTCTCAAGCGGACGGAGTGGGTAGCGGTCTCGAGTCGAAGGAGGAGTACTCAGGAATTCCGGCAGAAGGTCCTCGTGAGGAGAATACGGCTCCCCCGGCTACAACGGTCGACGTGGAACCTAAAGCCGAGGCAGAATCAACGGAAGCTGTTCCGGAAGGAAAAATAATGGACACTTCAACCACCCTTTCCCTTAATTTCACCGAGGAAGAAGACATCGATATGAGGAGTCTATCCGATAGGATTAAGAAGATCCCAGAGCAGCTAGAGAGCTTCGTGACGACTCCTGACGTGAACGGGGATTCTCAAGAGCCCGTGACAGAGCCGAAGATAAATGAAGCCGCTCCGAGCGCGGCCGGGTCGAATCTGTCAGTGGATGGGGCAGAAGACGAATCCCCTCCAGAGGGTATCGAGTCGGCCGCTCCGATCGAGGGAGAACCTCCAGGAGCTGAGGGGACTCACCTCAAACCGCATGCGAACGATGCCGCATCCGATGAAATTCCATCAGATGAACAGCACACGGAAGCTCCGCCTGGTGTGGTTATGGAAGAAGCGACAGTGGAGGGACAGCCGGAAGAATCGCGCGCCGCAGCAACCGAAGAAGTGTCGGATCAGACATCCGATCCGCAGTCGGCAGAAGCCGTCGGAGTCACTACGGAACCCAATGCGCCTGTCGAAATCGGCACGTCGTCGAAGGGAACCGGGATTGAAATTAAGGATGACGAACCGCGATCCGAAGAAATAGCTCAGGAAGAAGAAATTCGAGAAGAAGAGCTGGACGGGAGTGAGCGAAGTGAAGATCGAGAATCTGATGAATCTTCCACTCGAGTAACTGATGAAATTGAAAATAGTAATCCCGAACCACAGAATTTTTCAGCCAACTCGATCCAGTCCGCCGCTCAGCCGAGTGAGCGGCGCGACGCTCATGACGGAATTCAGTCCACGATCGATTCTGCTGACGATTCGTGTACCTCGACTGGAATCGACGGGAAGAATGCGCCGGCCGCTCACCAATCGATCGAAACGAGTCTCGCTCTGGAGGAAAACGATCCTGAGAGCATTCCGGAATTGGACCGAGAGGGACCCCCGGCATCGGAACCTCTGACTGAAGCGGATTCCAAGCAAACCTCGAAGCGAGTACGGCGCAGTAGGCAGCCCTTCATATTTGAAGCCGATAGCGGACCGGTCCCAGTGACTACGCCAGTCGTCAAGAAAAGACCTGGGCGAGCGAAAACCGTCGAAAAATCCACTCCCGGCGCGGAAGCCCCGAAAAGTACGCGGGAGACCGCCACGAAGTCTACTTTGAGGTCTTCTGCGGAGCCCAAGACCCCTAAGACACCGTCTGCGAGGACTAAAGCTGCTCGGTCGATGGCGGCGGAGTCGGAATCTTCCGAAGCCGTCGCCGAAGCTGCCGGGTCCCCGGAAGAACCTGTGGCTGCTCCGAAAGTGACGAGAACACCGTCCGCGAGATCTAAAGCTGCGAAAACGGCAGCAGCAGCAGCGGCTAAATTGGAAGCTTCAAGAGCTGAGGCGGATGACGGCGGGACTCCGGAAACGTCTCCTGTGGTGATGAAAACGCCGAAAACGCCCGCTCCGAAAGCCAAGACTCCCCGAGCGAAAGCGACGAAGGCGATGTCATCGAAAAAGGAAACCGAGGCACCGAAGACTCCGGAAGGATCCCCCGTGACAATTAAGGCTCCGAAAACGCCGAAGTCCAAGGCCTCAGCCCCGAGAACAACGAGAACTCCAGCAGCCACGCCATCGAAGAAAACAGCGAAATCTAAATCGATCTCCCCCGAGGACGATGATTCGCCACCGGAAGTCTCCAGATCAGCCGTGAAAACGTCGAAGACCTCGACTACTGCGTCGACGTCCCGACGGAAGACGACCAAGTGACGGAATCGCTAAGGTCCTCTCCGCAGACCATGGAGTACGTGATTTCTCGCCGGCATCGTTCATTCGTCGTAGTTCCGCTTATTGTATCCCTCTGCGTAAAGAGATTGATCGAATACAGGAAACGATGCTGATATTCGCCTCTATTGTTGGGAAGTCATTTTGTTTGTGTTGACCGGCCATCTGTCACAGTCAAGCAGATGGCCGGAGAAAGATTTTCCAGAACTAGAAGCCGTCTACATGGTGCACACAGAATCGAAAATCGTCCTTTGTTACCGAGCTTGGCTGGTAGATTCCGATTCGTGCGGGGTCGATCCGCGTGAAGCGATCTCAGATGTGAAAAATTATCTCCCTGATGTTTGAAGGTGGAACATTCTCCTGTCAAGTTCTTAAAGCAAAATAAAGTCATTTGGATATCCTCGTGGATCATCAATTGGAAAATAGCAGAGGCCACGATATGAGGGGGCGGGAGGAACTTGGAGGAGCCACAGAACCCTACTCACCCACGACAGAAGGTCGTCAGAGGGCGGAGGGAACGGGATCTCATCATGAGCGGCTGAGCCCAAGAGCTCGCTGACGTTGATGCTCGTTCATATCCTGCCTCCACAACCAGTAGTTTTCACTTCCTTTCCAATGTGAACGATGCCAGTGAAGACAACGATATGACGGAATCCGTTGTTTACAACATTCCTTCCGCTGACTTGACGACTCAAAGGTACAGGCCGAGCTGAGGGAAACGCACTGAAGTTCTGAGTCTCCCAAGGTCGGATCAGCCGTAAGGACCTCTGTAAGTAGCCATCGACCGCTATTTCATATTCCGTCGGCTTGACCAGCCTCGAATGAGCAACTGTAACTCGTCGCATCTCTCCGGGTAGACACAATCGCTTAGGTATCCGTCCAGGAGGGGGCTTGAGAAATGAATTCTCGGATGCTATAAAACGTGCGTTCCCGGACCGTCTTCCTTCAGACAACCGGGATGGTCAATGCGGTCTTGGCGTCGGTACTCTTCCGGATCGGATTACCCGTCGTTCTCCTAGCAGGTGAGCTTCTAGCGAGCCGTTCCTTCGACGAGAATCTCTTGGAGAACTTCTTGTTGGTGAATCTCGAGTCTGCGTTCGATTGAGTAGCTTGTTGACGATTGAGTGGATCCTTTCTCGCAAGGACAGGGTCTGTTGTACGCGCGTGAGCATGAAATCCGGTACGATTACTCGCTACACAGATCGAGGGAGTATTAGAGTGCGTGAAAATAACTCCAACTCGAGTCGGGGGATGATTTTCATCTGTGTATCCTTCAGGTACATTGCCTCGCTATAATATCTTCTCCTTCTGCTACCTGCTACTGCTCTTGGTGTCACCGCTTCTGACTGGACCATCCAGGGGAGAGCTGCTACCAGGTAGTAATCACGCGTCTGTTATCATCTATTTCGGCGTTTGACTCATTTTGACTGCTCTCCGCCCTCGCGTATACCATTATCCCGTAGTGAGATATTGAAGACGGCGGGAACGTTCCTCGGCTTCAGGTCTCGGTATGAAATTTCAGCACGGGCGAAGTTTTACCTCCTGACTGTGGTCAGCGTATCCACTGTATTTTGTGTATCTCATATAGCCTACCAGATATACCTCCTATCAACCAATGCATACTACGGCACGGAACCAAGGTATTGTGAGTACTCATAAGGTTTCTCAGCTTCCTACTGTGTCCCTGGTCACGGGGCTTGGAGTTCCGTGCTCCCATGCCTAACGATTCTCATTCTCGGAGCGGTGAAGAATAATTTCACGGAACCGAAGAAAAACATTCCAACATTCCTTAGGTGGCTTGGAACAGAGACTCTTCACCCTATTTGGACTCCACCGACTCAATGGAATTTCCGTTGTGAACTGCGCGAGGCTCCTCCTGACCGACTTCGCCGTACTGCTGCTGTCGGCCCTCGTCTACGTGCAATGCGACAAACGGGATCAATTGGTTGGTTTCAAGTCCTCCGGGGCTTCTTTCTTCTAAACGCTTGATCGAAGCTCTTGAGACAATTCCATTCCGTCTAACAGCTCCTCAGAGAGAGCAAGGCTGCGCACTTCCCGCATTTGAGATCGGGGAGGCGAAGGTGTCCGCGGAAATCCATGACTTTATTTCGCTTGGGAGAAGCTGTAGTCATCCTTGCGCTGGCTGCCGCTGGAATCTTGCATGCGTCGATATTCTCGCTGGTGTATTTTTTAGGTAATTATGCTTGGCATACATTTCACTATAATTATAGAGAATATAGATTCAGTAATAATTATAAGCAGCGATGAGAAGGAACTTTGGAAAAAGCTCCATCTACCGAGTATAATCTCCCTCTCAAGCTTTCCTCGGCGTGGCGACGTGGCTCGCTTGCTCTAAATCGCTCGGCGTAGGTTACCGGAATTTTCGAACGGCTCTCATGATTTTCGCCGCTTTCCATATCATTGCCCTGTACATCTATCAATTCGACTATTCACAAGAATTCATGGAGCCCGACAGCCTCAATGCCAGGTGAGCATTTACGATACGCGGACCAGTAGCTGCGTGACGGAGAGCTGACGGCACGCAGCCCTCATTAGATCCGGACTCCGATGCTTACAGACTGGTAGGCTTCACTGCTCTCCGCATGCCGGCGTGTAACTCTTCGTCGGAGGAAACCTTGATCACCAACCACCGAGATTTGGTTTTCCACGACCGCCACTGGTCACTTTTCGTACATCCGATCTCGGTTCTCGTCTTCTACGTTTCCGCATGTACAATGACACGCTACGCGTGTACCACAAAGGTGCCGAGGGCAAACGCTGGGGCTCTCGCCATCGCTCGCGGGATCCGAGGGAGATCACAGTCGCTGTTTCCGACTGGAAAGAAGATGAGACGCTGTCGGAAAAGTTTGGCCTCCTGTCCTTCGAAAAGCATCAAAAGTGAATCAGGAGTGAGTTCAAGCATTCGATCCATGCCACCCGGGAGATCTTTGGAAAAAGTCAATCAATGAATCGCTTCCCAGGTGCTGGATTTCGAGGCGAAGAAGTGTAAGACGATGCCTCCCGTGCAGCGGAGCCTCGTCGAAGACGCTGCGGGATGCCCCTCCCGATACTCGCGTGCCGCCAGGGCCAAAAAAAGCGGCCAGGATCAGACTCTTGTGGGGAGAAAGAGCCGGCACGCAAGGTATTGCGCGGAAATATGGCGATATATGTGTGCTTTCGTCCAGCTCTCCGTTTCGTTTCTGCTGAAGGGGAGCTATGTGATTACACTGATCATCATGATGGTGAGGAGGTTTTCCTGAATGACGACTCGCCCATGTCTTTCTCGGCCTGCGGAAATCGGTGCCTCGGAATCGTAGGGACGGAAGAAAAATTGCCTAATTAACCTTTCCCGTAGGCTTGGAGTATCACGTATCACAGCTGGCTGACATTTGTTCTGCTCTTATGGTCGTGTCTCTTATGGATGATGCCGAATTCACGCCGAGCTTGTCTCAAGAGTTCGCCTGCCCTGGTCCTGTATGCCGAAATTCTACTCATTTTCCAATTCATATACTCGCTCGATCTCACCGATCAAGAGCTCCCGACACTCGTCGGAAACGTCAATCTCAATCAAGTTGGATTCGTCAAGCACGGAAATGCAGGCTATAAAGTGAGATCTGAATACCGAACCTCTCCCGCGTTCACTGCTCGACCTCACGTTTTATATTCCCGAGTGGAGCTACACCGAGCCAAGCTACATCTTTGCAGCATCTGTGGACGAAGATTTTATACACTGTGGGGTTTTGGGTGACCCTTCGACAACATGTCAAACAGAAGCGGGAGATGAAGCTTCGGACGCGAGGCGAGATCCATCGAGACACTCATTTTGCGAAGACGCGGTCGAAGGTTCTCGTGAACACGGATGTCCGCATGAAAAAGCTCGGACACTTGTGGCGGAACATTCTCGCTCGCGTATGGATCTGGGTGGTTGCCGTGATGCTGCTCGTGATTTCATTGGGCGGTGATCACGTAGTCCTCTATCGGATAGTATACATGGTCCTATTCCTGTTCTTCATCCTTCTGTACCAGGCATGGACACCCTCGTGTATCGTCAACATAGGCAACCGATCGTGAGAATATCCTGCCAGTGACTTCTACGTGAATATTTCAACATCGATTCTCTCTTTGCAGTTTTCGCACTCGACCTGGGTCAACGTCATGTATGGTTTCCTCCTGACCGTTATCATATATTCGATGTTGGTCTTGATTTGCATTTACACGTACCAGTTCGAGAACTTCGCTGGATATTGGGAATCCTATCTCGATGTCTCGCTTGGAATGCAGCAGGACATCGGCCTGGAACTATACGATTCAGACCCGAGGTCTCTCCTGCTGAAATTGTTGACTCCGACAATATTCCTGATCGTGACCATCATTCAACTGCATTACTTTCACGATGATTTCATTCGCTTGGAAAAAGGTGGCCGACCCATTCTCAGCGAATATTCAGTGACGAGTCCTGGGGCCGTCATTCAGATCGACGAGGCGACGGACGACGACACCGCGGAACCGCTGACACTGATTACGATAAGGGGCGGACGTGGCGCAAAGCAGATGCGGTCTCGGCGTGGGTGCTCCTCCTGTTTTAATTATTTTCATGTATCGGCAGTTTTTACCTACTTCATCTTTCTCTGATTTCCACCCTGGTTTCGAGTTGGACTCTTGTGCGATGCTCATCCGTGGGGCGCAGTGTCACTGAATTTCTCTCGCGCAGTTCCAAAGGGAAGCCTTGCTTCGATTGACGCTCAAGCAACGGAGGCCAAGCTCACCGTTACCGCGGTGCTCGAGAAACTAAGACGATGTCTCGGCGGATTGGAGCGAGTCGTGTGGCGTCTTCTGGAAATTCATCTAACGAAAATAATTTTCCTCGCCGTATTTCTGCTGTGCGTATACGATATTTGCGCCGTGCACGTGATCTACATGGCTCTGGTGATTATAGCGCTCCCCGTACGGAGCCTCCACCAGTTCATGGTGCATTGCTGCTCGCTGTGGACGGCGATTCTCCTCGTATCGAAGATGATCTATCAGTTGAAATTCGTTGATAGTATCGGTTGGGAAACAAAGTGTGAGTTCGTCTACGGTCTGAACTCCACTGGACCTTACCCGTTCCCCTTCAACACAGCCATCGACAACAGGTGAGTCGTGGCATGATTTCTGCGACCCTCGTGAAATTCCGGTGAGCATATTCAACCGAGCCAAGGGAATAGAGCTCCTCCCCTGATCATGCTGTGCCTTTCAGGGAATGGATTGGATTCATGAGAACGGACCATTTGATCAGCTACTGCAAGGGATACATCGCACTGATCACGCTGTTCACACTGAATGCCTTGGTGAAAACCCATCAGAATCGCGATCGGCTCCTCCGATCAGCTCCGGAGCTGCCCCTCGGAGTTGTTTGGCCCGGGGTGACTCGCAAAATGGCCGACCGCGATTTGTGCACTTGCTTGAAGTTCCTCATCAATTATTCCTTCTTCAAATTCGGCATAGAAATTTGTCTCGTGACCATGGTCGGCTGCATTGGATTCCGCCTTGACGTCTTCGCCCTCATAACGTGTCTCTGGCTCTGCTGCATGTTCCCTCTGCGGAGGAGTATTCTGGCGCGAATATGGCCTCTCTACACTGTCTACCTCTGTGTTGTCATACCCCTCCAATACCTAGTGGCTGTCGGTCTGCCTCCGGGCTTATGTATCGGTGAGCAGAGCGTATCCCTCCATGAACAGAGGGATGTTGCCACCACGGAAGTGGAGAATTATTTCAAGCAACCTTCATCCCCTAGAATATCCGTGGTACCGAGAGAACGAAAAAGGAAAGAAATCATCGAATGGCTATTCCTCCCCGATTACAGGAATCGAGCGTCGCACCGAAAAATTATAGGTAGGACATAACATTCAGATTCTTGGTCAGTAGTCTCTCCTGCGGTCACCATGTGATTGGAAGTAAACGAAATGCTTCCTCTCGCAGTCGATTGTTTGCAATTGATAATGTCATGCTGTCAGCTTGCCGTATTCAACATCGAAGCAGCAGACGGTCCGGGTCACCCAGCTGGGAGCAATAAGGAGATATACGATTCGAAGGGCGACTACACGGGCGAACGGCCGAACCCCGTACCTCGATTCATCGGCGACCCCGGGCATTTCAACCACATCAAAACTGGAGTCTTGTTCCTCTTCTACTGGATTACTTTGGCAGTGATGTATCTTGCGGGGACGAACCGGATATCGCTGTTTTCCCTGTTCTATATTTTGGGCTGCTTCTTTTTCCTTTGGACCGGGAACGATTTCTACTTGAAGCCCATCAAGACGCTTCTAAGTTGGTGGAACTCTCTCGTGGCCTTCAATGTCACTGTCATCCTCATGAAATGCGTTCTCCAGGTGAGCGAAATCCTGTCGGGTCATGATTCCTCGCTTCTCTATTTCGGAGGAATAGAACCCATGTCCGCACTGTATTTCGTCCGCCTGTTGGAGCTCATGAAAGCAAACTGAAGTTCCTTTCCTCTCTTCCCGGTCCATAGTTCGTTGGCTGCGTATACCTCCAAGAAATGGCTTATAACGCCTGCTGGCTTGTGCAGCTGCTGGGCATCGCTTGTCTCAGAAAAGTTCATCCCAAGAAGACTTCGATGTATGACTCGATTGTGAGTGTACCCCCTGGCTCCGCAAATAGCTCGCGGATCAGACTTCTCGCAGAGCTCCGTGGTCGTCACTCATGCCGTCTGACTCGACAGGTGGATCAGTGCAACGTGCCCACCTCTGAAGCTGGCCTTCTGTGGGACGCCATCTGTTTCGCTTTCCTTCTGCTGCAGAGACGGCTCTTCACATCCTATTATTTTCATCATATGATCATCGAGATCTTGGCGCAACAAGAGCTGAGCTCGCGCGGGGCCGAGGTCATACATTTTCTTCAAATGGAAAAAGTCAAACAGCAAAAGGAAGAGGAACACCAGACCATGGAGAAAATTCGCATGAAGATGGACCGCATCAGAGACAACCAGCAGAAGCAGCGTGAAGGCGAATACGTCGAGCCAGTGACTCATATGCAGGGTAAGTCCAATTCACATTAACCCTGATCGCGATCTCCATCTATGCAAAGGATGAAAACACCATTTATATCCCCGTGCTCCAGCTATACGCTCCGGTCATTATGATCTCTTCGAAGACGGGCTCGAACTGCAGGACTGGAACGTGACATCCTCGAAAGAAGAAGCGCGCGACAATGTCGACGGCAAGAGAGAGGTACACCTTTGCCCTGTGATTCCTCTCGATCGAAAATCGGTTTCTTCCGGTAACACGTCTTGATCGGTAACACGTTGCCGACGCGTAGGGTCTGAAGGTCCCTTCCCCGAAGGTGAGGGAGGCTCCGGGTGCTGTTCGGGATGGCGCTCAATCGGGAACCGACGCAAGGGCTTCCACTGCGAGTGCGATGATGAACCTGGATCTGAGTATGCGGTCGAAAGAACTTCGGACGAATCTCCGTTCCGAGACCTCGGCGCCATCGCCACGACCGATCGCTCCGGGAGTCGTCATCGCGAGGGGAGCGGCTACACCAGCGGCAGCAGCTCAGGAACCCATCCCGCTCATCGGCCAGGCCCCGAGTCCGATCGGGAACGTCGAGGGAATCCAGCAGGGTAAGTGAATTTCACCTTCCGGCGAAAATTTAAATCATCCGAGAGCCAACGCTTCCACTCCAATATTTCGGCTTGAAGGGATGACATGGCAGATGAAAATCTCAGATTACGCGGGGATCGCACAACGCTTTGCGGTCAGTATGCTCGTCAGCGCCACTGCGGAGCTTCACGCTTTTTCGGGAGGTTTCCGTGAAGTAGCGAGGCTGCTGGACAAGGACAAAGAGATTGTCAAGAAAAGATATCCCGAGGGGCTCGCGATTCTCACCGAAGAATATCAGGAGAGTAGGCCGAAAACGCAAGTCAACAGGCCAACGAGTCCAGAAACCCTTGCCCAGGTTGGTGATTCCTACCCTCCTTGGGATCGCGGACAGAGTTTCATACTTTCCGCTTGCTCTATCCTAAATGACATTTCGAATCCAACTGATTCATCAAAAACGTCAGGAGCTGCGGCTCATCATGAAAGACCTGGACGAGGGAGCCTCGGCATTGTCCGCGGTCGGGCGTTACGCCCTAATCGAGCAGTTCCTCGATGCCTTGGTGTACGCGTTCTACGCCCGCACGGAGATCGTCTGTTATTTGGGCATAGTCTACAATCAGATCTGCACAGCGACTCTACTCTCGCTGCCGTTGCCGCTGATGGTATTTCTTTGGGGCTCACTATCCGTCCCGAGACCGTCGAAGACATTTTGGATCACGATCATCACCTACACGGAAGCAATCGTGGTCGTGAAGTATCTCTTCCAATTCGATTTCTTCATGTGGGAAACGAGCTCCTCCAAGAACGCACTCGATCCGCCGAGGATGCTCGGGGTTGAAAAACGCAGCGATGACCCGAACTATGCGCTATACGACCTCCTGCTGCTCTTCCTAGTTTTCCTGCATCGGTTCGTTCTCAAGGTGAGATCTTGGCGGTACGTTCCCCCTCTTTCAACGGAGAGCACTGGCGACCCATGAACACTAACGAGATAATTTTCGCGTGAAGAGTCTTGGTCTGTGGAAAGACACAGATCGAAGCTTCCGGGGAGCACCATCGTCCCAGCCTCCGGTCAACGTTGGAAACATTGACAACCACGACGCGAACCAGGAGCAGCTGACCCCGGGCTCGGGAAGCTTCGAAGAAGTCCCAGCTGTGGGACCGATTCGTATGAAACGTCACGACGATACTTCTTCCGAAGAAGGTGATGGATTCCACGAAGACTGCGGGGAAGATCATGAAGATGAAGATTACGATGACCTCGCAAAGGCCGAGTCGAAGTCTCTGTGGAAAAGGTGGGAAGACAGCGATGATTCTTCGATTTTTTCTCCAGGCCTGATAGGAATCAATTCGTCAGTCGCTAGTCGATACCCTCTTGAAACTTTTAATGCCTTCCCGTTCCAGCATACAATATTATTTATCACCATTCAAGTCCTTCTTCAAAAATCTTCTGCATCCGCCGTACCAAGTAGCCGTGGACGTTTACGCCTGGATGTTCTTCTGTGATTTCTTCAACTTTTTCGTGATGGTCTTCGGATACTGGGCCTTCGGTACCAACGGAAAGGAGGAGGGAGTATCGGAATACTTCGAGAAAAACGAGGTTCCGATACCGTTTCTCTTCATGTTGCTATTCCAATTCGCCCTGATCGTCATCGATCGCGCTCTATACCTGAGGAAGTTCATTGGCGGTGAGCATTCGGGGATAAATGCATGAATACATAGGTAGCGCTAGTCCCAGACTCGATAATCTTAAGACAATGATTGCCCGAGTCAACTTGAGACAATCTTATGCATTCGGAGGGCACGGGGGTTGGGTGTGGAGACTTACTTTCGGAGCCCTTTATATCCTCCCGCAGGAAAATTGATATTCCATCATCTCATCGTAGTCATCATCCACGTATGGATGTTCTTTTTGCTGCCCGCCATTAGTCAGGTCGGCGTCACAGAGAAGCACAATATGCCCCCGAGATTGTGGTATTTCACAAAATGTATCTACCTCCTCCTGTCTGCTTATCAAATCAGATGCGGATACCCGTCGAGGATCCTCGGAAACTTTTTCACAAAACAGTACAATTACTTGAACTATTTCCTCTTCAAGTGGTGAGTTTATCCGCCAGTCGGCTCGTGACCCGTTCGTTTCCTGATGGGATTAGATTCCGTACGTCTTTATTTGCCAACCCTCGATTCCATCGGCAGCTACTTGTTGGTTCCGTTCTTCTATGAGCTGCGTGGTTTAATGGACTGGATATGGACCGACACCACCATGACCCTGGTCAATTGGTTCAAGATGGAAGACATTTTCGCCAGTATATTCCAGTTGAAGTGCCAACGTCGCGCCGAAGCAGACTACCCGAACGCTCGGGGCGAGAAGCGGTCTTCGCTCGTCAAGTACGGCATGGGCGGAACCTTGTTATTCCTGATAATTCTCATCATATGGTTCCCTCTCTTGCTCTTCTCTCTTGGCAACACCGTTGGCGTATCTCTGCCGCCGGACGAATGCCGGATGCAAGTGAGCATCGGAGGCTACGAGCCGCTGCTCATGATCTCGGCGCGAGATAGCCATGTTCATCAGATACCCACGTCCGCTTTCGACGCTCTCAACCGCATAGCGAAAACTCACGCAAAAGCTAAAAACTTCCTCGAGAACTACGCTCAATCCGACGTGGTCGTGGTCATGCTCAACGGGAACTCGACAGCGATCTGGGGCATATCGCCCCCGTCGCAAGAACAATTACGGAGGGACTTGCTCAACACGACGACGAAGCTCGAGCTTTCAATGAAGATCACCTTCTTCAGAGAGTCCAAAGATTCGAAAACTAACCCGGTAAATCAATAACGCCGCAATTGATCGCTGCCAGGCTCCCGGAGGAGCTTCTGCTCCCGATTCCCTTCTATCGTCAGGCTATGAAAATGCTGCTATCAGAGATAACTCCCTAACTTGTCCATATCGACAAAGAAAGCTCCCGGTATTACAGGCCGTCGGAGAGAAGAGTCAGGGACCCGCTTATCATCCGGTATGTGAAGCCGGAATCTAGTTTTGTATTGAAGACGCTGCTCTCGCAGATCTCGGAAATTCAACTTTACCAATCTGCGAATTCGAAGGGGGGACTCGGCGTCACCCTCGATTGCTCGACCCAGGTTTCCCGGACTTATTTGCAATATGAACTCGTTTCAATCCTCAGAAGTCTACAGTGGAGGTGCGCGAATTTCTCGTTGACAAGGGTGCCCGAGATCAGATGGCGGCAATGTTAGCTGACAGCCCTTTGAGGGAGAACGGCGATCCAAGAGAAGTGATTCTGCCCGAGCTCCTACCCACCTTCATCAGGGTCCCGAGGAGAGGTGCCGCCGAAAAAGCTTCAGAACTGAACGACCTGACTCTCGAACGAGAGACCAATCCGAGTGAGTGTTCCACGAAAAAATGGATACAGGTTCCCCTTTTTGCGACATGAAGGATCGGCAACGTTTCCAAAAACTATACCGAGACGATTTCCTTCGGTCCCCCAGCTGGCCTACGAAATTTGAGCATAAAATTGTGGCACAGTAAACTGAAGTCGACGGTACAAGGTGAATGGTGGGAAGTTAAAGCTGAGCCTTGCACGAAGGATGGTCCTTATCCTTACCTACCGTATCCGGACGTGTGCCGGTACTTGACGGTTGTCGTCTTCGTTGACAAAGTTTTCCCGCGGTCGTTATCAAAATTCTCATCTTACGGGTGAGCATAACGACGACCTTGCGCTGAAATTGACAGCTGATTTTCGGGGGCGAAATCCTGCCACGAAATTCGATTTCGTATCGTATGCGCGCATCACCGGATCGCTATGAACCTCCGTGAATTCTTTCCGCAGAATTGTCGGACTGTATACCACTTTCGTGCTGTTGGTCTCTCGTTTTCTCCGGGGTTTCGTCGGGAACACATCAGCGAAAATTATATTCGACGACATGCCCAACGTCGATCGTATCCTACAGCTTTGCATGGACATTTACCTTGTGCGAGAATCTAGAGAACTTGCGCTCGAAGAAGACCTCTTCGCGAAACTCGTTTTCCTATATCGGTCACCGGAAATTCTCATTAAGTGGACTCGTATGACGCGTCAACCATCAAGTCCATCGCAGAAGCGACGAGACGGGGGACCGCTGAGAGTAGGACGAGAGCCTCATCAGGCGCAAGGCGAAGCGCGTACGCGGAGACTCCCACATAATCAGGAATATTGGCTGCGTTCCAGACCGAAGAAGCAGCGATCATGATGATGGATGGAGCTAGTCATATGTATTGTATATATATCGGATGATTGGAAATGTGTAAAATATATGTGCAGTGGAGGCTATCGTTTCTCAGAAGTACGGATCGTGTCTTTTTGGAAGCGTGTGCTCATTTTTGAGCGCCAGGCAGTCCTCAAGACCGTCATTGGTTTTTAGATGTTCTCCGAATAAGACCTGAGATCTTCCAGGATTCGGCTTGAGTTGGGGAGGGGAGTTCCCGCTCCATCGGAGTTCAAAGTAGGGTTACCATTTTCGAGGGGGAATTTTCACCGGATCTTGTTCTCTTGGATTGATCAACAGGAACTCCTCTCGATTGGACCAGAGTGAGAGAAGAAATCCGAGAAGGGACTTCGCCGGCTCTATCGACTCGCCTCTTCTTTCCGTTCCGCGATATTCCCTCACGGTAACCTACGTGGGCAAGTGCGCGGAGCATGGGCGGAAAATTTTCGCGTCGTTATTTGAACTGTGGATGCCTCGGTGCCGAGAGTATTCACAGGTTCTATCGTGATAAAAAGTACATGGAAGAAGAAGAATCGCTCAAGTTTCAGAGTCACCGTTACTCACAGCGGAGAGTTGAAATGGTCTGAATTCATGCTCAAGGATCTGGGCTTGAACGATTGGCGACAAAACGTTGCAACCCTCCCCAGAGAACCACTAGATGCCAGAGATGGGGAGCCCTCTTCCTCGCCGGCAGTCCGGCTGACCCTGTGGTGGTTCTTGGATCACGAGTGTTCTCTCAAGCAACGAAATTCGATGCCCCAAGCAGTTCGAATCGGACGGATTTAAAAATTGAGGGAACCAGATTGGATCGAAAAAATTGAATAAGACAAATCTCTGCTGAGCGAATGATCGGAGTTCCCTCGCATAGAGACGGAATGCTGAGGATACATCACGGATGAGGTTTTCCCTGAAAAACCTATGAACCATCGCTCGCGATGATGATTATGCGTTTGGAGATCGAGAATGACTCTTTATCTCTACCGAGTCTCCTTCGACTCTGAAATGATTTGAGGAACGGATTTGAAGAAACCTCGTATTCGAGTTGGACCTTGAACAGTTGCCCTCCGTGTAGATTATCTTTATCTTAGGCCATCTTTTCCTATGACTCTTCCACCATTTCCTCCTACCTTCTCTTCAGTCCCCCTCCCCATTTTCGCACTCGCAGTTCCTTTTGAGAATTATAAGGTCACCTCTTTGCGAGCTGCTACACCAAAAAAAAAAGACTACCACTCCTCGGATATCTCAATCCTGTTCTCCTGGTACCTGAATATGGGCACTCGACCACAGCTTGAGGAATGCGTGCGGCCGCGACCTCGACATCCTCTCAATGCCTCAGAGCTGATGGAGTTCATTGATCGAAACCTATCTATCTCTTCGAAATTAATGATTCGTGCAGGTGAGAGATGACAGCTTTCGCTAAATTTAATATACACACATTCTCAACCATCCCATATATACACTTCATCTGACTAGCTCTATCCATCATCATGATTGCTGATTTTTTGTTTGAAGGCAATCACTGTTGTTGAGTAGGCAGTGGTCTCCGCAGACGCGCCTCCCCTTGTGGCTGATGGGGCTCCCTTTCTGCTCTCGGTGGTCTCTCGCCTCCTCGGTTCTGCGGTGGACTCGATTGCTGAGGCACCATTCGGGTCCACTTTATGAGAGTTTCTGGTGACCGATAGAGGAAAACGAGTTTCGCGAAAAGGTCTTCTTCGAGCGCGAGTTCCTTGGATTCTCGTACCAGATAGATATCCATGCAGAGCTGCAGGACACGGTCGACATTGGGCATGTCGTCAAACATTATTCGCGTTGAAGTGTTTGCAATGAATCCTCGGAGGAAGCGGGAGACCAAGAGCACGAATGTAGTATACAGTCCCACGATACTGCGAATAGAACGAATATTAGAGTATACCGGGGAAAGTGCATCAATTAGGACGCCTTTCCGGCGAGAGTCCGGTCGGAGCCGGAAAGCCTCGAGCCTAGGACAGTGAGTTCGAAAGTAAATTCATTTGATATTCACCCATATGATGAAACTGTTGAGAGTGCTTGAGGGAAGACTTTGTCAGCGAAGACGACCACCGTCAAGTACCGACATACGTCGGGATACGGTAGGTACGGGTAAGGACCATCCTTCGTGCAAGGCTTAGATTGAACTTCCCACCATTCACCTTGCAGCGTCGAGTTCGGCTCACTGTACAACAACTGGACACTGAGGTTTCGCAGGCCGGCTGTTAGAACGAGAAAAAGAATTCAAGTGAACTCCGCTCCTTGGCGAGACAGTTAGCCGTGTCGAATCTTATCAGATGCAAGGTGCAGTCGTGGCGGTCGATACTTCGACTCGGAGCACTCACTTGGATCAGGGTTTGCCTTATCGAGATTCAGCTCGTTCAATTCTGAAGCTTTCTCTGCAGGACCCTTTCTCGGAACTTTGATGTACGTAGGTAGCAGCTCGGGCAAAATAGCTTCCTTGCGGGCATCGTTCGCCTTCTTTGCATCCTTGGCTAACATCGCCGCCATCTGGTCCCGAGCGACCTTGTCATCGAGTGTATTGCGCACCTCCAGCGTTGTCGTCTGTGGATCGGAATCGCCGCCTTATAGCTTCCAGAATTGAAAATCGGAAAGACTAGAGAACAGAGATCATTCATTAGCCCAACCATGGGAGAAGCCGACTCCGTTTCGATTTGTTCTCATTAACGAGAGAATTCCCCCTATTAGTGCGGAAACGACCTATCGACGTGGGAGCATGCCATGATATCACGGGGATGGTGGGTCTCACATGCTCTAAGCGGGAAACATTAGAGAAGGGTTTTAAATTTAGAAACAGTCTCGTGCGCTCGAAGTTGCTCTTCGTCAGGGGTTAGAAGAATATTCAACCCTTATTTTATTTACCGTCTGATATGCGGATTTATCGCTTTTTTTTTCGATGCCTGCAATGTCGGCGGTGTGGTTCTTAGCGAAGCAAGCAAGTGTCCTCCTCTATCAGAACTGCACTATCGACGATTAAATTACTGATCGATTATAGCCAATCAGTTTCCTTAATTGAGGGGGTTCCGGGATCGCTGATCCACCTTTCCGGGGAAACCATCCGGAAAACCTACACGCCTGATCGGCAGCGACGAGGTGCTCTACCGATAAGCTATCAGAAAGAAAGCATCGAGGATGGGGAAAAAATGAGCTATATTGAGTAGAGCCTGCGGTTTCAAGCATTTATCACTTTTTCATTAATTAATTGTAATTGATGAATAATTTTTTTCCAATTTTTCTTTCAATACTCCCCAGGGAAATTGAAGAAAAACATGGAGAAAGAATATATATTCATCCCTGATTATGAAATAATGAAGAAACCATAATTGCTTGAAGCCACGGGCTCTGATAATAATGAGGCTCTCGAAAGAATGCTCTTGGGCCTGAAGACGCCTCGATAGCTTCACGGAGGAGCGGAGCTTCCCGGACTAGGCTCCCTGGGACTCAAGGAACGACACCGATAACTCGAGATTGTTCGATATTCAAATGCGAAGGAATTCCTAAGCGTGCCCACAGGACTTTGGGTTGGTCCCTATGCGTGACTTACCGGATCAGCGTCCGAATCGTTCTTCTCCCTGTAGAAGGTGAGTTTCATCTTGAGCTCTAGTTTTGTTGTCATGTTGAGCAGATCTCTCCGGAGCGCTTCTTGCGAAGGCGGCGATATGCTCCATACGGCAGTGGAATTTCCGTTCAGCATCGCAACGACCACGTCAGATTGGACGTAATTGTTGAGAAAGTTTTGAGCTTTTGCATGGAATTTCGTCGCACGGTAGAGTGCGTCGAAAGCCGTGCTGGAGATCTGTTGAACATTGTTTTTCTGGGCCGAAATGGTGAACAGCGGCTCGTAGCCGCCGATGCTCAATTGAATCTGGCATTCTTGTGGGGGCAGGGAGTGGCCCACAGTGTTGCCGAGGGAGAAGAGCAATAACGGGAACCATATTATGAGGATGATCAGGAATAATAAGGTTCCTCCCATGCCGTACTTGATGAGCGAAGACCGTTTCGAGCCTCGAGGAGTCGGGTACTCTTCTTCGGCACGACGTTGGCACTTCAACATGAATATATTGGCAAATATGTCTTCCATTTTGAACCAATTTACCAGGACCATACTAGTGTCGGTCCATATCCAGTCCATCAAGCTTCGCAGTTCGTAGAGGAATGGCACCATCATATAGCTACGGATTCGGAGAAAGAGCAGAATTGAGAATGATTCGCCGCAACGAGATTGAAATCGTGTGATGGATCGTCAGAGCATGTGCGGTACGGAGGAACTCACCCTTTGAAGAGGAAATAATTTAAGTAGTTGTACTTCTTCGTGAAGAAGTTTCCGAGAATTCGGGTAGGGTATCCACATCTGATTTGGTAGGCGGACAGAAGGAGGTAGATGCATTTCGTTAAGTACCACAATTTCGGTGGCAAATTGTTCTTCTCGGCGAAGCCTGTCTGACTTATTGCCGGTAAGACAAAGAACATCCAGACGTGGATGACGACCACGATGAGATGTTGGAAGATGAGTTTGCCTGAGAAGGGTGAAAAACTCGGTTCTCAGGTCCTCCGGTAGTGGTGAAGATCCGAGCCCAGTCGCCCAGGTCCCAACTATTCTGAAGAACTGAAGGTTTGAGATACCGGTGAGAACTCTCTGTATCACTTACCACCGATGTATTTTCTGAGGTATAGGGCCCGGTCGATTACGATTAGGGCGAATTGGAACAGCAGCATTATGAGGAATGGTATAGGGACCTCGTTTTTCTCGAAGTATGCTGTCACGCCCTCCTCCCTACCGCCGGTGCCGAACGCCCAATACCCGAAGACCATGACGAGAAAGTTGAAGAAGTCGCAGAAGAACATCCACGCGTAAACGTCAACAGCAACTTGATACGGGGGATGTAGGAGGTTTTTGAAGAATGACTTGAACGGAGTCAAGTAATGTTGCATGCTGGAAGATACAAACCGTCAATCGCGCCCGAACGAGCTCCTTCAACGATGTGGAGCGAGATCGGACTCCGTGGAGCAGGGAGAAAAGTCTGGTGAATCGATTACCTTGCGAACAGGGAGCTCGTTTTGATCAAAGCGGAGTCTCCGGTATCTTCACCTTCTTCGTCATCTCCGCATTCATCATCGGACACGTAATCTGTGTCCGAGAAGGTGTCGTCGGGATCTCTGTTCTTCGGTCTTACAGAGGGGGCTTTCGCTGCGTCAACCTGATTTCTCGGTTTCAGCTGGGCGTCGACCGGGTCCTTTGTGATTTCCTGGTGAGGCTTCTCGACTTCTTTCGGCGCTGGAAGCGTTGCCGTCTCGTCGCTGAAGCTTCGATCCGTGTCTTTCCATAGACCCAGGCTCTTAAAGATTCAATCCGGTTTCGCATGAAAACTCGGAATTCTCGCGAGCCCGAGTCTGACTGGAGAGACCCGAGGCTGCGTCGGTGAGAGGCGGAATATTTCAGGACTCTTGCCTACTCACCTTGAGGACGAATCGATGCAGGAACACCAGAAACAGCAGCATAAGGTCGTACAGGGCGTAGTTTGAGTCGTCGCTGCGTTTTTCGATGCCCAACATTTTCGGCGGATCGAACGCGGTCTTGTAGGAGTTCGAATCCCATTTGAAAAAGTCGAACTGGAACAGATACTTGACGACTACGATTGCTTCCGTGTAGGTGATGATCGTGATCCAGAATGTTTTCGATGGCCGGGGGACGGATAGTGAGCCCCACAGGAACACCATCAACGGTAGCGGGAGCGAGAGCAGAGTCGCTGTGCAGATCTGATTGTAGACTATTCCTAGATAGCAGACGATTTCCGTGCGTGCGTAGAACGCGTATACCAACGCATTGAGGAACTGCGCGACGAGAGGTTCTCGCTTCTCCGCGAACTCTGCCAAAGCTTCCTCGCTCAGGTCCTTCTTGATCTGCAGTAACTCCTGTTAAGGTCGAGGTCGAAAATCACGTCGGGTTAGAGTACACTTCACACGCATTCGCTGGTCAGCAAGGAGGGCACGAGTTTAGATTTGCAATCGAGCTGTCTTCCAAGACGCATGCAATTAGAGCAAAAACATGGGAGAACCCCCGGAGATGATTAGCAACCGACCTGGGCAAGTCCCTCCTGACTCGACGGCCTGTACATGGGCGCCCTCGGCATTCGTGCTTGGTATTCCTCGGTCAGAATGGCTAATCCATCAGGGTATCTCTGCTTGACGAGCTCCTTGTCCTTGTCCAGCAGCTTCGCTACTTCACGATAGCCTCCCGAAAACGAGTGCAGTTTAGCCGTTGCGCTGACCAACATACTATCGATGAGCGTTCTGGTGATCTCGATGTACTTGGCCAGTTTTTCCTGCCATGTGACTTCAGAGCGAAGGAATTCTGTTAGTGGCTCCTAGAGGAATCACCGAGCGCCCAGAAGCCGGGGAAGCGTATCGAAGGTGAATACTTACGTTTTGGGCCTTCTTCAACATCGCCCATGGGTTCCCCATCCGCATTGATCGGCGGAATCGGGCTCTGAGTTGGACCTCTAGGGGAGACCGCGCTCCTAGTATCGGTGACATCGAAGCTAGGAGCATCCCGTTGAGTCGATGGTGTTGAGGTTGCAGGCCGAGTAATTACTGTCGACGGCTGCGGATCGATGATCAAGTTATTGAGTTTCTTATGCCGTCACTCGATCTGCGGAGCTGCCGATGAAGTGTCGAGGAGCACAAACCCTCAGGTCTATCCATGCATTGGACCGACTCGAACAGGGTTCGACACGTCACAAGCGGGATACCTCTTAAACTCGAGTCCGATCTTTCGATTGTCTTTTTTGGTATACAGAAAAACTCTGAAGCAGGGTGGGGGGAGGCTGAGTTATCCCAAACAATCGGATCAACGAACAAATTAGGTATTAGTTCGGACGCTTGGAAAATCCAACACTCTGCCGCTTGTCTGTATACCTGGAGAGGACCTAGGAGCCTTGAGCCACCGATAACCTCCCATTTCTGCAATTTCACTGGCGCTCAGATTCATCAGGAAGAATTATTATCGACCGCCCGGTCTTCCCAAACGTATATGTTTTTCTCATTGCATCGCGCCTGTCACTAGGGATGGTCTCCAGGTCCGGGAGTTACTAGACATATAGCTCTACTCACGAAGGAGGTGGAAGCCTGAGAATGGGTTTGAGATCGCATCGTGCGATCTATCGATATGATGGCGCTCATTCCGGAAGAATCACCGATATCTTCGCCAGTTTCGGTGCGAGCTCGGGCTCGGAGAGCAGTCGATCCTTTGATCATGTTCGACAGCACAGCGTTCAAACCCTGGACGGAGAAGATTCGGAGAATCGTAGCCTCCACATCGACTGCTCCCACTGCTCCGATGTCATAAAATATTCTGCGGTCGTTGGAGGGCTCACCTTGGTCTTGACATCAAAGTCATCAGCCGATTCTTCTTTCGACGATTTCACGTTCAAGTCCAGAGGTTCCAGCTCGTAATTATCCTCAAAGAGATCGTAATCTCCGGATCGAATGGCTGTAAGCATTCCCTGACGTCAGTTTCAAGAAAGACCCTCAGAGGGATGCTCGATGCCGTGCTCGTTTCAGTGGAAAAGAGACATAGGAAAAACTGGTGCGAAAGCAAAATAAAAGAATTTGGCTTGGAAAAATTTTGTGCGATCTCGATTCGAACTGGTGCGAAAATCGTGGAGACAACTCCTAAGCTCTGTATCTCCTGGGCGGTCAACAGATACTCCGGATCCTGATCATGAGTCCAAGGCAGTCCACTCGCACGTTTTTGGAATTTCCGGGAAATTCTTCCCGTTGGCCCGGGTCGACGAAAGGGCAATCGTTTTAGGCCATCGACCGGATTGCTTTAATCTTCGGAAGCTTTAATGATCACTTTTCTCCTCCATTTCTGTCGTTCAGTTTAGGCGGGAATTTGAGCTCGCAGGCCGACTCGAACGACGTTCGACAATTTTTCGTCTTACAGGCTGCATGAGAACTCGGTGAAACGGTGAATGTGCTTCTCCTAGACAGAATTTGAGACGTCGTCTCAACCATATGGGCTTGATTTGGATCGCAATACGAGTCCAGATAGGCCGTCCAGCCGGCGCTCACGGGGGACATCGTGAGAATCGTCGTCGGCGACGGTGGAGGCAGCGATGAGCTCGATGACTCGCTTTTCTCAGGGGTCGAGTAGGACGCGTAGTCCTCTGGAGATGCCGCGGGTCCTTGAGGTTAGTCTCGGACATCTTCCCTTGATAGCGGACGCGACCGGAGTAATTCCCGATCCTCCAACCAACTTCTCGTAGGCTTACCTTGAACGTGAGTTTCTGGTTCGACGTATTCGCCCTCACGCTGCTTCCGCTGGTTTTCTCGAATGCGATCCATCTTCATGCGGATCTTTTCCATGATTTCATGTTCTTCCTCGCGCTGCTGTTTGACTTTTTCCATTTGCAAGAAGTGAATGACCTCAGCTCCCCGCGAGCTGAGTTCTTGCTGCGCCAAGATCTCGATAATCAAATGGTGGAAATAGTATGAGGTGAAGAGCCTCCTTTGTAGCAGGAGGAATCCGAAACAAATGCCGTCCCACAGCAGACCCGCTTCTGCGGTGGGAACGTTGCATTCCGCAACCTGTCAAAGCAGAGGGGAAGCCATTCTGTGAAATCTGATGGCAGCAGGCCATTAATCGAGAGAAATCGCAGGAGAAGAGTCTCCGGTGCTTATTAGGCACCGATCGGAAACGGGAATCGCGGGATTTCTCGACGCCCCGATCTCACTCACAATTGTGTTGTACATCGAAGTTTTCTTCGGACCAACTTTCTTGAGACATGCTATCCCTAGCAGCTGCACCAGCCAGCAGGCGTTGTATGCCATTTCCTGTAGATAAACACAGCCGAGAACCTGCCGAAAGAGAGGAAATCAAGAGCCCGCCGAAATCAGGTTTCACCCGAAGCGGGTTGGGGCGGGAGATTCTGGATAATCGATCTCAGATAGAGCTGCGGGCCCGGAATTGTTTTTCATTGTTGCGAAGGATTCGGCATTCGACGGAATCGAATGCCGGAAGCCCGCACATGGGACGCAGGAGAATAGCCGAGAGAATAAGGGTCGGAGGTCAAGCGCACCTGCAGTATGCACTTCATGAGGATCACAGTAACGTTGAATGCCATGAGGGAATTCCACCAGCTCAGAAGTGTCTTGATTGGCTTCAGATAGAACTCGTTGCCGTTCCAGAGGAAGAAGAAACAACCCAAGATATAGAAGAGGGCGAATAGCGATATCCGGTTCGTTCCAGCGAGATACATGACCGCCAAGGTAATCCAGTAGAAAAGGAACAGGACGCCAGTTTTCACACGATTGAAGTATGCTTTGTCGCCGATGAATCTCGGCACGGGGTTCGGTCTTTCGCCGATATAATCACCCTTGGGATCATAGATCTCGCTATTACTCCCGGCGGGGTGAGCAGCACCCTCTGCGGCTTCTGTGTTGAACACGATCAGCTGACTGCACGATACGATCAGTTGCAGGCAGTCGACTGAGTCAAGAAAGAGAGGAAGCTTCGTTAGTTCAGTCCTGACCGTAGGTTGTCAGCGTTGATTAATGTCGACGCCGCTTACCAAGAATTTTGCGATGTGAAGAGCGATTCCTATAGTCTGGTAGGAACAGCCATTCGACAGCTTCTTTCATTTTTTCATTCTCGCTGTACCAAGGATACTCTGAGAAGGAAGGAAAGCGTTCGAGATACCGCCTCCTCAGGGATCATGATGATTATTATCCTTCTACCACACGATTAGGTCTCTGATTTTTCCTCACCGATACACAGCCCTGGGGGCAAGCCGACCGACACGAGGTATTGCAGAGGTATCGCAATACAGAGGTAGATCACATAGAATGGCCATACTCGCGCTAGAGTATTCCTCCGCAGAAGAAACATGCAGCAGAGCCAAAAGGCTGTAACAAGGGCGTAAACGTCCAGACGGAATCCGATGCAGCCGACCATGGTAACGAGACAAATCTCGATACCGAACTTGAAGAACGTGTAATTGACTAGAAACTTGAAGCAACTGGTGAAATCCTGGTCGGCCATCCTGCGAGTAACTCCTGGCCAAACGACGCCTAGGGGCGGTTCCGGAGCTGCTCTGAGGTGCCGATCGAACCATTGATGGGTTTTCACCATGGCGTTCAAGGTGAATAAAGTGATCAGTGCGATGTAACCTTTACAGTAACTTGTCAAGTGGTCCGTTTTCGTGAATCCGATCCATTCCCTGCGGAGCGGCAATCCTTTCTTAAGTCAAATATATATTGTATAATACGCCGAGAATTTGATTCCCGTCATGTTGCACGGGGTGGACGCTCGGCGCGAGGCTTCCGCCGAGTATTCCGGCGACCTTTACCTGTTGTCGATGACAGTGTTGAACGGGAACGGGAAGGGACCGGTGGAGTTCAGACCGTAGACGCTATCACACTTGGTTTCCCAACCGATACTATCGACGAATTTCAGTTGATAGATCATCTTCGACACGAGGAGAATCGCCGTCCACAGTGCGCAACAGTGTGCCATGAATTGATGGAGGCTACGCAACGGAAGTGCGACAACTACTAGAGCCATGTAAAGTATGTGCACGGCGCAAACGTCGTATACGCAGAGCAGGAAGACGGCGAGGAACATTATCTTCGCCAAGTGAATCTCCAACAGTCGCCAGACGACTCGCTCGAATTCGCTGAGATATATTTTGAGTTTTTCCAGCTTCAGCATCTTTGTCAGTTTGGCTTCTGCAGGAACGTTGTTCATTGTAGCGAGACTTTTATGCGCAGCTAGAATCAAGGTGTTAACTTCTATTAAGATCTACTCACTACACATCAATGGTCGTCCCAACCTCCTGACAGTGGGCTAAGGGATGGGTAGAATTTCCCTACCATCGCCTAACAGAAAATCCCTCGACCATCGGAGGATGAGGAACTCACCCTGTTGCTCTATTTTGCTGCCATTGAACCTCTCCTTCGAGATCACGGTGTCCGGGGTGGGAGGCTCTGGACTGTCGTCGTCCGTCACTTCGTCAATATGAATGACGGTTCTGTTGTCCACCGTGGGACTCGACACTGTGGAATCGGTCAGAGGTGCTCGATCTCCTCGGTAGGCTTCCATGTTCAGCCGAATGAAATCTTTGTGGAAGTAGTGCAGTTGGATGATGGTCACGATCAGGAATATTGTCGGTGTCAAAAGTTTGAGCAAAAGCGATCCCGGATCTGAATCGTATAGTTCCAGACCGATATCCTGCTGCATCTCCCGTGAAATGTGAAGATGGACTTCCCAATAGTGGGTGAAGTTTTCAAACTGGTACGTGTATATCAAAATCAGGACCATCATCGAATAGATGATGACGGTCAAGAGAAATCCGTACATAACTTTGATCCAGATCCGATACGAAAACTGTTGACGGAAATCAAAGAGGTTCCCCATGAGTTATGAATCATAAGGCCAAGGAAACATATTCGGAATATCGCATGAAGTTCACCACACCGAGGATAAGGTGGACAAGACGGGGAAAGAGGGAAAAACGCAGTCACCTGGTATATAAGGATGAAGAAGAGGAATAGGACCATGTAGACTATCCGGTACAGGACCACTCGGTCACCACCGAGCGATATTACGAACAGCATCACGGCTACAACCCATATCCATAAGCGCACGAGTATATTCCTGCAGAGTTGGCCGAGCTTCTTCATGTGGAGGTTAGTACCGACGAGAGCCGTTGACGTTGACCCTCGTTGCTGAGTGACTTCACGAACTTCGTCTTGCTCTTGACGTCTCATCTCTCGCTTCTGCTCGACGTACTGTTTTAGCGTCAGCCAGAACACCACCGTGTAGAGAATCTTTGTTCCCAAATGCTGTGGAATCAGGATGGCATCAGATTGCAGTCCCTTCATCAAAGGAGGGTTCAAGAGCCCTCCGGGTCGCGCGATCTGATTTCGATTCGCTGACTCAGTAACTCACTCTGTAGCTGTTCGTTCCGTGCTTGACGAAACCGACTTGATTGAGATTGATTTTGCCGATGTGCGTCGGCAGTTCCTGATCGGTCAAATCGAGCGAGTAGATGAATTGGAATATAAGCAAGATCTCAGCGTACAGGACGAGGGCGGGCGAGTTCTTGAGACAGGCCTGACGTGAATTCGGCATCATCCATAAAAGACACGACCAGAAGAGTAAGATGAAGGTCAACCAGCTATGGTATGTGATACTCCACGCCTATGGAAATATTCAGCCTTTTAGTCTCTGTCACTTCCTTCATGCAAAACCAATAACATCTAATGCTCCGGGGAGAATCGCTCACCATCATGATGATTAAAGTGATGACGTAGCTCCCCTTGAGGAGAAACGCGACAAAGTGCTGCAGGACTGCATACAGCTGACGCCATCTACCCGCGAGACTACTGCTACAGTTCCGACTCTGCTGCGATTGCAATTGCGAAGCGTGTGAATTTTCTTGACCACCACCGTTTTCATCTGCCGCTCCCGAGTGCCAAACTGAGCTCCCGGGAGCGTCGACGGTGAGGGTCCGATGCGATGGACTGATGCTTTCGTAGTTCCTTTGTTCATTCTCCAGCAACTGAGTGAGCGGGGATATCAAAAAGCGATATGAGTGCCTCGTGGGTTTTACCGGGAGCCGGTCGAGAGCCGGAGAAAATCCCCAAAGACTGAAGGCAAGAAACACTCGGATCGGAACTCACGTTGGAATCAGGCCGTTCGCTCCTTCGTCGACGTAATGCAGCCGAAGTGTGGCTCCTCTGAGAGCCTCTCTTCGACTCACCCGAAGGAAACAGGGACTGCGATCTTTTACCCAATCTTCGAGCGACGGCAGCTGCCGGTACGTTCGGCAGCTGGAAGACACCCACGTAACGTGTCATGGTGCACGCGGTGAAATAGAACACAAGAACCGAAAGCGGGTGGATGAAGAGCGTCCAGTTTCTGTCGTAGAATATCAGGTCCCGAACATCGGGGATGAGAGCGTCCGCCGATGACGAGTTACAAGCCGGTACACGAAGAGCGATGAAACCGACGAGTCTGGAAAGTTCCTCGTTCGGAAAGTCCATAGAACTGTTCTGATAGGGGCTCAGCTCATAATTCGCCTCCCGTAATTATTGTTAGATGGGTAACTCCATTACCTGGCGTTGAGACCATCGGCTTCGATGAATTCTTGTGAATAGTCGAACTGATATATGTAGAGCGCAATGAAGTGGAAGGCGGCGAAAATCATCAAAAAAGTTCGCAGGCTCCGATAGCCGACGCCTAGGCCCTTAGAGCAACCTAACCACGTCGCGACCCCGAGGAAGGCTTGAAGAGACAATTTTGTTTGTCAATGGGAGGGATACGCGCGAGAGCTCCTCGGTCAGGATTGTGGCGCCCTCCTTCATCTCTTGAGATCGATCGACTCACCGAGAAAGTATACCAATGAGAACATCGAAGCATGGGAGATCCCTGCTGACGCCATCGTCAGGAGGACGACCAATTCTCCCAGTAGTGACAAAAGATCCGATCTCCCGAAGTATTTGTTCTGTCTGACCGATCCCAACAGCGGCGAATGTGCGCCATTGCGTTCTCGAAGAAACTGTTTGGAGCAATTTTATCCTCAACGGCAAGTCATGGATGTTCCTTCTTATATGGCATCTCATGGACGAATTCTCGGATATCGAAATCACAGAATGCAACGAGACTTTGACGCTGTCAACAGACGCAGTTCCACGCTGAATTTGTTAGGCTACGAACCTGTTGATCTAGCTTGTCGCATAGCACGTATACCAGCGTAGAAAACAGCAAAACGGCAAAGTCCGTCAGGAGAAGCCGAACGCAATCCATAAACGAGATCCCGTTGAGACGGTGCAGTCCGAAAAGCGTATATAGTCGCTGTTCCAATCCGCCTGGAAGATCACATATTTTATGGAGCTTGATCGATGAAAATATCCCCCCGTCCTACTGGTTTCATCTGTCGCTGAAAGTACAACATCGCCTCGTCGAAAGCTTCCGATTCGGGTGTTCCCGTTCATCTGCTCATCGCCTGCCGACTACTTTTCCACTGCGCCCATCAGTCGATCTTCTAACTCGATTGCTAAAGAGGGAAATGCGACGATCGCATCCTCGATTCCTGCAGTGGAAGCGGACGAGCGGGATCGCTCTCAAGACCGGGTTTGAACGGACAAAACAGCGGAAATGGAGAAATGACTGGACTAGCTCATCTAGTTGTTCCTCGGAGCTAGTCATGCCTTGGAGAGAGCCTGAATGACGTGAATTATTTAGAGTTCAATACTTGTAGACTCCATGGATGGCTCGGAGCCACATCGCCATGAATTTCGTCCGTCGTGGAGTGCTCTGTCATGAGTAATTATGCTTGAGCTTGTATGGAAGGATGACAACCGAGAATAAGTCGGTCTGACTGCTCTGCCTTTTCAGAGCGCGGCGATCCCTTCTCGCGGATGATTTGCCCTCCCAATGGCGAGGAGCTAAGTTCCGGAAACCCGGAACCCTAGCGAGAACCGGTCAATGTTCGGGAAACGCCTCAACTGATCGACTGCACGATAGGCTCGCCTCCCTGAACGGGCCATACTCTCAGGCAGGGAGCGAACGGATATAAGTCTTGTGAGTCAAACGAGAGGATCTCGCCTGCGAGAAAATTTGCCGCATTGACGGTCCACCGCGTCTATGAGACTTCCATCGCCGCGCCATTCGAATGCGAATTATTCATTCGGATATCCTCCAATGCCTGATCTGACCACAGGCTCGTTCATGCGAATCTCCACCCTTGGTGTAATCACTCGAGTCCTGAGACCAGAACGGGGGAAACATCGCGAGAGCTCCTTTGCTGTTCTGTGCCGATTCGGGAGGAGGGCGCAATCGGCTTCGATTTCTCGAGCAGGGGTTTTCGCTTCCAGATTCGAGCTTGACGCATGACTTCCATCGAATCAATGAATGCTTCCTGGAGGCTCTCGGCTCCAGAATCTTAATTTTCATTTTAATCAAGTGGCAGATCCGACTCAGCTGGTGGAAAATTTGACGACCCATGATTTGTGTGGCTGATGCTCATCCCAACGTTTTCGAATAAGGTACACATGAACATATATCTGCCAGCACGAGCCTGAGCCAGCGATTTTGCTCTCGGTGCCAAGATAGAAAAATGATTACGCATTGAAATGATTGGCGCTGTACTTACAGTAACTCGGTTCTGTGCCTTCGTATGCATGAGTTGATAGTAACACTATTTGGTAGACAATGTGAGACACGCAAAACAGCGCGGATACACTGACCACAGTCAGAAGATAGTATTTTGTTCGAGCTGAAAGATAGAGAGATTGTCGAAGGGAGCTATCTCTGTGTTCGAATGCCGCTATGATGTCTGCACATCATAGCGCTCCATTGTTCCAGCACTAGAGCGCTTGTTTACGCTCAATAAATCATTGAATGAATAGTGAATGATCATGATGAATAACAATATAATCTCACCTGGTAGCGGCTCTCTTTTTGAGGGTCCGGACAAGAGTGGCGACACGAGTAATAAAAGCAAATAGAAGAAAGAGAAGATGTTGTAGCGGACTAGAGTGCCTGGAAATCGGAGAATAGGAATTGATTGGAACGATAGAAATCAGTCCCGATCGAGTCGAGCGAGGACAGGGGTCGCGGAACTCCAGGAACAGCTCGGCTCGTTGAGCTCCTTTTTGTGTCGTTACGGAATCCGACAAGCCCTGCGGTCATAGCTCGTCCAGGAGCCATCCTACCGCTTCTTCTCTGGACGCTAGAGGGAAAAGCAACCACACCCACCAATGATGACCTAGTGACATACCCCATCCCCGAGCTGACCTTGCCGGGGAGAAAGGCAACGCCTAGTTCAGAGCTACTCATGGGGCTTCTTACTAAGCTTCAGGATGCGGACCTTCGAGTAATTATTATTTGTCTTCGGATAATATCCGAGAACCCGCCTCGATTCACTGACTCTTCCACAAATCCCAAATCTCTTGATCCTCGGGAGCTCCGATCAATATTCAGCCGAAGGTGGGGGCGGATGTTACGTCGAATTTAACGACCAATGACGACAGAGATCGTGAATCAGCTTACTCTAGGGGTTACGGACCTGAATGAAAGCGAGGTCGGCCAACTACGCTGACCCTACCCAAAAAGAATGGAAGACAACTCGGAGTTCGCCTCCCAAGCTCGCGCACCCGAAACCGGCTACTAGTAGATCACGAGCCCCGCTCGATGGCAGAGCCGAGCACTCGAACACAATGATGACACCACCTCGATCTCCGAGTGGCAGGTCGCAATATCGAAAGATCATGATGCATAGAAGTTGAAATGTCCGAAATGAGGGAAACTCGAGTAGCGCTCCGCAGCAAACTGAATCGAGTGCAATACCCTACTGTTGTCGGTACCGAACGATCGTGAAAACGTTAACAGATCGGCAAAGACCACGGCTCTCGTGTACGTACAACCGAAGAGTGCCGATCACCTGTTTGGCAGAAAAGTCCCGGCTTTCGTTGCTCGCTCTACGTGAGGGAGATAACTCCGATCACCGATCATATTCGATTGATCTCTAAAGGATAATTCATTCAGGCAATTTGATGAAGAAGTGAGACTCACCCGCGAGGAGAACTGCTGGTAGGCCGATCCTGAACAGGGCAGAGGCCAAGATGGCACTAACCATCTCGGACTTTCAAGGCCGCCTAGTGGCGGCTGACGAAACGACCGTATTCTTCGCTTTGGGGACTCCGTAATACTTGATCTATGCGGTCCCCGCAGCCGCTCGTGTCCTACCTGTAATGAAAGAGAAGTCTTCAGTCCCCATCGCTCTGGAAGTACTCCTTCTTAGCCGTTTGCGCTCTAGAGACTACAATAATCGTAGTAATAACTCCGATGATATAATAAGTGTAATAATTATTATTGGTTCTGATTCTGGATGCGAGAAAAGATCTAGCGGTCGCGAAGCTCATACGATTGGGACGGCTTGGAATCATCCCACGGAAATAATTGGCCCTGGCTGAGGTTCTCGAGCGAAAAGTGTTCTCTGTCGTCTAAGTCCCGGGAAAAATAAAAAGACGAACCCGATTGCAGAATCAAATGAGGCTCCCATATTAGGGATCGTCCTGTCTTCGTCAATGAAGCAGGGATCGATTCTCGGAGAAATAGAGAGATGATAGAAAGATAACGTGAATGACACCAATGATCCGGATCCATTCCGAAGGAATCGGCGAGATCGAGTCTCGAGCGCTCCGTTCCCGACCTTGGGAATCATTTATCGAGAGAGCGAAGCGATTCCCTCTGGGAGGCCGCTGATCTATGCTGCACGCATTACTCGCCGCAAAGCATTCCAACAAGTTGTACAATGTCCGAGTAGCGTCTAGCTCGCCTCTTGCCTGACGTCACCATCGTAGTAGCATCTGTGAGCGCGTCGTAGGAAGCGTCGCGTCGCAGGCATTTCCAAAGCCTCATGCCAGTCTCCTCAAGCAGATCATCGAGTTACTCGAATTCAATCAAGCAGATCGAGTACTTATACTCGATCCGAAAATCCCAAGGAGGTCCAACGGAAATTCGGAGCGAATATTAGGAGGCTGTTGACTCAATCGGATCACATCCGAGCTCTCCATCGATGACACGACGCGTCAGCGCTCGGGTAGGAATCCATATGGACGAAGATAGGTACATTCGCCTCTGGTGCCCGGGACGGGCCAGTCGGCGAAGCTTCAAGCCTATTGTTCACGATGTGACGACCAATATCTGTCAATGTGTCTCGCGGTCTGACAATCACCGCATTCCAAACGGAAGCGGAATGGGGGATGCTGTTGTTTTTACTCACAATGATTCCCTAACCCCAACTAGCCAGCCGACAGATCAGACAGCGACCGCGCAACGACAAGGAAGGGACGACTCGTGTCGGTGCTGACAACGCCATCGTAGTGGCAATGGTAACAGTTTCGGCTCTTGTTCAATGAGGGCAGAATTCGCGAAATGATCATTCAATGCTGCGTGAATCCAAGGCTCTCCGATCTTGTCGCCGAATCGAGAGAGCGAATCAGGCGCATTCCGTGCCCTGGGTTCTTCTTGTATTGCTCCGCTGGAGCTGCCAGCTCCTGTGACAAAGCTTATCCAAATAGAGCGTTACGGCATGCGTGCCGTTAGAGCAGTCTCTTCTCGTCCCATTGTCACCACACCCACCAGCTTATTGGAGCCCGCGTGACAGTTCTCCTCGCCCGAAGATCATGCGCAAATATCGACTGATATTTATTATTTATAATAATAAGAGCAAAGACAACTGACGCAGGTGTCTCGTCCCGATGAGTTGATTGTCAGGTGAGCGCGCCCAACTTCACAGGTGCGAAAGACGATCCGCAGTTATGGTCTGGGAGATGTTTCCCGGAAGGGTCTCCGTCAAGGTTTCACGTGGGGGTCCGGGACTGATTCACCGAACACTTTCATCTCAATCCGTGGATTAGAGCCTTGGGCCGTCAGTGATGATCGGGGCGTTCACAAAGCCCAAGTATGCGAGAGCCGCGACTGAAGTTCATAGGAAGCTCGGATGAGGAGTGGAAATGCGAATTGTTCTGGATACCAAGATCCTATCCAGTGAGGTCCTGATGCGGAAACGCGAATTCTCATCGGAGGAGCTCTCCCGCCGCTCATCGCTTCGCGCGAAGCAGAGAAGCGGTGATGACGATTTTCGCTCTTGCATGAATCGGTCGGCCTTGTCGCCGTCGACGGAAATTTCAAATTTCTGATCGCTGAACCCGCGAATTCCTCTAGTGTTCTTCCGACTTTCATTCCGGCAAACCAGATGCTTTGACATCGTCAGACAGGAGGAATTCTCTTCAATCCGCGAGGTTCTTCGCTCACTTAGGAATAAAATCGACTCCCATCTCTCTGAGCGGGGGAGGCTCAACGTGTTTCGATGATTGAATATGTCGTGTTTCGCTTAAAAGCCTCTCGGATCTCTTGGTTCCGTCATCATCATGATCCGTCGCTGTGGTCATGTCATCATCACCGTAGAACGATCACTACCTCTCTGGGTGGGTTGACAACGTTCGACCCCACCCTCGCTGGGTACGGAAATCCTGTGTCTCGTCAGTCCATATACATATATCCATCTCTACATTAGCTCTATCCTTTTTTTCACGACACCCTATTACAAAGACTCTGTGGTTTGCCGCAGGAGAACATAATTCTCTTCTGCGGTTTGATGCCCGGATCCGTGACCCATGGCGGAATCGGAACTGGGGCCGGCAGGTGCCGATTTGTTTAGAACTCTCCCTATTTCGCTATCGGCCCGACTGGAGCACTTCACACTGGCGCGATCCGACGGCACAAGAAAATCCGGGGATCAGTCGCCTCCGTCCAACCTGGGTAAGAGGGATGGGACACTCTCGATCGCCGATGGAGTCGAAGTGACTCTGCCGCGGAATTCAGGTATGGCGCGAGAAGGCAGCGGAGAACGAACGAAATCCGATGCTGCCGGAGGGAATGAGGAGCGCAGCGCGGCTTCACACAAAGTGATCTTCCAGTTGCCCGATAGAGAGACAATCAACAATCTTCCGGCGATCCAGCGAGCGAGCAGACCGCAGAACGTCTCCCGTATCCCGCTTTGAAAATCTTGAGCGCTGTCTCGTCGGGGAGAACGTCGTGTGACGTATTTGTCAAGCCTTCTGGCGGCATAACAATGGGTGCCCGGCACGCAAACCACTGAATGGCTCGAAGCATGGCCGAAGCGTCCTTCGTTAGGCACTCTAAAACTCTTGAAGCAAGGATACAAACGGGAATTCCTCGACTCAGACCTGATTGTTGGTGCTGACTCTATCTCGACACCCATTTGAGGAAAGTGGAAAATCTACTCAGGAGTCGATCCATCAAGAAGTCGGGACCAGACACCGTCGATGGTCGGAT